TTGCCATCTAACCGCATTCTCGAGCTGAGAATGGGGCAGATGGTCGCTCATGCGTTGGACGAGAAACGTCATGAACGCGAGGCCGAGGCAGCCGCTATGGCGGCTGCCCAGAGTAAGACTGCCGTTGACGAAGTCACCGACCCCAGCGACCCGACGGTGGCTGAGGCTTTGACATCGGGACCACCACTTCGATCAAAGGTCGAACGGGACGCCGACTTCATCAAGACGGTGAAGTCGGGGTACCGGAACGATCATACGTTCCGGAAAGTGCTGGAAAACCCTCAGCAATTCAAGACCTTCGCAGCACGCGATGGCCTCATCTACACAAAGAACCGCCAAGGGGTGGAGGTTCTATGTGTGCCAAGGGTGCAGTTGCGCCGTAGGTCGCTCACCGAGGTGGTGATCGACCACGCACACACCACGCTGGGGCATTTCGGGCCGCAGAAAACGTCGGAATACGTCCGACGCTGGTACTGGTGGCCGAGACTGGGCAAGGACGTAGACATGTTCTGCGCGACGTGTGGAACTTGTCAGACGGCTAAGCCACGCAACCACCTACAAGCAGGGTGGTTGCACTCATTACCGATACCTATGAGGCCTTGGATATCCATGTCTATGGATTTCGTCGGGCCATTCCCGCAAGTCAACGGATACGACTACCTCTGGGTAGTCGTATGCCGCCTTACGTCCATGGTACACCTGATACCTATCAAGACGACGACCACAGCCGCAGAACTCGCTGAACTATATGTTCGTGAGATTGTGCGCCTGCATGGACTCCCTGAGTCCATCGTCTCTGATAGAGACTCGAAGTTCACGTCGAAATTTTGGCGTGAAGTTCACAGGCTCCTAGGAGCCAAACTGCTCATGTCGACATCATTCCATCCGCAGACGGATGGCATGACGGAGCGGACGATACGCTCTGTATCCCAGATCATGCGGTCGATGGTCTCCCCGGACCAACTCGATTGGGTAGACAGCATACCCCTAACGGAGTTTGCCATAAACTCAGCGTCCAGTGCCTCCACTGGATTCGCACCGTTCGAGTTGAATTACGGGTACATGCCCCGTACGATGGCCGGATTCTCCACGGACTCCAAGTACTCGGGAGTCCGTGAGTTCGCCCAACGAGCGCGTCATTACCTGGAAATGGCACACGACGCCCTGATTGAGAGTCGTGTCCACCAAACGTTCCAGGCGAACAAGCATCGACAGCAGGAACCGGAGTTCCACACGGGATCCCGGGTCTACCTGAGCACCCAGAACCTAGCACTACCCAAGGGTCGTGCTAGGAAGCTGATGCCTAAGTTCATCGGGCCTTACACGGTGATGGCGTGTAACCCTAGCACATCCAACTACACGTTGGAATTGCCGCAGGAACTCAAGGACCGACGCATCCACCCGACGTTCCATGTCTCCTTGCTGAGAAGACATGAACCCAACGACGATAATCTGTTCCCTAACCGGGAAGCCAGATCGTTCTACGACTTTGGCGACGACGACCAGCACGAGTGGCTGGTCGACGAGATCATCGGTCACCAATGGGATGGCAACCGCATCGAATTCCACGTACGGTGGACGCTCGGTGATACGTCCTGGGAGCCGTACGCTCATTGCAAGGACTTGGCGGCACTCGATGAGTACCTGACCCTTCACGGTGCCAAGACGTGGCGAGCCCTTCCCAAGAAGGCTCGCAAGTAAGTACACTACCACTGCGAAGTGGTAATGTACGCTGAGCAGATAGGACGACACGACCACCGCTCAGGTGGTCGTGTCTGGGACGAGCAGTGGCTGGAGACGCTGGAGACGGGGCTTCCTACCGAATTTGGTAGGAACGCGCTGCGAGGAGTCAGGTGACCGCGGCTGGCGCCAACAAAGCCACAACATTTGCCGCCGTCACGTCTCAACTACCACTACTACCTACACCGCCAACTCACCGCACCCCACCTCACTATGAACACCAACGACTCTACTGCGCCCCACAACACCTCGGCCGCACCACCTACTGGTGGTGCGCCCGCACAGACGCCGCCGCCGACGTCGGCATTGCCGCCGACGTCGCCGACGCTGTCCGAGCTGCGGGTTCCCCCGCACCTTGACGCACCGGTCGTCCTCAGCAATGAGGCGGCTATGATGATGCAGGTCGAGCACGGCGCTCCGACCGCAACCGCGCAGTACCAGTTTGGTACTGCAAACGCGGGCAGCATGCTGCTCGCGCCCAGTGGCACCAACTGGGTGCCCTACTTCCCCGTGACGCCGCTGGCGACACACCCCACCAGCCTCTGCGGCATCTGCGAGGCCTTCGTTCGCCACCTGCCCCGCAGCGGTGGCGACGCCGCCTACCAGCGTGTCGCTGAGAACCTGGCCGTCCACATGCGGACGGAAGTGGCCCACTCCCTCACGCAGGAGGGTTGGCTGCAGGGGGGAGGGACCTGGTTGACGCGTTGCGTAACCAGGCATCTGTCAACGAACAGATTATCGCGAGCCTGCGCGAGCAGGTCGAGTTCGCCACGCAGTCGGAACAGGCGATGCGGAGGAGGCTCGCGGACGAAGAAGCCAGGGTGAAGCGGAGGGACGAACACGCCCGGCGACTCGTCGACGACATCGCCGACCTCCACGACGATGTCGCGTACTACCGACGACGGCTGGACGACCGCCAGCACTCGCCACGCCCCGCCACGCCGCCTCCAAAGGAGACGACGACGAACGAGCCCGTCGAGGAGGCTCGGCAAGACTACCCGGCGGCGTCTTCGCAGACGCAGCCCACCCCAGCGCTGGCCCCGCAACCATCGCGGTGGCCAACGCCGGAGGCATCTTCGCAGATGCCAACGACCCAGCCGTACGACCCCATGACGGCGGACTGGGACGACTTCCACGAGAGCGACGACGACGACGACGACGACGCCGACGAGGAGAGTCGCCGCCTTAAGAACGCCGTGGTCACCCACCGGCTGAAGGGCAAGGGCAAGGCCCGACCGATCAACACCAGTACCCTGGCGAGTACTGGTGCTCCCCCGACGGCCCCGGCAAACTGGCCGTCGGAGGCCCCACTGCCGGCCAACTCGACCGCCCTGCAGGCGGGCGAGTGGCACAACTACATTCCCCGTAGTCGTGCAGAGGCGGAAATCATCCGTCGCCGGGCCTTGGTCGACGAGGAGGCGAGATTCCGGGTGCGGGATCTCATCCACCAGGCCCACCAGGATGGTAGACTGCGAGCGGTCGAGGGGATGCGGTGGTTGATGCAGCAGTGGCGGCCCCCACGCGCGACGCAGGAGCAGGAGTCCATGGACCTGGCCCGGGCCATGCAGGAGAGTCGGGAGGAGCACCGGCGCAGGGCGAACGCGCCGCCACCAGGAACGGCGGGTACGGGACCGTCGAGGAGTTACGCCGCGGCACCGGAGGCAGGACCATCGACGGGGCCAGGCCCAACCGCACCGTCGACGACCACGGCGACGTGGTCGACAACGGGGGCTGCGTCGGGCAAACGACGAGAGAGGTCGCCGGCGGGACGAACGGCCACCGCCCCACCCAAGAAGAAGTCGAAGGGTAGGCTGGCCCAACCGACGAACATGTCGACGGCCTTCGAGTGGCGCGAGTGGTACCGGGTCAACCGCGACCGCATACCCTTGGGTATGCGGGTCGACCGTGGAGGTCGACCGAACGTCGACGACGTCGAGGCGTTACACCTCACTCGTCGGCTGGCTCCAACGACGACGCAGTCGCGTCGTCCTTGGGAGGTGGCCACGGGTCGCCTGTTCTCGATCCCGGGCCTGTACCACCGGCTGGTACAGGAGGGGGCCTACCCGCTGGGAGACGGGCGGGCGGCCATCGCGTTCCCCGCGACGCTCGCCGACATCACGATCTTTGATGTCGCGCGTTGGTTCTCACGGATGGGCTACCGACCGGACGAGGTAGGATTCCTCGAGGAGTTCTACCGGCGTCGCAGGAACGAGCACGAGGGGAGGGCGATTGACACGGCGGCTCCGTACTCCACGTACCCGTCCGCCATGGGCGATGTGATCGACGAGCACGTCGTTCACATCAATGACATGCCCCCCATCCCCGCGAACGTCTACATCCCCACGGGCGTCGTCGCCCCCGACGTCGACATGGACGACGACGCTCAGGCGATGAACGCTCCGGGCGATGAGCAAGGCGAGTAGCTGCCTTCGGCCAGCTTCGCGCATCCGGTTCGCATAACTCCATCGAGTTATGTATGATGGCGGTGGACGGCCGTGCTGCTCACTGGCGCGAGCTTGCGAGTCGTTGCCTACAGTACGGCACCGCCCCTGTCTTGCCAGTCGCCACCACCGTTGTGTCGTCGCGTGAATTTCATTGTACATTTATTCTACTATACTATCTGTGTGGACCGTGGAACGGGTCCAAGGGGGGGAGAGTGTAACGTGGATACGTTACATTCACGTATTTACCATATCCGGACATATCATGTATCTACGATCGCGTGCGTAGGCGCCGTCCCTTAAGGGCGGCGCCAGCGAGTGTGGGAGCCAGCTCTCTTACACTCGTCACCGATACCGCACCACTCTGGAATAGAGACTGGGTGCAGCGTATCACGGCGTGAGTAAGGGGGCGCCACAAGAAGCCATACAAGACAAACCGGTGAGTAGGTAATGAAATCGCCGCCGGAGGGATGGAACCTTTGGTTTGGGGTGCTTGTGTTCTCTGGCAACATGCGTGCGGAAGGCGCGTCGGGTCGTGTGTGTTGTTTCACAAGAAACGCAGAAGAATGTCATGGTGAATGTGCGGAGGCTTGAGTCAAGGATGGAGACAGAGACTGAACGAACACGCAGTGAGAGTGGCTACGGTCAAGCGGATTGATGCAGTAACCTCTTACGAATTGCTGAAACCAATTCCCTGGGGCGTTGGCAAGGCGGCAAACTTCGGGCTGCGCGCTCAGTTTCGCTAAGTCCTGTCGCTTTCTCTTTCCTATCATCTTAGACCTTTCGTGCTACTGCTGGTATCATACCTCTCTGTACTCCATGCCGGCTACGAAACGTGGCGGCGGTCGTGGTCGCAAACATGGACGTGGTGGGTTCTCACCCGAGGTAGTAGGCCGCAGTACATCAACAGGTTCGAAGCGGCGTGCACCAGCGCTGAGTGATACCGACAGCGACCTAGTACCTGATGTCAGTCCCGATTCTGCTCGTCAGACGCAGCACAAGAGACCACGTACCTCCGAGGTCAATGCTGAACCTGAAGGCGCCGACATCCAACATGACGGACCTCCTAGTGGTACCGCGGAGACACCTTCTGCTGCTGTCACTGTCCGTCGTACAACACGTCATATTGATCCACACCCCGCACGTACCCAAGGTCTTCACAAGCGGTCCAAGAACGAGATCTCTAGAGGCGCAGACAAGAAACGAGCAGATAAGCAAGTCGAAGCGGACGCACGCGAGGAGAACAGCCGCTTGCTAGCAGAAAAAGAGAGCTCAGGTGCGGCCGCAATCGCGACGATGAAGGACGGGCGTGTTCGAGAGGACATCCTGCTTGACGAGGCTGGGGAACCACTTGGCGAGCGCTCCGAGGAGGATGTTGACATGGGCGAACAGGACGAAGGTGAGGATGGTATATGGGTCGGGGATGGGGGCAGCAGGACGGTGCATGACGATACTGAGGCCCAAAGTGAGTCTGGCAGTGGGCCCGAGTACGCACCGGTGAGTGTACTCCCACATGGTCATACAATCTGATCCTGATGTTATCAGTCTCCGAGTCAGGTGTCCGCGTCAACACGCAAAGACAAGAAGCACGAGCGAGTGGCTTCTGTCCGCGCTGCCACCAGTCGTCGTCAGAGTGAACACACCTTTGAGGAGTCTGCCGCCCCATCTCGGGATAGTCACTCCTCGAAGACGAAAGCAAGGTGAGTCTGCGTCTTTTGTGACTTGTCACCTCGCATGCCATTGAAGCGCTAACGATTGGCGGATTGCACTGTCAGCGCTAGCAAGGCCAGCTCATCTGCCAAGAAGAACCAAGTGTCAGTGACCTCGAAGACATCCGGTCTCAATGAGAACTGGCGTGCCATCATCGACGGTGCGGGCCTTACGCAGGATCCCACTGCGGACTTAACGACCACAGCTCCCAAGAAGTGTCGCACGAAGGGCAGCTTGAAGGGCGGACCAAAGGAGGAGAACGCAGTGCAGGAGAAAGGTCTCGAGGACGGTGATGTCGTTTCGAGGAAGGAAGACGCAGTGGTGCTTCGGAAATCACAAGCACAGGTGCGTGAATAGCCCCGCCGAGTGCCGCCTGACATCTAATGCTCTGAGGCGTCCGTTTGTCATCTCAGTTTGTGGACATCATTGATGTCGAGGCGGAAGCTACACCTGCCAAAGCAAAACGGACGCGCCGTGCTCCCGCCGATGTACCTCAAGAGAAGTCTAGAGGCGCTGCCGCTGTCGTCCCCGCCGCGATCTTTGCGGTGTGGTCCACGAAAATTCATCCGACACTGATCGAACACTACGGTTCCCTCGACAATCCCTGGGATATCAGCCTCGATGACGTCCAAGAGACCATCACGGCAATTTTGTCTAAAGTGTGTCCGAGATTCCGATTCGTCGACCTCACCGACACGCAATGCAACAAGTTCATTGAACATGTAAGTCACCTATCTGTGTAGTCCTCTTGTTACGTGCTAATGAATGTTGGTCAAGTGTGCTACGAAGGTCCGTGACTGGCGCAAGGGCCTTCTCTTGAAGGCGAAACGGCTTGTCGATGCCGACCTCAAGCTTGTCGAAGGTGGAAAAGCTGGCCGTGCCAAGCACGTCGAGAATGCTCTCAAGCCTCATGGAGCGGCGTTCAATAATGTTGCTGACGAAAAGGTTCGTCTGCGGAGTTTGACGGCTCCGACATGAGGCTCACAGGATGCGATCCTGGCAGGCTGGCCGCATGAAATCTGTATACATACTGAAGACGTTCGCGAAGCATCTCAAAATCCTCGAAAACTCACACATACACCGGCCGCGTCCTTATGGTGCCCTCGCCTTGTGTTATGCAGCAGTAAGCCATCTAGCTACCTCGCACGACATCAACTCACTTCATTTGTAGGTGCAGGCTTCGTTTGAGCAGTGGGAGTCTGGCAGTGACAAAGGGACCCCGGCATGGGATGGGGATGCCGCGAGAGACCTGGTTCTTGGTGCCTTCAGGACTAACATCGCGTGGCTCTCGCGTCATCCGGATCAGTTCGATGCGATCATCAAGGCAGCGAAAGACACCCAGAAGAGCGAGAAGTACCGACAGCCACGGGAGCCCAAGCAACGGGTCGTGCGTCTTTACACACCCAGTGAATCTGAAGGGGAGGGAGGCGATGCACTGGGAGATTCTGGACGCCAGTCGTCGACTGATGTTGACGAAGATGGGGACGAGTACAACTAGAGTTCGTGCCGTCATATATCTGTTGTTGCACGGTTTGTCTGTTCCGGCTACACTGTTGCAATCAAATATGTGAATGACAATGCGAGATACCCCGAACTGATATTCACCGACTCTGCGGATCTACGCTGACGTCTGCTGATGCCTCCCGACGTCTTGCACCCTAAGCTTACTGACGAAATTTCGACGAACTTTCGATCGAAATATGTTCCCTACTGAACTTCACTGAGATACACTGAACTTCACTGAAGTCGCCATTTCAGTGGCTTCAGTGACCTTCAGTGATTTTCCCAAAGTTCTGATGTGCTGGTCGTACTGCCACCCATCCTACCCAACTACAAACCCGTCGAAGGGATGTCCCGCATTCCCCTGCGACAGTTGACGACCTCGCCGACGTCGACGTTCCAACCATCGCCGTCACCCTCCCCCACTTGCTCTACCACCCAAGTCATCGTCAACGCTATCACGGGAGAGGTCGTCGGTACCCTCCAACGGCATTCCGATGGCACCACAACCATCCAGAATGCGGACGAGTAGTGTAGTCGACGAGGACGTCGACTCTAGGAAGGGGCTTATGTTACGACAATGTCCGTCTTATTTTCTTTTCTCTCCATCGACTTGTACTATACTGAGGTGGGCGCAACCCCACACGAGCACACACCTTCGGCATCCGGCTCATTCTGTACCCGGTCCGGCGCTACCCGGACTATCACATGTACTTCATGACTCGTTCTGACTCCCTTGACTCGGTATGACTCACATCCCTGACTCGCAGTGACTCATCCCTCCCCCTCTCGCATCTGATTGGCTTACTATACCTGACTCGTCTTGGGCCCTGCCCTAAACTTCTCTAGTATATAAGCCCATGTACATTAGCGGTCGAACCCTCAGTTCGACCTGGTTTGATCTATAGAAGTGTTCTGCTTTGCGATACTCCAGAGTGTGAACGACACCCCGCTCGACCTGCTAGATGTGCTTAGCAGTGTCCTCGAACCATCCTCTACCGCCGCAAGAATGATCGAACAGCCTAAGACCCGAGTTTAAGGGTTAGGTTGTGAGCTAGTGCTCAGGGTGTCACGCTTCGCATAACACGCGGCGCCGCCTCGTGCAGGGGCCGGCGGGTGAGAGCGGGGCATCGCCGGATTGGGTGTAGGGGGGTTCCCGATAAGGGCAAGGCCTCCGGGAGCTAGGTGTGCGTGTACGTCGAGTAGCAACGTGCACACGCAGCGTCAGCGGGAGGGTGGCGGGATCCCGAATCCGGGCAGGGTACCGCCAGGATATTGTAATGTACTAATGCATTGTATAATACATGACGGACACCGGAGCATTCATACATGATGGAACCGCGGTCACAGAGCGCGAATCATGTATCGTGCGCGGACGCTACTCAGCGATAAGTGATGTATGTATATGCCGGAGAGGGCTGAGCTGCCAGCACACCTGAAAATGGTGATTTCGAGATTTTCGATTGGCGTGGATTGCTGGGTACAGTGCCCTCGGGCTCGACGAGTAGAATCCAATGAGATAAGAATCGAGGCGAAACTCGCAGCGGTTGAGGAGCAATTGTCGTTCTGCGTGAGGAGGTCGCCGCGCGCAAAATCACGCGTGTGGCACCGTGCGACATGACTTTTTAAAACGGCAATAGGTGCCCGAGATCCCGGCCGGCGTCAGTACCCCTCGCTACTTACCCTCACCTCAACAACCCTGCGACTTGCTTGCCACCGCCGCGTCTGCGCTCGCATACCGGCTCTACTACCCCGACTTCATTGCCGCGAACCAGGAGACCTGTACGGACATTAGACAACATCGTTTCCGGCACGGACACGCAGGCCCATCTCGAGCAGCTCTGCGTGGAGATGCCATTAGTGGAGAACGTCCGATCGACTGGGAGAGGCGTTGCGCAACGTGTTTGCGAAACGCCCCTGCGAAACGCCTCTGCGAAACGTCCGTCACAGTGTTACTTACTGAATACGGTAACTGACAAAGCACCTACAGGGGCATCGGGCCACTTGTGTCGCTCGGTCAGCCAAGGGTTGCTCCTAGAAAATACAAGTATATTGAAAGTAATCCTTTTAAATCTTTTATTACAGTGATTTTCCCAAGCAGCAAGCAAGTAGTTGAGGAAGATTTGGATTTAAGTATCAACTCATTCGGATGTAGCGAGGGGCGCGCGAAGTGAGGCGCTTATTGCCTGATTTGGAAGAGCTTTCCAAATCGGGTTGCACCGTTGCAGGGCGCCCGTGCGCTCGGAAACACTGTGAGAAATCAACCACCCACTAATACAGACTCAACTACTGCTAGTAGCAAAGCCAAAATACTTACTGAGGCTTTGAAGCAGCATATAAGCCGAGTGAATGGAATGAAGCGGCTTACTCAGCTTGCTATTCTTGGTACTCGGGCCACAAAAGGTGCGTAACGGGTCACAGTTGGTAACACTTCGTGACGTTTCGCGTTGCGCGTTGCGCGTTTCGGAAACGCCCGTCCCCGTGGATCGGACTTTCTGCATTAGTGACAGGCAGAGCACGGGCGCCGCGTCGTCCTCTTCTGGGCCGCAAACATGGAGCGCTACAGCGACATCGTCCCCGGTGTGAACGACTCCGCCGACGCGCTCCTCGTGGCCCTCAATGCGTTGAACTCTGAGGTCTCGCCCTCGACGCTGTTTGCCGTCGCGTTCATAATCACGGGCGAGCCCTTTGCGAACGGCGCGCCCCAGAACACGTTCGTCCCGGGCGTCATCGAACTCGCAGAGCGCCGCAAAGCATTCATCGGCGGCGGCGACCTCCAGTCAGGCCCGACAAAGTTCAAGCCCGTCTTCGCCGAGTGTCTTCAGGCCACTCCCCATTGCATCCTACAACCACCTCGGCAACAGTTACGTGCACAAGCGCAGCGTCATCATGGTCGACGCAAACCACCTCTTCAAGCACCCCAAGCCGGGCGCGGTCTCGGGCACGAAGGCCGCATAGCCTGGACGAAGTGCATCTGGAGGTGATGTTCCCATTCTCCGATTGTGTTATCAGCTCAACTGACTCGGACGCAGTAGTTCGCCATGGTACGAGCACGAGTTTCAGCTAAGACGGTAAGTATTTTCGCCTCAACGTTGACCATGCTAATCATCATGGTGCTATGCTCAGTGAAGATGCTAGCCTGGGAGCGGGTGTTTGCGCGGGAGGAGTATGGCAACGACCGTCGCGGAGGTGAGTCTTGTGTCCGTCACCACCACGACCGCGCGCACCATCTCTACAGTACATCGCGACCTTCCTCCCGCACTCGCCGCACCCCCATCTCCCGCACTATCTCCACCGCCACTCAATGTAATCCCAGAATTCGCGTGCCGTGGACATTTCGTGCCTCCTCGACCCCGCCTACGTGAGTGGTTCCTCGTCTCCGACTCCTCCACGCGAACCCGCGCCTTGGGCTGGGTGACCCTACGTACCGTGCCACGCTCCCCCTCGACGCTCAACACCCACGTTCACGCCCAGACACGCGCGTACGTCGACCACCAGGGCGATCTTGACGACCCCAGCTATTGCAACTTCCCCGTCTTCCCCACCCCGACGCGTCGCATACGTACCGACAACTCACACTGCCTAGCGGAAGCGGCGCGGTTCAATGCTGCCTTCATAGCCAGCCATATGCACGTCGGACGAACTCCATGTTCGTCGGGACGCGTACTCGCACGAGCACTGCAGAGAGAGGCGGCGGCGACCGGGTGGATACATCCGGTGAGGACGTACCTTCGATTTCGAGCCCTCCCGCTCGCTTACCCTGCTCGCCCCGTGCCATTCCCCTTCCTAGCTTAACAGTGAACTGGCAGTAGTGGTTCAGCTAGCCGGGAGCCAGTTCGAGCTCGCCTGTGTGCAAGCGGCTTGCGGTGCGCTCCGGCGGTCATGGGGGCTGCCCGAGTCGCAGTCGCAGTTGAGTGGGTGTGGCCGAGAGCAACGCGCTGGGCGCTAGCGCTCGGACCACTCACCATCTACGCGGGCTCGTCCCGCACGACACCATCAATGTCGAGTGCGTCGTCGGCCGCGTTGAGCGTGTCAACCGACATCAAGTTATTATATTACACATCGCGGCTCACTTCTGAGCGCGCGACGCGTTGATCTGCGAGTTCTCGCTGGACACGACGTAGGGCTATGTCCTTTGGCCCGCCGCCGGACACGACACCGGGCACAGTCTGCACGTTGCGGAGGGCGCTGACATTGGGTAGCGCTCAACCGCGAACAGGTACCGGCCCCAATCCTGAGCCAGTCGCCAAAAGCTATATATATATTGAGTCGTGCTGTGAAGATATTGCGCTCGTTTGATTAATATAGTATTGATATAGTAATTGACTCCTACTCGGTTTGTTACGCTTTGATTCGATTTCTATTGACTTTTCCCTAAAGTTCGATTGCTCTTCGCTTCGTCTCTGCCCAGCGCGCTTCGCTTTCAATTCATTTTCTATCGACCTTTCCCTAAAATTCGATTGCTCTTCGTTCCGTCTGTGCCCAGCGCGCTTCGCTCTCAATTTGATTTATATTGACATTTTGCTAAAATTCGATTGCTCTTCGCTTCGTCTCTGCCCAGCGCGCTTCGCTTTCAATTCATTGTCTATTGACCTTTCCCTAAAATTCGATTGCTCTTCGTTTCGTCTCTGCCCAGCGCGCTTCGCTCTCAATTTGACAATTCGCTGAAATTCGATTGCTCTTCGCTTCGTCTCTGCCCAGCGTGCTTCGCTTTCAATTCATTTTTTATTTAATCTTTCCCTGAAATTCGATTGCTCTTCGCTTGCTCTTTGCGCGGCACGGGCTGACCGACTATCGCAGCATAGTGTTAGTTTCGGCCGAGCGAGCGGCGAACGGCCCGCCCGCCGTCGATTTTCCTTGCTACCTCCACCGTCTCGTGTCGGTCACCGTCGTCGTTGGCACGCTCGACGCTCGCCTCTCCGTTTCACCCGTCCACCCGCCCGCAGTCCGTTCGTTCCATGTACTGTTGTGGCCAGTTCAGGTTGTTCAATATCATTACTAAAATGCATGTCCTATTCTACCGAGTGTGCATCAATGCTATACATCCTGCGTGCATCCGTGGCAGACAATCAGCAGTGTGTGCGCGAATCACGCCGCGCATACTCGCAGCCCGCCCACCCGGCAGCTCCGCGTGCCGCGTCCGACCAACCTCTCAGCACACCACTGTCTGGCTGTTTGCTCTACCCCAACAAGGCTGGAAGTAAGTTATGCCAGATGGGCCGGCCATCTAACTTCACGCAGACAGTTAATTCAATGTTTCCGGCCCATAGATCCCTCCCCGGTACGCAGAGCGAACGCGTCACACAGTCGGTCCCTGTGAATGATCGTCAATGCGCACACGCAGGCCGAGGACCCAATTTCCGGTCCTCGTGTCGCCCTCTTAGCCCCACCTGTTTGCGCCGCCATGCCTGCGGCACCTACCCCGTCCACTTGTCCTCCTGTCTGCTCCCTGAGCAGTGAGCCGTGTCCTCTCTCGTGCGATGCGGCTCGTGCTGTTCTGTGAATGGGGCGAGCGATTTGCATATGCTTATGTATACAGATGACGGGTATGACGACTGACTTTCTCGCCGTTCCCACCACACCTGTGCTTGCACTTGGCCGTCCAAGTGCGAGCAAACTGGGTAGATACTAGACAGACAGTCGAATGCAATGAGATGAGCGGATAAGATCCTTCGTCATGTTTCCTCGAGTATGCACTAGCTGTGAAGATTGAGGTGAACACCAGTGACTGCCAAGACTCAAGGACTTACCTTCGACAGTCGAGCCTTCGTGTAGCATTTGTTTTTTTTTGGTGGAGTGTTGCGTTTCCCACGTGGTCAACGCTGTGCCTGGCAGTCGACAAGGTCGTCTCCAGGTATCCCGCTAGCGGTCTGGGGGGTTTCGTGTAGCATTTGGCTCGCCCTCCACTGAGAGCCAGACTCAGTTGACGGTCCCACGCACGCAACCTAACCAGCCACGTTGCGACCTAGAGTCACAGGCGCGGACCTCAAAAAGTATTTACCGATCTCGCTACTGTCTGCGCCACCTTGCACTCGCCCACACGCACTTGATTCGCATACTACTAGCTTGTTAGCATAGTGAGCGGTTGCCCGAGTTTAGCTACATATAGTTGCTCATAATAACTGCTTTGCGTGCCGACTCGACTGATCCATTCCTGCCCGGCACGAACCCGCATATTCGAAAGGATTGCGGAGGGCGCCGGCCTTGAAGGCGGTCCTTGTATCACTGTGGGAGGATGGGAACGAGGCGCCACTGAGAGTGCAATACTCGGAGAGCGTGCGGGGCCCGGGGAGGCACGGGAATCCAGAACTGTCGAGGATAGCAACGGTTATCCTTTTTCTGCTTATCCATTGCCGTTGGCCTGTCTGCTCGTACGTCTAGCCTCGCCTACTCACCTGTTTACTGACTTAAGCTATCCTTGCTCATCACCCTCGCGATCCCGCGTCCTTGTGGAAACACGCCGTCAAGTCCACTCATATCGCTTGGTAGCTCGACCACAACGCTGCCTTCCAACACTGTTATAGTAATATCCTCCCCTCCGCCACCCATCTCTGCGCCCTGCACTCACGGACGCAGCTCTTTACGCTAGACGTCGTCCCCGGAGACGCGTACACGTCTCCGGAGAGTTGTGGACCCGCCGGAGCGTCCGCACGCTGCCATCGGCTCTCCCGGTCATCGGGGAGCTGATCTTGTCACTTCTCACCCGACTTCCAGTACTGATCCCTGCGACACTCTGGGCGACTCGATGCGTTGTAAACCATCGTCGAGCCCACTGGTGTCGTCACGTAGCCTGGCATCACCGCCGCCGACTCTGGTGCTCTGCTAAGCGTAATCCATGAACTTGGCCTCCACATCGCACCCCCGCCACTAACCTCACACCCTGGCATCCATCACGCTTCATGCGCACGGCGTTTCACACCGTTCTTCAGCACGGGTGTGCGTGTTCGTTTCTGGTGATGGTCCGCACCTAAGCCGGCCAACCACAAGCACCACCCCACCCCACCCGCTTTCGGAGGACTTGACTCCGCCTACGCTGTGCTCGACTGACGCCAGCCCTGTCTTGTACCCGGGTAGTAGCACTTCCGGTTTGCTCACCTGCTCACTCACTTGATAGATGCCTTTAACCATGCACAAGGTAATTCATTCGTCTCGAGTCATGGTCGATTGCGCTTGTACTTTACTTAGCTTGTGGCGAATCAGGTGATGGTTTCATAAATAACTGATGCGATTAGCGATTGACAGTCGCTTCGGTTCATTGCGCAGTCGCTTCGGTTGATTAGCGATCGACAGTCGCTTCGGTTCATTTCGCCCGTATTCAATTCGACTTGAAATCGATCTAGTATTCGGGGTCCTTCGATCAGCTAGTCAGCGCTCCATTAGACGAACGTGGATGATGCCTGTCACTAATGGCTTCTCACGTCCTCGGCGTCAAGAAGGTTATCTCCTGTCTCTCGACCTGCGTCTTCCCCGACAAAGTCACATATCCTCTGGATGAGACAAAGATTCACCTGGGTCCGCCGCACCCGAGCAACTTCGGGTATTCGCACGCAAAGCGCATGGTTGATGTGCAAAACCGGGCTTATAAGGAGCAATTTAATTGCAACTTCACGTCTGCGATCCCGACAAGTATCTTCGGGCCTCATGATAACTTGTCGGTCCCATTTTCTGTCTCGACCGCGGCCTAGAACCTCATCTGTAGCCCGCAGTGAACTCGAGTCAGCGCATGTCATCCCGGCGCTTATTCACAAGTGTTTCCTCGCTCAACGTGCGTATCCGGCCAGGTTTCTACCTACAGTCACCTGCCTAATCGCGTTGTACGATGCTGCTGCACAGAAAATGGCACGTCCTTCGTCGTCGGCGGGACCGGCAAACCGCTTCGACAGTTCATCTACTCGCACGATCTCGCGAAGCTGTTCATCTGGCAGCTACGCGAATACGACTCCATCGAACCCGTCATCCTCTCCGTCGGCGAAGAGCAAGAAGTCTCCATCAAGACGCTTACGAACTCTATCGTTCGTGCGATGGACTTCAAAGGCGAATACGTCTTCGATACCTCCCAGGCCAAGGGCCAGTTCCGCAAGCCGGCGAGCAACAAGAAGCTGATGTCCCTCATCGGAGCCTTTGAGTTCACCCCGTTTGAGAAGGGTACGTTGTCCGCTAGCGTTTCGCGTGCGCAGTATTGTTGACAGTATTGATGTTTGCAGCGCTTGACGAGACTGTGCAGTGGTTCCTAGCGAATCACCAGCGAGCCAGGACTGAGAAGAGAGCGGAAGTTTGATCCGTTGTTAACTTACAATGGACAGTATCTATCGGCGTGAAGGTAGCTGACGAAGATGCTAAAAAGCAGGATCAAATGAAATGATCGTGCTGTTTCCTCGACGGCTTCATGGGCTGTCTTATTTTCATACTCAAGGATACGATCTCAATTCATTGCACGCTTCTTAGGGGGTCGCTAGACGGTGGGAACCCCAGCGGTTGTGCCATGGCATTCGACCAACCCTTGACGTGCGTATTGGTCAAACGTCGTACAATCAAGTCTGGTTTGTGTCTCGCATTATGGCACAGGTGCTAGTTGCCCATGGGGCGAGGAAAGCTGCATTGTAGGCTCGCCCGAGATGGGTAGCGCCGGCTCGGTCATGAAAGTACGTCACAACAATGTCTTTGCATGTCTAGACAATGACAAACCTGCGCCTCTAAGACAGTGTCCGCTATCAGTACAAATTTCACGCGAATGCGCTGTCCGCCATAAGCGCGTAGACTTGTTGTGGGGCGACGACCGTCACACTCATCCGGTGCTTATGCGTTTATCAACGCCCAACTAAATTTCTTGTCCCGGTTCCCCTGCATCGCATGCTGGAGTCGACAGTCATGAAACGACTAGCAGATTTTGAGTATGTATATGATTTGTGTCTGACCGTGATGCAGCTTGCGATGAGAAGGCACAGCAGTACATCTGCCGCGCGCCCTCGCCCAGTAGCTGCGCAGTTTGCTGAGTCGGAACCCGCCCGGACTCAGCCAGACTCGACTTTGCTCCTTGCGGATTCGCTTCTGGTATCCATTCAAGATCCCGGTCTCTTCAATCTTGGCGCAGTACGATGTTTTGCACGCCGGTGAGTCAACGCTCACGATTACTGTGCAGAGAGGAGGTTTATAAGACGGTCTTTGCAGCGCTGGCTGAATGGTGCTATCAATAACGGTTATCGGAGTGCGATCGGGGAAAGGAGGGCGCCAGCGCCGGGCATCGAGCAACGCGGAGGCTGGTACTCCTGCGCTAGTCAGTACTCGAGTCGCCTCGAGTCTCAAATCCCTCAGTTATGTAGACGACAGTCGTCGGTGTCACTGACCCAGTCGATCGAAGACAAGGGTGTCCTCGTGACCTGTATGTAGGACTCCGACTCACGGCCGTTCGGAACGCCGGATGGACTCCATGTTGTGACCGCCCAACCGTGTCAGAAGACATGTACCGTGAACCTTTAAGGTTGGTGAACCCCTCTTTGCTGTCCGGCCGATGCGTCGGTCCCTTTTCCGAAGACCAGAAGCTTACTGCTAGGCTGGCAAACTGGTCTGCAGAGTCATCACGGTGAGGACCCGGGTACAGTCAGGAATCACCAACTGAAACGGCACGGCGCGGCCATAACCACAGATGCCTCAGGCATGGGAACTTTGCATGCACCGATACCAAACCGATACATCCGACTGGTCCGGCAACGAGGGAAATATATACAGAGATGCTCACATGGATGCCTGCGTCTCCTCGCTGTCTGCAAGGATCTCTCATCCACCTGCAAGGATCTCTCGTCCGCCATGAGCGCCCCGCCACAAACCCATAGTGACAGGCGACGTCATTCGATAATCAATGCGTCGGCGCGAGAATCTATTGCACGATCGGCGTCACCGACTATTGACGGGATGCAAGACAAGGAGAAGCTCAGTGCAGACGTCGAGGCCAAGGAGCAGCAGTCAACAGAGTCGCCAGCAACCACAACATCGAGCACATCAGAGTTTCCGGAAGGTGGTCTTCGGGCATGGTCAGTGGTGTGGGAGGATTCTTCGCGTTCATCGCCACCTTCGGTATCACCAATTCCTATGTAAGTTCACTCAACTTGTCGTTACAATTTGCTGACAGAATCCCGGGAGATCAGGGCGTATTCCAGGATTACTACCAATCGACGCTGTTGTCGCATTCGTCCTCGTCAACCATCGCGTTGGTGGGAGCGATCCAGTTGTTTTTCCTCTACGGTGGCGGTCCCATCGTGGGGCGGGTATACGACGCTTACGGGACTGGTGTACAGTGCATCCCCTACGTAATGACCACTTCGGATCGGAACTCACAGCATCATGTAGGTTCTGATCCCATTGGGATCCTTTTTCATCGTGTTCTCCCTCATGATGCTATCACTGGTGCAACCAGACAAGCCCTACCAGATATTCCTCTCGCAAGGAATACTCTTCGGGTTCGGGCTAGCATGCATGTAAGCTGACGCCGTAAGCACGTCTTCTATCGCTTCGACCACCCTTAATCTTCTTCTCCTCGCAGATTCAATCCTACCATGTCCGTGGCAGGGCATTGGTTCAGGAAGAGACGAGCATACGCGATCGGCGTCATAGCCTCCGGCAGCTCAATAGGCGGGGTGTTCTTCCCCATCATGCTGCAGCGACTCATCGTCAGCATCGGCTTCCCATGGGCAGTACGGGCTGTGGCTTTCCTCTGTCTCGGGTGCTTGACGATCGCGTGCCTTACCATCCGCACGCGGTTGCCGCTCTCGCGCAGCATCTCGCTCAGAGGTCTGGTCGACCTCAACGGCTTCAAGGATTGGAGATACGTCCTCGCGACGATAGCGGCGTTCATGTGAGTCGTGCTGGACGTCTTTTCCCTCTTGAAATTGACTGACCACATCATCAGAGTGTTCTACGCCATCTTCATACCGTACTTCTACATCCAGATATTTGCAGATTTCTTCGGCGTCCCTAACAGCTATGCGATATACCTCTTGCCGATCATCAATGCCTTCGGCACGCCATCTCGTGTCATTCCTGGGTTGATGGCGGACCGTTGGGGATGGTGCGTGTATCCCTCCCTCGGAGTGGCTTGTGTCTGACGAACTTGGACAGTATCACGATCCTCGTCCCTCCACTATCATCGCCAGCATTTTCACGCTTGCGCTGTGGCTACCGGCGCGGACGCCCGCTGCCATCACGGCATTCGCGGCCATGTATGGTCTGTTCACAGGTACGGCGTCTCTGGCCAGACGCATAATATCATCGGTCATTGACGATTATTTTAGGTGCTTTTGTAACCTTGCTACCTGCGTACATCTATACCATCTCCCCGCTGGAGGTGTACGGCGCTAGGCTAGGTAAGACAATAATTATCCGTTCTATCATCAAATTTTGACTTCCCATCCGTCAAACTAGGCGCGATGTACTTCTTGGTCGGGATCGCCAACCTCGTCGGCACTCCGACCGCCGGCGCATTCTTGGCCACCACGACTGTGGCGGGCTTCAACGGCCTCATCGTCTTCACTGGCGTGTTGCTCTTGGCAGGGTCGCTGATTTTGGGTGTCATTGGTGTCGTCACGGAGGTTCAGAAACGGAGAGCGGTGAATTTGCCTCGATGATTCTCGAACTAAGAAGTCATTATTGCTGCGATCAGCGGGTGCTTGGTATGATACTAGAATGTTGAAACGTTGATACCATTGACTTACAATATGTTGTTGAAGGCGTGCTTGACAAGCAACATGCCCATTTTGGTACTAAGACGTCGCATCACCGTAGATGCATAGCCGTTGCAGTAGCCCCGTACTTAGACCTGCATACGCGACGTTGCGTGAGCTGTTAGCCAATTCATACAAGAAAGCAAGTCCAGGATTTGCGTTCCGTCGGCGACACTCGATTAATTGTAGTGTCGTTATTTGCGACTTATACTCCAGTCAATCATCGCTCTCAAACTTCTCCCCGATCATCGTCTCTGTCTCATTCACCCAACCCGGCCCTTGCGGGCCTGTCGGTAACGCGGAAGTACGCGATCACCATACGTTCACTTGCAACAGTTTGGTTTGCTACTACTAGACACGAACTCTACAACTTGCTACCTTCTAGTCATTCATCGCGCTTCTCGATCGCCTTCTCGATCGTCTCCTGCTCATTTGCCCATACCGGCCTCGCGATCCGGAATCCATCACCGACGCGCGAGTACGAGATGTCGCCCATACGCCCGACGGGCTTGAACTTTGCAGGATCGACGTTTCCGCGCTCGTTCAGCACGTCGTTGCGCACATGAATGTATTTGACATGCCCGAGGATCATCGTCGTCGTGTTCGCGCCGGATTCAGGGTGGACGATGTCGATCACCTGGAAGAGCTGTGTAGGCGGCATGCGTAAGTCTGTCATGAGACATCTGGAGATAACGCGAACCTCGCATTCCATGCTGAACGCGCTCTCCTTGACGCGTGCGGGCTTGACATGAAGCTGTGTGAGGATATTGTGAATACTTGGGTGTAACGGAGTGTCCGCCCGGAACACGTACACTCTTTTCCTTGGTGAGACCGCTGATCGGCCACTCGCTCACGCCCTCAGGCGCGTCTACGGATGTGACGTTCGCAGCCTCGACAAACGGTTCGCTGATGATGTTCACAGTGAAGCTTTTGGTGGCCTTGATGTTGCTCGTTGTGTCCTTGATGTGCTGCCGACCGTTGCCGCAGCAGATCGAGACGAGGGGTGGATTGTGTGTGACCTATGGTTCGAATGAGGAGGCTTCTCTGCGCTTCGAATTGTAAATTCGCACCATATTGAACCAGCTATAGTACCTGGGTTAGCCACTGTCTTTGTCGGGAATATAACGCAATCACCTGAACGGTGCGAGATTCTCAGCCCCACTCGCTGACAGCGATGATACGAATGCGATCGGACGAGGGACGATCCCGCTGATCATGAGCGTATACAGCTTCCTGCACACGAGATAGTGTGAGGATACAGCGCGGTATCGAAAAAGCTGTACGCAAAAACTTCCAGCTTGTCTTCCTTCGCGGTGTCCACCACCTTCCAGCCTGCCTTCTCTCCTTCCATCCATGCCTTACCTGCCGGTGTGTCCGCGGTCTTTTGACCATAGGTCCACTGCGGGTTCGGCGAAAGCGTACTCTGGTACGCGAACGAGTTATTGAACAGTGGGATATCGGCAGCCATATCTGCGGTGTGGGATGCGCTGCCTGGTCGATGACGATGATTGAACAGGCTTATGTAGGCTTTGTAGGGTGCGTATCCAGACCTTTCGGGCGTCTGCTCATTGAGCGCGTTCCCTGCACTGCCCTATCGAGCATGCGCACACTCCGGGGCGAAGCTCGGAGTCCGTACGCGTGGACTACTGATAGGCTCTGGGTTCGAGTTGGCGAAAACATACACATATACCCTGAGGCTTGAGCTGAGTGATGGCGGCCAGCAGTACTACCACTTGTCGAGTCAGCATCGCTCTCTAAAACAGCCCTATAGTCTAGCTGTGATCTGAACCTGGTAGCGCGACGTACCAAGTTCTATGTATCTGTCAATGAGACAGCTGCGATGGGCAATGTTGCGAATTGTCTGCAAGCGTTAACGTTGTCGCCCGGCGCGCCCCCGGCCGGGAGTGCCCCGGGCCGGTGAAACAATGTACCGCCTCGTCCTAATACGAGTCCATTCTATAGTCCGAGTCACCAGTACTTACTCGTCCTAACCCTCGATGGCTTGGAGCGACCCCCCTTACATGGGCCACGCCACGACGAACTGTGGAAGTGGAAATGAAGTTCAACATGCGAGAGTCTCCGGTTGATCATTGCCACTTCGCGCATACCTTTCAAGTCGTGCGGCTGTATGCCTGGTACGTGGTTGCCATCCAAGCAGAGGAATACATCGTGAGGATCAGCACGAGTAGCTAAATTGACTCACATATAGCGGGTCTTCTCCGGCGTGCTAGTAGCGTTCCGCTGCGGAGCTAGGGCAAACCCGAGCGACGAAACGCGATGATGCATCACTCCGCGCAAACACACATCACTGTCATCAGAGACTCACCCACAAACACGATGCTGCCACGGTGAGCTCTGATATTTGGACCACCATCCCGCCAGCTCGACGACCGACCGTTCCTTCGCTTTAGCTAGAAACGTTACGATTGCAAGCTCCGAGTCAAGCCTCGAGTTTGTGCTACAACTCACTACGGCCTCGCCACCACTTGACTACGCGGCGGTCATGTCATTGTGGCCAATCATCGGTGCCGTTTTAGTCGTTTGGGTGGTACGACGACTTCTGCGCTCGCATCCGACGTTGGAACACGTCCCTGGACCGATACCGTCGAACTGGTTCCTTGGATACAATTATGACCTTGTTCCGAAACCAGTGGGCACGCTCTACAGAGAATGGACTCGCACTTACGGACAAACATACAAGCTACGCGGGCCATTTGGAGTGAGCGACATGCACACGATTTCGTTCACAGCATGATTGAACGTTTGCAGGACTTGGAACTAGTCGTAGGCGATCCGAAAGGCGCCGCGCACATATTGAATTCGCCAAACTTCCAACGCAATTACTCCGATAGGGTGGCTTTGAAAGAATTCGTACGTATCATGTGTATTACAAATGACATGGCTGATCGTCTTCGCAGTTCGGGGATGGGGTGTTCAATGCCGAAGGTAGAGGCCCCATTCCATGAGGGCTACACGGACTGAAGGAACTCCCAGGTGAACATCATAAACGACAAAGAGCTGTGCTTAACACGGCCTTCTCGTCAGTACACACGCCGTTGTTATGTGAGTAGCCACTGACGACTTTGTAGGCCATCGAATGTTCGAGAGGTATCACATGTCCTCTTTGACCTCGCCGAACGAGTGAGTTTTCCCCTCGCGGCCACCGACGATATGTTCTTCAGCTGAACTACCTTACTCGCCTTAGCTCAAACAAGAATGGGAAGAAGAGCTGCGGAAAGCTGGACCCTCGGGCATCATATCTGAGATCACCACCAAAATGCAGCGAGTCGCGTTCGTATCCGCCGTCATTCATGCGTTCCGGATCCCTGAATGACCTGGTCTCGTAGCATCGACGCCATAAGCATGACAACGTTCTCCTACACGCTCTCCGAAGACCCAAACATCCCCGCCCTCATCGCAAAATAGCCGACGTCCCTCCGGCACGCTGACGCTCGTCGCGGAGTCACTCGTCGACGCGTTTCCCATCCTGTACAAGGCACCCAGCCCCATGCGGGACTGGACGGTCCTGCTCCGGACCGAGCTCGGGAAGATTGCGGACAGGATATGGAAGGACAACGAGCTGCAGAAAAGCATCGGCGGAGGGGCGATGCACTCGAAGCTGCTGGATGCTATGGGTAGGTTGGCTCAGGCATCTTGAAGAAACCATGCCTCACGTTGGTCGTTCAGGTAGCAGCAAGATGATAACTGGTGAATCGATGGATCGGGATACGGCGATTGCCAATGTACGTGTCGTGCGGGCTCGCGATGTATGGATGCTCATGCAGACGTCATCAGATGTGCGCAGTCATCTTTGCCGGCTATGAGACAACAGCGAATATCCTTTCCGTGGGTCCTCTACTGCACTGACCCAATGGCTAGATGACGAAGTACAGCTCATCCATTGGTGCCACGTAGGAATGCCTGTACGAGCTGGCGAAACAACCCGCAATCCAAGACAAACTGCGAGCGGAGCTCGAAGCTTTCATCGAAGAAAAAGGACGGGAGCCTAACTACGATGACCTCACCGGCAGCGAACTTCCATATCTCGACGCCGTCGCTCGCGAGGCGATGCGCACGAAGGCTGTCTTGTTGACCGTTACTCGTGCTGCCGTGGCCCCCGACACGATACCCCTGCACTTTCCCCTTCGTTCTACGGGAGCGACGGATGTCGTTGTGACTCCAGGACAATTGGTCCATGTCCCCGTACGGGATGGTATACATTCAGACCCCGCGATCTGGGGCCCGGATGCGGAGGAGTTCCGCCCTGAGCGATGGTTAGAGGAGGTCAGCGGGCCTTTGCCTGAGATGGTGAAGATGATTCGTGCACCTGGACATTTGCTGACATTCGGGGATGGGTAAGTCTTCATTGTATTTCACCCTTTGCATCGTTAACGCGCTGTCTTTGCGTCAGACCGAAGACTTGCCTCGGAAGGTACTTTGGTAAGTTGCTCTTTCCACGCTGTGAACAACTCATTGAAACGACGGTCCATCTAGCCATGGCAGAGTTCAAGGTGAGCCCCACGAGTGACCTCGTACATCACCGTACGGCTGACGTTCGTCCCGCAGATCGTCATATCCACCATCATCCGCCGGTTCGTGATCGAAGATGTGGATGACATATACGACTTCTACCGCCAAACGAGCAATACAATCAAGCCCAAGATTAGAGGGCGCGAGCAGGAGCCTCCTCAGCTTAACCTACGGGTCAGGTCGGTCGATGATGTGTAGTACTGGTTGAAAGGTGTGCCCGCGTATGCGTGCTTGGTTGACTGAAGCTTATCGCTCTGGTCAGTAGGTACTAGATCTCTGACTGCCGCTATGGGTGTTCTTCGGGACAGTGTACCGTGGTCTGCATCATATTCAAGCCCTTTGCAATACTTATTATTGTCGGGGCCCTTCCGTGCTTACTGAGTGAAGGTCATGTTTGTCCCAGGATCCTCATGCCAACATTAAGGCCATAGTAAGGGATTTAACGCTACGCTTGTCCACGGCAGGCTACAGGAGGAGGAGGAGGAGGAGGAGGAGGAGGAGGAGGAGGGGGGATCGGAACTCATCTCGTCGCATTGCACGTCTGGGCGCCTATCCCCTAAATGCGATCCTCTTCCTCTTCGGGTAGGATACATTCCACCCGCCGTTGCCTCCTCCTCTGTCAAAGTTTCATTCCCCGCTACTTCTGAAGTGGCTGAGAGCTCGAGGATGTATATATAAGAGGACAAGACCCTCTAAACAGCGGATTCCATCTCTTCGCCCCGTCCCTCTGAGCTAGATTGCCACTGAGACAGCTACAGCATCACTGAACTCGCCGGCCAGGTGAGCCGTGCTCTCGTGGTAGTCCAATCACAGTGGAATATAAGCCAAAAAATATCCTCACACGCAGCTGGCAAAGCTGTGAGGTCGTGTACAAGTCGTGTACGTGGTGAAAGCCATTCAAACGGAGTCCGACGGACCTCATCTAACTTACTTTCATTGCCTTATAGAGCCATGCGGGAGACTGCCAGATCCTGATCGCCACTAGTCACCTTGCGCGCTCGCGCTCAGCGCTCAACGCGCGTCGCGCGAAGATTCACCGCCGCGGTGAATCTTGCCGTTGGATTGCTCCTGTGAGCCGTCGTGCATTGACTCTATGTATTCTTCGCTTGCTTCAGATTTCATGCCCCACGTCCTACGCGCGCTCTAGAAGACGGCCCTCCATAACATGGGGGAGCATCCCTCGTTGCTCCATTCTCTTCACGGTCGCGACCACTCCACCTATGACATAGCTCAGACTTGCCGATATGCGCGTTCGTGCACGCTCCATACACATGAACTCCTATAAGTGTCTTCCCTTCCAGCGCCGACGACTCCAGTACACCACGCTCGGCTTTCCAACGACTCTTTACGACGTTCTTGACCTGTTCACATTCTGACCTCACACTTCCCCGATAGAATTGACGACAGCAGCGAGGGCCGACGATGTCGCACAAGCTTGCGGAGCCCTACTCGGGCAAGAACCCTGTGCCAAAGATCACCACGAAGCTCACCTCGCTCTTGAATCCCGAGAAGGCCACCGAGGCCAAAGCGAAACAGGTGCAAGACAGCCCCGGGAAGAGGCTCGTCAAGGGACACGCCATGCGAACGACAGACCCGACGACTGGAGAGGAGCTGACCATTCGGAACGCGGACCCGAAAATGGAGGCTGAGTGGGAGGAGGAAGGCGGAGAGAATGTGTTGAGCCATGTGTTTCCGCCTCCAGGTATGTGTTCATCCATGCTCAAGAGTACAGCAACTTAGTCGGCATGCGTAGACATTGACATGCATCGCAAGGTCATGCTGTCCTCGACATCCACCGCCATTCTATACATTTCAGCAGGTTACACATGCGCCCTGCTCGTCGCTCTCCTGTTTGGCTCATATCTCTGGTTATGGCCCGTCATACTGTTGCCTCCCATCTTCCTTGCGTACAGCATGCATTTCCGCGTCAAGAACGCGTCTCAGAACGACTTCCAGAACCGTATATGGCATTCGGAGCGCGTGCGCGGTCTACGCGCGGGTGACGACCTAGACCGCAATGGCAATGTCGCAACAGAGGAACGGACGAAAGAAAGTGTAGAATGGGTCAACTCGGTGCTGAGGGGCGTGTGGCCTATCATTAACCCTGACATGTACGTCATCCTGCCCTCCATTTCACAGTTCCTCCTCCCATCTCCTGCAATAGGCTCTATTGGTGTGAAGTGTGTGCTCTGGGGCGAGTATGGTTGCTGACGTAGAGCCTATTGTGACATCCAGGTTCAGCTCGCTCGTGGACATGGTCGAAGACATCATGCAGTCTAGTGCACCGTCATTTGTTGTACGTCCATTTGCCGTCTGATCCATGCCCCATGTTCATATGCCACCATAGCACTCTGTTCGAATTGCCGACTTGGGCCTCGGCTCGAACGCGGCGCGCATGACGTCGATCCGCTCCTTGCCCGACGCGGACGGCAGCAAAGACGGTGACGGGATCTCCGAGTCGCTCGAGGTGGACTCCGCAGACATGTCGCCAGAGGAGCGGGACGCTCTGGGCGGCGACCACGTCAACCTTGAGGTAGGGTTCGCATACCGCGCGGAACCAAGCGGGGAGTCCGCGCAGAGCAAGGCGAAGAATATACAGTACGTCTCTGTACGTGATGTATGTCAGCAGTCCACTGACGATGGAATGATAGCTTGCTGGTGGAGTTCTTCGTCGGCTTAACGGGAGTCTTTGGTGTCAAGTTTCGTCAGTGCGACTTTCAGGTTCTGCGGTCGGTCTTACTCAACGTTTGCCTTGCAGCTGTCTGGGTCGAAGTGACCGGAGCGATAGGGACGGCGCGCGCGCGTGTCCAACTGATCTCCAACCCGCCATTGTACGCCTCACCCACTTCGGAGATTGCTTACTCCTCACGAGCTTTTGACTTCTGCAGTGTCAAAACAACGATGATAACCCTGCTCGGTTTGCCCCATATCACTATCAAGGTCGTGCCACTGAACGAGCGGCTTCCAAACATGATGAACATCCCCTTTATCTCCGGGTTCATCTCGAGCGCGATCAACACCGCTGCGGCTGAATATGTCGCGCCGAAGAGCCTGACCCTCGACCTCCAAAAGCTGATCAGTGGAGACGACATCAAGAAAGGTACGCATACTCCGCCCCGATCGGTGTCGTATTGACTGTGCCGACGTATTGACTTCGCAGACACGGAGGCACTTGGTGTGTTGATAGTCCACATTCACCGTGCGACTGGCCTGGCAAAGGCGGATACGAACGGGTCATCGGGTGAGGGTTTCGAAATGGCTCTTCCATCCTTGCGATCTGCCACACTAACCTGCTCGGTCCAGTAGATCCATACATCACACTTACGTTCTCGCGGCTTGGCAAACCACTGTACTCAACGCGGATTATCATGAATGACCTGAACCCGGTATTCGAGGAGACGGCCATTATCCTTGTGGACGTCAACACCGTGAAGCTGAGGGAGAAGCTGAGCTTCCAGCTGTGGGATAGCGATCGCATGAGCCTGGTATGGCCTTGTTCGTCTCCGTATTCACGATTCTCAGGCTGATGGCGGATGCTGTTGTGACTTGCAGGACGACATGCTCGGCTACCACGAAGTCGATGTTGTCGAGCTGGTCAGGCAACGAGGGAAACCCGTCCGGCGCGTCTCCACTCTCTCCTCTCCTGATTCCCACCACCGCCCCGGAAACGTCGAGTACACCGTGGGGTACTACGGCAAGCTCTTACCCAACGCTGCGCTATCCACGGATGGTGTGGACCCTGGCATCCCGGACGACCTCCGGCAGAAGCCAGAGTTCAAGGAGGCCCGGGCGGTCGCGCTCGATGATTTGGAGGCGGACGTTTTGACTACGCCGCCTGATCAGGAGTGGGTCAGCGGAATTCTGAGTGTACAGGTGCATGAGATCCGGTATGTGTTGAACAGAGTTGGATATTGGCTTTGCGGATCTGACCGATGTTTGTTCTCCAGATATTTGGCAGTTCGGAGAGGCGAGAAGTCGAGCGAGGGAATGGGGGCCAAGGGTCAAGACGATTCAGACGAAGCGCGGGAAGAGGGTGAAGATCTGCCATCCAGTTACTGCACTATGTGGGTCAGGCGACATATACTGCTCTGGAAGTCGCTGATGAGCTCCTAGAGCGTTGAATGACGAACTGGTGTACGAGACCCGCGTGAAGCCAATCACCAGCTCGCCTATGTTCAATGCCGGGACAGAGAGGTTCATCAGAGATTGGCGCAAGGCACACGTCACTGTCAACGTCAAAGACTCTCGGATGCGAGAGAATGATCCAGTACTCGGCGTAGTCTTTCTGAAGGTACGTGGACTTACCTGAGGGCTCTGCGCCATGCCTTATGTGTCCACTTCGCCGCAGCTTTCTGAGCTTCTGGTGAATGCGTCTGAAGTTACCCGCTACTGGTCTATCGAGCAGGGTATCGGTTATGGCCGCATCCGCATCTCAGTGCTCTTCCGACCTGTGAAGCAAAGCTCCCACCCAATCTTCTGGCTTCGAAACGGGACACTCGAGATCCGCGACATTGCCGTGCAGTCAGGGAAATTTCTCGGACTGCGAGGTGCGTATGAAGGTCACTACCATACCCGCCGAACAGAAGGTGTCCGAAAACAAGCGGAGAAACGTGACGATGAGACGTGTGGAGCCACAAGACACCTCCAACTTGTTGTCGACAGCGATACGGGGCAGCTCTACTGGTTCTTCCGCGACGCCAGCGGTTTCAAGACGTCGGCGCGCAAGCCCTCGGCGTACTATGGCTCCGTGACCTCGTGGATTACGAAGACGGGCCGGTCGAGATCGCGTTATGGCGGCGAAGCACGGAGACTACTCCCGACTGAAGCTCAATTACGTCCCGCCTGACGGCGATCTGTCGTACTGGGATTCGGACAGGGAGAAGATCGAACGCATCGGTTCGGTCTTCTTGGACATTTGCTTCAAGCCGGGCATCTCTGGTCTCCATCACCAGCTACTCAAAGGCGAGGGTGCCAAGAAGCGCCAGGCCTGGGATGAGTATGATAGGCAGGAGGCCGGAGGGATGCGGGACGACGTGGGGAAGATGGGCGTCGAGTCTACGGCGGAGAATCATCAGCCGAAGGAGAGTAACGAACGAGTCGGGCCGATGGACGCGTTGCTGGAACACCGAACATGACAAGACTATGAGCGGTGGTCCGGTGAATGCGGCGGGAGGCGATACATCGTCGGCGGGCGTTGGTGATGAAAGCAGGACGGAAGGCACGAATACGGTCGTCTCTTCCGACGCAGCGGAGACCGAGGAGCAGACGCTCGAGCACCCCGAGGAACACACAGAGGAAGCTGAGCGACGGGATGAGGAGTCCAGCGAACAAGACGGCGAGTCCGAGAGCAAGGGTCCCATCGAGAGGTTCAAGGATTGGCGACAGCATGAAAAGGAGCTGCATCGTGGTCACCGTGGCGTCATGCAGGCGAAGCCCGCGCGCACTGCCCAGTGGATGAAAGACAACGTTGAGGAAGGCGTACATGCAGTCAAAGAGCGCATGAAAATGCATGCGAAGCAGCCGGATGTCGAGACCGAGGTCTAACAGGTTATGGGTGGATTCACGGACAGTTGTAACTTACTGGAGGTGTACTATTACTCTGGAATTGTGTATACTCTATAGCCATGCGTTGTTGTTGCCGTATTGAAGCGGTCTTCTCTGTACAAGTAAGGACACCCTCACGGATATGCTGTAGTTCATCTCGTCTCGTCTCGATGCTATCGATGTTTGTATGCTACACACCGTTCTTTCCATTACAGTACGCTATGTCTTCGCTTTGATAAGGCCCGCCATGAGATCGAAGCTATTTCCGTCAGGTTGTAAATCGATGTATGTCCCGCTGCCTCCTCCGCCCAACCGTCCCTCTCGGGCATCGTGCGCAGCAAACCATGGTCGCTTGTGATGCCGACAATGCGGACCATCTGAGGTGGTGTGACGGTTGTCAGCTCCACGAGTTGGTCCCTGCGTGGATGCCATTTGGTTCAACAGTGCATGAAGAGGCAAGGTGAAAGAGTACTGACGAGTGCAGCCATCGATCATAGTACAGGTCGAGGAAAGGCTCAAATGACCCCTTGTGGTACAGGAACGTTCCCCAAAGATCTTCAAACTTGGTGAGGATGATAGCGGCGGTGCGTTCCATGGTCAGCGAGACGCTCGATTGCGGCGGGACGAGTTGAAGTAGAGACTGGATTGGTGGAGGGTTGAAGACGTTCAACCCACTGCCTACGAATCGTTCAGAAATACGTGAACCATGCATGTACTTGTTCATACCGATCACAATTTCCACCTTCCCACCCGAGAAGCTCGTGTTGACGAGTATGCCCCCGATCTTTCTTTTCTCCCCGGTGTTCGTCACCACATACACGTCATTCGGCCACTTCAGTCTCGCTCGCCTGCCTTCTTCGCCGAGAACGCCCTCGTCCCTGCATGCCTCGACAACGGCAAGCCCAAACAGGTATTGCACAAAGACGAGCTTGCTCGCGGGGAACTCTGAGAGGGAGACGCGTAGAAGCAAGGAGAACTGGAGGCATCCCGAGGGAGACAGCCAGACATTCGCGCCTCGTCCGCGGCCGGCGAGTTGATGCGAAGCGAGCGAGACTAGGGGAGCGGGGAGAGTCGAGAGCAGATGGGTGTTCCTATGTTGGGGACATATCAGCGGGGAGGCCCGCGAGGCTACCGGGGTGCACCTACTTGTCAATCATGGTTTGCGTGCTCGTCACAACCTCTCCGTAGAACAAGGCTTCGCCCATTCCCCACGCATCTTGGCTGTCCTTGCAACCAGCCTTGCGACGCGCGCGCGCCAGCTCGTCGTAGAATTTCTTGGTGTCGAACAGAGGTGTCTGTTCTGCTGAAGGGAGTAGGCCGTTGCGGCAGATGAGAACGTGTTTGGGATTCCAGGATGAAGATCCGATCGCCGTCCAGCGTCCTCGCGGGCCCGACTGAGCACCTCCCACCCGGCACTAGCAAGTTGATAGTGAAACGTATCGTTGCTGTCTTGCAGTGTGATCGGCTTGTGCGGGGGTAACGAATCCGGTTCGATGGACAATGCCTGCAGAACGCGATCTACGATCCATGGCTTCGATGGGGAGGATGTCAGGAACTGTGGGAGCGGACTGCGATACTCAGATGTCTTCTCGGGTAAGACGAGGTCTAGCGTCTGGAGTATAGATCGGAGGAGTTGCTGACGCTGGGCTTCCGCTTTCTGGAGCTGATCATCGGAGAACAAGGCAGGAGAACCCGTAAGCCGAGACAAGAGAGGTTCGTCCGTGAGCGGGTGGTCGATTAGGATGGCGCAGAATATCGCACTACCCTTCCCATGAGATAGTTTTGTTGTGGCAACGCCAGTGCACGCCCCGTCTTCCACGACATGGGCTATAGGTTCCAATTTGCTAGGCTCCGCGCTATCGACACCCTGAAAACTTCCGAGGAACGGCAGGCAATGAATGTGAAAACCACCAAGCGATATCGTCGTGAGTAGCGCGTTCTTGAGAGAGCCTCCTTCGAATGCTACGGAAATCTTGGTGTCGGAGGACTTGTCCGAGAATTGCAAGGCCTTGCTTTGCTCAGCCAGCGTCATCTTGGACAATCGCTCTTGCAATCCAATATGAGAGATCGCTCCGTGCGTCTGCACTTTGACGGTCGCTCCGATTGTCAACAATCTGCCGCCGTCCTGGACATACTGTTCGATCGTCGAACTGAGCGTAGAGTCAACGGGAGTGCTCTTGCATGCGGGCAAAACGAGCAGGGCGCAGTTTCCCAGCCATGCCTGGGTAGACAACGCCTTCCGGGTGACGCTCTGTACTGCGTAGTTTGGGCCGAGGGCAATTCGAAGAGAGGTGATGCAATGGGAGAGCGAGGATGCTACAACCTCGGGTCCTGAATAAACAAGAACGTTCATTCCTGTGCACACAGCTTGCGTGACGGCAGGAGAAGACTGGACAGCCGGACGAACTTGTGACACGAGATTGCAGCCAGATCACCACAGCCAAATATCCGAATTATGGTGACATGAGCATGAATCGCAGAGTCCGAGTTTCATTATGCTCACAACAGCGACGATTTAGCCTGCTATTAGCGTTGAGGTAAGCAAGGAGTATCGCCGCGCCTGCCTTCCCTGAATGCGTTAGCGGCCTACGATGGCTGCAGTGGTGGTGTAGGAGCAAAATGAAGCCGTTTCTCGTTTTCCGTCAGAGCGCGGCACGGCGTGGCGCCGAGCGGTGGGTAAGATCTGAATCTCCCGATCAGATCGTGGCACTCTTTGAGCGGCGAGCCGCCCTTTGAGTTTCAACGCGACTACTAGTAAGCTCTTGCCACTGTGACTAGTAATTCTATCATATCCTACAAAAGAACTCATCTTGTTTCACGTTCTATACCATATGTCCAGCGACCGACAATTGCGCGACTTCATAACCCGACAGAGAGTACTGCTCTCCAGCGAACGAGATGCAGAGGTTGAGCGGTCGGCCCTCCTGCTTTCGAATTGCGGACCAAAGCTGCTCGAGCAGAAAGGTCTAGCACTTGGGGGCCTTGGAGTAGCTAGCATCAACATAGGACTTGGAGGAAAGACGTACGATTCTACTGTTCGGGATATACCCCGGAGCTGACTACATATTGGGGTCCACCATGGATTAGTCTAGTGGAACTAGAAAGACCTACGGCGTATCATTCCACTCCATTGTTGCCTCCGCACAGTCTCAGGTATATTCAGGTGGCCTCTAGGATCTAGGAACGACTGACACTCTGTAGACCAGGTGACCTGGCCAGGATAGAGGAAATGTCGCTGAAGGTTCAGCTCGCAAGAAGACGACGACAAAGGGAAAGAAGGCGGATTCTGCTGATAAGTCACGTCGCTCGACCGAGGGCGTTGTGTACAAGGTAAACCCTTGTTCTCTTCCTGACGAACTCGATGCTGAACCCGTTAGGTGTCAGACACGCGCATTGTGGTCGCGATGAATGCCTCTGAATCTGGCAACGATGAACTCGACATCCCCGACCGTTGTCGACTTCTAAAACTCGCGAACAGCGTGACGTACGATAGGTGAGGATGCTGATGGATCTACCAGTTCCGGTCTCAGAGTGCATATTCAGGATGGACAAGGCATTAGATCAACTCGAGAAAGTGGTCCTGCCCGACGCAGCAGTATGCCTTCGACTGTCATGACTTTGCGCGGCTGTTCACAGTTCGTGTAGGGGGCTACCGGACCAATCCCTGAACTAAGTGGTCTAGTGCGCGTGCTTATGGGAATATCACAGCCCTCAGAGCCTCAGAACTCGAGAGCATCACATTCTTCGATGGCAGCCTAAACCAGAGCCAACGCGACGCCATCAGGTTCGCGATGGAATCCAGAGAAGTAGCCTGCATTCACGGCCCACCAGGTAGTCACATCTTCATGCGTGTTTGCGCACAATTGAGCTGAAGCTGCCATCGGCCACAGGCACAGGAAAGACACATACACTCATCGAACTCATTCGCCAATTGACCAGCGTGACCCCGGCAAACCCCAAGCCGCTCCGCCTGCTCGTGTGCGGCGCATCCAACCTCTCCGTGGACAACATTCTCGAGCGACTACTTGCTTTGCCTGCGCCTACGAATGGTGCAAAGCTCAAAGTGACACGGGTAGGACATCCCGCCCGCGTGATGGCACATGAAGGGGTGCTTGACGCGACGCTCGAGATGAAGGCTAGCAGGAGTGACCAGGTGCGGCGCGATACGACGCGGACAGTGAATCGCAGTTCATGACGTGTCCGCAGGCGGCGCTGGCAAAAGACGCGAAAAGAGAGCTCGAGGAAACCCTCGCTATACTCTCTGGAAAAGGGAAAAGCGCGAAGGGCAAGGCCCCGAGGGGGGCCGAGCGTAGGAAGATGTGGGAAGAAGTCAAGGCATTGCGCAAAGAGTGAACAATCCAGCAGTTGTCGATCGGACCGCCCAGACTCGTTCCGTGACTAACGTTATTTGTAGATACCGACGGCGCGAGGGCGGTGTTGTCGAAAGTGTCCTCGGGGAATCACAGGTCCGGTAGTCTCGTTTGGTGGGCTAGCCGACATCCTGATTCGCAAGTGACTAGGTCGTCCTTGCAACGTGCCATTCTGCCGGCGGGTGGCAGTTGCGAAACCATCAGTTCGACGTTCTCATCATAGACGAAGCAACCCAAGCCATGGAGGCGGTACAGGCATTAGTTCCTTGCCAATATCCTTTGCTGAACGAGAGTGTTAGGTCTGTTGGATACCGGCCTTCAAGGCGAAGAAGTTGATCCTCGCTGGAGATCCGATGCAGCTGCCCCCTACTATTCTCTCAACTGATAAGAAGCGCAAGGAAAAATTCCACCAAAGAGGGAAAACGGAAACTGAAACGAAGCAGTCCGCAGAAAGATGCGCCCAAGCCATCGGAGCCACCGCCCGTGGATGAGCATAAGGATTCGAATGGCTCAGAGAATGGCAATGATGACTCCAGCTCTGCAAGTGATGTCGAGATCGACGACGCCAAAGCACCTGCAGAGCCCCCAGAAGATAAGCAGAGCCAGCGAGTATTCAAGAAGATGAGCTCCGACCGCCGCGATCGCTCGAGACGACTCTATTCGATCGACTCGAGAAGATGTATGGACCTGGCATCAAACGCTTGTTGAACGTGCAATACCGGTATGTCTTTGCGCCCCTATGAGGCCGCCCATCGCAGGTTACATCGCTGAGTCCATCGCAGCATGCACGCCCAGATCGCGGCGTTCCCTTCAAAAATGATGTACCAGAACAAATTGACGTCCCACCCCTCCGTTGCATCTCACCTCCTCAAAGATCTCCCGAATGCAAGTGCAGCGGACGAAGACGAAGAGAGGGAATTGCTCGGCACCCCCGTAGTGTTTTTCGACACAGCGGGTGCGAGTATTACGAGAGGGTCGAGGGTGACGAAGATGAGGGGAGTAAATGCAACGAGAATGAAGTGACTGTGGTGAAGAAGTATATCGAAGAATTGGTAAGTACTCACCCTCATCTCTGTTGTGCTATTCCAACGCATCGAGATACATCTAGGTTGGCGCAGGCGTGCTACCGTCACAAATCGCTGTGATCACCCCGTAGGCGCCATTTGAGACGACCATGCGCGTTTTATTCAACGCGGACAATAGGTACCAGGCTCAAGTTGCCCTTTTGGCATCCACGTTACGACCCGTTTATGGACTTGACCTCGAAATTGGGACTGTAGACGGGATGCAGGGCCGGGAGAAGGAGACGGTGATAATCAGCCTTGTACGAAGCAATGAGAAGGTAGGCTGTGTCAGTGTCGTACTGTGTGCATGTGACACTGATGCGATATCAGCGGGAAGTAGGCTTCTTGAAGGATAAACGAAGACTCAACGGTGAGCGGAATACAAGTTACAGGTTTCCTTGACTTGACCGCCATTCCCAGTTGCGATGACTCGGGCGAGGCGCCACTTGGTACGTCAACTGTCAGAGGCATCAGACCCACGTTGACAGTGCATTGTATAGTGTGTGGTGGGCGACTCGTCCACCATCCAGCACGGTGGACGGTTCTTGAAGGCGTGGTCTGCATGGCTGGAAGCCAATGCAGACGTACGGTTTGCCGGCATAGACTAGGGCTTGTTGTCAGTCTGCTTCGGGCGCTCTGAACACATCCACTGTCGCAATTAACTGTATATTGTCTAGGATATGCCAAGGGTCGGGCAACGACTCTCGGCCAGTCGCTATGCACCCGCGTTAGATGACAGCATCTCTAGGTCGTCTGTGCTGTTCATCGATTGATCACCGCTTTCACATTTGAAGGCATATAGGGAAGCCATACTACTTTCGACAGATGTAGTGCTCGGTAGGCTCTCGAAATATGCAACAGTTGCGACTTGATACAGATTCTCAAGACCTGAACGTAAAACGCGCAGCCGTACGGAACAAGTGACTGCTTGAATAGAACAACTTGGTACAGTGCTGGAGTGGGCACACCACTTTGAGCTCGTTCGTCCGAGCCCGAGGAATTGTCATACCAGTCCTTGTGATTTCCTCGGCGCCCAAGTTTGACCGATGACCTTGGTGAGTCCGTCTGGCCCAGTGTTCATTCGGAATGCTCAGATTCAAGATTAGTTGCTGCATCTAATGCTGTCCCACTGGCAGATTTGTCCCCACCGGACAACACGTCTCCGGAGTTCAGGATAGCTTCCGCCTTCACGGAAGATATGCGTGTCGCTGGTAGCATGAGCGCCGGGCCTGTATATCGCCGGAAGTCCAAGAGGACACTTACGACACAATGAACGGACACTTACCGGTGACATCGGGTACCGCGACACGGAGGCGTAGTCTATTCAATTACTAGATATTGGTTCCATTCCCGATGTCCAGCTATTGAATAGGCTTATATTAGATGGGAGCCCACGCTGCACTGCTCATATCCCTCCCAACTCTGAATATCTGGCTCTAGCATCGACTCGTTATGAGTGTTCCTGCGCCCTCCGCTGTCAGTAGTCCATCGGTGCGAGCACCAGCGCAGAAGTGCTACATGGTGGTGACGCCTTCAGTTATCAACTCCAATGGGACCAGAGATCATGTAAGTAACTCATCCGTGTCTGATTATGCTAGGCTGAAAGTCTACTGTCGATGTCAGGATGGCAACGACATCAAGTGGTTTTTGAAGTTCGGTGATGGTGAGGGAGAGACTCCGACGGGTCGCTACGTCACTCACAATCCCGACTATGAGTGAGTTTTCTATGGGGTATCGCGCTATCAGGCAGTCATTCTGACGAAGATTCGTGGCTAGGATTCAAACAAACGAGACTGGTCGAGCAGGAACCGAACTGAAACAGAAAGTCTTGGAACAGCGTGGGTTCCAAACATCCGTCGGACATGGCCGTACGTGAATATCATAACGATCGTGTTAAATATGTACTCACCAGCGAATTCATGCGACCCAGGAAGCGAGTGGTTTGTACTCTGGGAAAGGCCGGATCAGAACCCACCCATAACCTTGAGTCAAACGTTGACTCAGGCAATCGACGCCTTTGCGCGCTACAACCTCGGCACCGCAGCGGGTCGTACTGCAGCGGTCAATGATCTGAATAGCAAGATTCCTCAGGTGTGCAGGGCTGCGCCACCTTGAGTCAACTCACAAACCCTCCCCGCCGAATCCTTGTGTATTTCTCGAGCAATTCATACGAAATCGACGTGTTCCGGTCAAGACACCAATGTATGCATCTATAAATATGGGTTAAATGATACATCGTTCACAGTGATCTTGGCATCACGTATGCGTGTTCGTACGGTACATGGGTAAGTATCATGTTACAACGCTGCATGGGAGCCCACCGTCACGGATCAAGACGTGGAAGGTACAACAAATAGCCGAAAGAGGCTGGAAATGCCGATCGAGTACAGGGCGGACGGGCCAGCACCCACCGGGACCAGCAGAATAAAATTACGATACACACGGGCAGCCGTCGTCGAGCTCAGTACTCTTGGATTTCAGACAGCGACGCGTACTCCGAAGTCGTCTGGTCATCATCATCATAGTACTCCTGAACCACCTCGCGCATGGCATAACGCATGATGGGCGTAATCGGCACGAGCTTAGGTCCAACTACGTCCTCCTCGTATTCCTCAGGCGGCGGCTGGCCCATCATCTGCTCGTGCGCACGCAGTATCTCCTCCTCCGACATCGGCACCATCTCGCCCTCCTCCGTGCCCATCTCGTTGTAGTCGTTCACCGCCGTCATGCTGCTCCCCGCGGCAAACTGCACGCGGCTCTCGCGCCCCGGCACGCGCACGCTGTCCCGCATCCGAGTGCTGTCGCGCAGCCTCACACTCAGCGTCCGCGAGTCCACGCCCTCTTTGGTGATGGGCTCCGTCCACCGCAAGTCCAAGATCCGACCGCGTACCATGCCATCCACCGCACGCGCTCCTAGCTCGCGGCAGAGGAGGAAGTACGGTAGTGAACGTGCACCGGGCTGGGCCAGGCGGTTCATGACCTTGAGCAGCTGAATAGCCGTGAAGTCTGCGTGGAACTCTGGTGCGTCTCCCCCATCTACACCCATAGGACCGAAGCTTGCTGGTGCTGCATGAGGGTTGCGGTTCAGCGGTGAATAGATACGGAAGCCGGAGTTGGAACCGGGAGAGGGCGGGACGCGCTGCTGCGCGGTTTGCGACCCTTCGTGTGCGTGCTCAGAAGGCGGCGTAGCGTCCGTCGCTGGCGCGGCGCCTGTCGCAGACGGAGGTGCCTGGGCAGAATGAATGATGTGCAGGTTGAGGAGGGCGTGCGCTTGGAGGAAGTGCGAACTTTGCTTGACTGTGAGCGCGGTGAGTTGGCGTGTATCTAGGCGAGGAGGGGGTGAGCCCAACGTACTGTCCAGCTTTCCACGGGTGTTGACTTTACGAAGTGAGAATCAGTGTATGCGAGGCCCACGTAAGGAGATCGACTGACCGTAATCTGGGATGAAATCTTGCCAGTGCGCCAGTTTGCCTCCGAACGCTTCATAAAGCTGCTCGAAGTCGAGCTTTGGACGGAGCTCCTCCGGGACGCTCGGCAGGATTCGCTCGCGGAAGAAACGCCTCGTGTCCGCCTTCGCGTAGTCGCCTACAGTGATGATCTGAAATGGACGCTGAGACGCTTTACATCAAATCACAATGACATACAACATACCTTACAATGCTGCATGACATTCAGCTGGCGGAGCCACGTCTGGTAGAACGGATCGCTCGTCGCGTGTATGACATGGCAGAGCCGATCCTGTTTCGTGAGCACCAGCATCGCATCGAGAAGCGACTTCATCGCATCCACCGAATGAATGAGAGCCGGCCTGGTTCATCACCCACCCCACCCGGGGGTCAGCTCTCCATCCCGGGACGCAACGTACACGGAAATGACTCACAGCTTGTGCGCCTCGTCAATGAAGAACACCGGAACCTTCTTCACCGGCGGCGCGCGCTCCTTGCCCTTCTCCTTCGCCTCGTGCCGCGCATCGCCGTTCATGCTCCCCTGCTGCGACTGTCTGCGCGCCGCCCCCTCCGCCTGCGCACGCCGGCTGCCGAACAGACGCTTGCGCCACGATGGTCTGGTGCCCTTGGTTGGTTCCTTCGCCGTGCGGACCGACGAGGTGTCCGACTCTGTCTTGCGCTCCGCCGCGCAGACAGCCTCCATGTCGGGCTGGAAGTTCCAGTAGCGGAGCAGGGAACTCTGGGTATTGTTCAGTGATTGTTACACGTTACGGCCCCGACGAAGGGCGTGAACGCACCTGGAAGAGTTCCATCAGGCGGGCGATGTCGCTCGTCTTGATCTCCGCCATCGTCAAGTGTGGTGTCCCCTCGCCGGATTGGCCGGATGTCCGACGCTCAACATTGAGCCTGTCGTGCTGCGCCAGCTGTTAGATATCACGTACACGGCTGTAGACATCATCAGTGCATACCTTGAATGCCCACGCCTCCTTTTCGAATTCGCCATAGCCAGGCATCTCTGGGTCTTGAGAGAGCGCGTTGAAATATGCCTCCATTTGTTGACTGCACGGTGTCCAGCTCAACGTGCGACGCGCGCATACAGCTAGTCAATAGCTCACCTGAGGCTCATATAGAGACTTGGCAGGTCAGCGAACCCCGCGATCCGGAGGTCAAAGTGCAGCACATGGTACGTCGGGCGTGTCAGCACCTGGCGCAGGAGGGCCGTCTGCAAATGCAAATCGCGTCGCCGCGTCACCGTCAGCATATGGTGCGCTCTGCATTCCACGATCGGAGACACTCGATCCCTGCCCCAGACCGCGATGAAGATTTACCTTGCCAACGCTGCTCGCACCGAAGAGTACCGTGAAGCTTGGCTCGCCCTCGAGAGCACGCTCGATGGCCTTCAGCTCCGCCGGGCGGTCGAAGAATCCTGGGAGGCCCGAGAAGGTGTGTGTCGGACTGAGCTGTGCGCGCTCTCGCGCCTCAGCCAGTTCTCTCCGGGTCTCTTCGAGCATTCTCTTGGATTCTGTGAGGGAGCGCAGCGTTTCGGACGGCTGCGGTTATCGTCAGTATCGCCTAAGACGTAAAGTTAGCTAGAGGTTGCCTGCGCTCACGTTCGCGAGGACACCAAGGATGTCGCCGATGCCAAAGAAGTTGCGCTTTTTGACGTCGACGGGCAGGGGCATGCCGCGGCGGTGGGGGATATTCGAGCGGAAAAGCCACTGGACGTGCAGCCTCGCCGTAGGACCCAAGGTGTGCAGGCTCTGTCTGCGAGACGAAGGCGGCGAGGAGGCGTACGCACGCGGGCGTGGGCGTGGCGTGGGGGACTGCAGGCTGTTGATTGTCTGCTGTTGGTTCGCGGTGCCGTCTCTGCGTGCCATGCGATTACACTGCGTTCGAGGAGGAAAGATGCTAGAGCTGGGAAGAAGATACAGATAAGGCGTTAGGAGTGAATGAAAGACAAGACTTGGAAAGCGATAGCGGGCATGGGCTGAGCTCGAGATGAAGGTGAAGCGAGAGCAGATATGAAGCTGCGCCTAGTCATTGCCCGCCGTTCTGCATGCGGCGGAAGCTTGTCGCAAATTTGATAGGACAGCCACGCCACGCCGCCTGGATGCTTCATGATGCGGCCGTGAACTCTTCACCACCGGGCAGGTGGTCTGTGCACGTTGTGCCGGCGAGGAAGACGGCGGTCGAGATTTGTCTAGGTCAACTTCTTGAATTGCCCTACTGATTCCTTACATCCTCGAGAAGAATACCAAGCAGAGAGATCCAAAATGTTGGAAGTTGGCTCAGCTACGGTATGGCACAGGGTGGTGTGATGGTGGTGCAAGGTGAAGAGCTCTGGAAACGGCAATTGTCTGTGACCGTGCAGCGTGTACGCCACAGCGACATCGCGATCACGTGACTCGACGCGTCGCTCAATACCGTAAATCAGTTCGATTCAGATTTCAGAAGAACTACATAGGTATGCCGAAAAGGACAGTAGGTTACCGAACGAATAGAATAGGCTGCGGGTAATTTCCCCTGACCGGACACGCGATTTGAGGTCGCTGGCATGCTAATGCCATATGATACAAGTAGTCTGATGCGGAACAGCGCATACACCATTTTGTATCCTGTTAGAGTTATACCACCGTACACTCGTAACATGTATCTGCTACTTCAATGTTCCTGTGAGAACAAGCTGTCTCAGACGGCCCAGTCGATCGTCACAATTGTACGACACACATGTCGTAGGCAGAATAGAATCCATTGCATCAATGATCACGCACTGGTAACAGTGAAATGTTACACGGACGATACACGACTCCATCTGAACCATTTCGCTGACACAGCAATAGCACCCGGTCTCCGGCGTCCACGTTCCGGCTCTACAGTGCATGTTCATTGGTCCACCGTGACGAGGCTACGAGACAAACGCGTCCATGGGGCCAGACAAGTGAGTAAGCGAGACTTGCATCTGGGCGAACCTTTATTCCGACTGCAGGCCTCAACCAGGACCGGATGGCCCCATCAGCAAGACATCAGCATAAAAGCGCAAGACGACAGTCGGTGTAACCACACCTCTAGACTCCCCGGTCCCTCAATGCCCACGATGACCTCTAACACAACAGAGGTGAGCAAATCTGTTACATCGCAGTCAAAGTCAAAGTCCAGACTTACGATCAGCCTTCAGGATGATGCAGTCTGTGTCGACAGCGGTAGTGTAGGCTTTCCGATGCCGGCTGGCGTGGTCAGTGCTCCAAGTACATCGGGCGGTGTGACAGAAATTGGACAGCAGGTCAGTCTCGTAGTGACTGCGTAATATTATCAGCAAGGCTAACTTGACCATACCTTCGGAATCTGCGCTAAGCCAACCGGGCACATTGCAGTACGTCAATCGATTTGACTGCGAGTGGTTCATAGTCGTGGCTCAGACGTGCTTACCTGTGACTTCCAAGACCAGTAAAGGCGATCATGCAGTTCAACTGGGCAATCAGTCGCTGCATCCGAACGACACGACACCGGTGAGCGATCAATCAAGCGCAAAATCCCAACTTTCACTTACTTCGTACAACAGAATCCCTCGCGGATAGGCATGAATCCAATGTACATGCCCGGCGCCTTTACGCCCTTCGGAGGGTCGGGGGTGCAGCAGTACGGGATGCCACCCAGTGTTCCTGACGGCATAGTCGCCCTCAGTTCATCAGAGGTTATGCAAATACGCGCTCTACTCGCCGAATGGGTGCGCGTCAAGGACGAGATTCGAGCTGCCCGTGAGGATGCTGCCGCTGCTGATGCTGCTGCCGCTCGGGCTGAGGCGATGGAGGCGAACGCGCGCGTGAAACGGATTGAGGAGGCCGGATTGAGGAGAAGCAAGAGGATGTCGACCAGCGCGAAGCAAGTATAGGGTTGACCACTGGAGCAGGCTGCTGGCCAGGGCGGGGCGCGCCTTACTTCTCTCTCGAAACATCCCCTCCACTTAGATTAATAGCTGTCACTCGCCTTTGTACTTAAAGTGGTCCGTCCACCACTTCGCATATCCATCCTTTCCCCGCTTTTTATCTATACCCAAGGACTATTTGCGAGCCTCACGCTTTCGGCGCGGACGAACGACGAGGGAGACTGGAAGTCGCGCGTGCATCAAGAGTCGCGTCGCCAAGTCGAGGGGCAAGTCGCTCGTTACGGTCGCGCGTCCGTTGTCAAGTCAGTGACTATCCAACATTGCCCGGGATCGCAACTCTTTTCAAACTGTTAGGCTCCCAGTCTAGAGCTGCACCAAGGCAGAGTGAGTCGGTCTTGGTGTTCTCATATCATAATACACATTAGCTTCCTCTGGCCTGTGTACCGAGTCGCGAGGATGGGTGGCTGAGGTCGGATGCGACCCACCGCCCTACGTCGGTGTATGTTTCGTCGTGGAGGGCCTGTCGATACGGAAACCACTGAACGTACCGTGCAGTATGCCTTAAAGCTTCACGTTCGACTTACCACCTCCGCGACTTGCAGGTTAGAAGGTTGTAAAGTTATTGCAGTGTCCAATTGGCGCCGTCCGTCCTCCGACGCGCGCGCCTCTTCCCTCCGACACCAAGTCAGAATCGGGACCGTCACACAAGCTGCCGCTGCCTTGCCCCCACATACAAGGGCAGTGTTGTGAGTATCAAAACTCTGGTCAATGCAGATTTGCTGAGCAATTGATCAAAGACCAGTCTTTTCGCGCTGATAGTGGAACTGCGCGGGACTGCAGTAAAATATAAGGTATCTGCACGTGGGTGAAACATACCGTATGCGGACGATCCTCTGTGATATCTTACTGAGACGGATTCTTTTGTGCTGCCATACAGGGACGCGCGTTTGTCTTGCTATAACAGTGTTGAATATCAAGAAGCCACGAGGCGGTGTCCACTGTCCGGAATATATACGCGCCTCGACTCGGGCGGACACCCTTGCCCACCGTCCTTGCGACTACCACACCATCTGCAGGTAAACGCACACACCGCGACAAATGAACAGAGGCGGCGACCGAGGACGAGGCTACGACAGAGGAGGACGCGGCCGTGGAGGCGGCGGCAGCAGCGGCCGTGGAAGCCCTGCACCAGGTGAGCGTGGCCGGGGAGGACCGCCGGGCGACCGGGGAGGTGGCCGCGGCGGGTACCAGGATCGGGGAGGCTTCCGGGGAGGCGATCGTGGAGGATTCAGAGGAGGTGACCGCGGCGGGTTCAGAGGAGGAGATCGGGGTGGCTTTCGGGGTGGCGACCGAGGTGGAGGGGGCTTCCGAGGAGGGGACAGGGGCCGAGGAAGGGGCGGTCCTCCCAGGGAACCGGCAGGGTAAGTGGCCCCATGCTTTCTGCGCCAGCGGGCGGTACTCAAGTTGCCTCGTGTGTGCAGGGTCTTCCTGCCGGCGTGCCTGCGAACGTCGACGCGCGCCTGGTGGACAACTCTGAAGAATCCCTCGTGGCCTCATTGAAATCATTGACGCTTCGGGAGGACGACCTGCCTACGCGGCCTGGCTTCGGAACCGGTGGCGTGCAGATTAAGCTGCGCACGAACTTCTTCCCCGTGCGCGTGCCGAAGGGGCCGCTGTACGAGTACGATGTGGCCATTACGCCAGCGACGGCCATCAAGCGCATCAAGCGCAGGATCTTCCAGCTCGCGGAGCAGACTCCTGGCTGGGCCAATGCCGGCATGGTCGGCCGGGTCGCGCACGACCACAGTTCGAAGCTGATATCCTCCTTCAAGCTCCCGCAGCCACTCGTGGTGAATGTCATCTACACGGACGAGGACGAGGACGAGGACAAGAAGAAGCCGAAAGAGTTCGCGCTGACAATCAAGTTCATCCAAGACATCGAGACCCAAAGTCTCGTAAAGTGCGTATCCTCTTTGTCGACTCGCTGGTTAGACGAGGGAGTGCCACAGTCTCGAGGTGCTGCTGTACTTGAAGTACCCTCCAGTACATCTGGCGCCTCCAGATCTGGCTTGTCTCTCGCTCCCATTTCCTTCCTCGTATTGTCGCTCTCGGGCGGATGCATGCTGACTTTGATGTGCAAGTTACCTCGAGGGACAGAAGCAGTACCGCGGCTACGACGTCCTCCCTGTCATCGCCGCGCTCAACCTCATACTTGCCGCGCACCCGAATCGCGTGGGCGGCGGTGGCGTCATGGTGGGCAAGAACAAGTTCTTCCATCCGTCACCGGCGCACCCGCCCACGTCGCTCGGCGGCGGGCTCGAGGCGTGGCGCGGCTTCTACTCGTCCGTGCGCCCGGCGTACAAGCAGCTGATGGTCAACGTCAACGTGTGCACGACCGCGTTCTACACGCCCGGCAATCTCGCAGACAAGATGCAGGAGTTCTTCAACGCGAGCTTCGGCGCGCGGTACGCGGCGTTCGTCAAGGGCGTCCGCGTGAAGACGACGCATCTCGGCTACACGAAGACGGTCAAGACGGCGGCGAAGGTCAACGCCCGCCAGCACAAATTCAACGCCGACGACTACGGTGAAGTGTCCGTGGAGCAATATTTCCAGCGCAGTGAGTAATTCCTGCTACGCGCCTGCCCCCGCTCACCCCTTCGTACAGAGTACAACATCAAGCTGCGGTACCCCGAGCTGCCGCTCATCGACGTCGGCGGAAAGAAGCAGAACCTGCTGCCCGCGGAGGTCTGCACCATCCTCGAGCGGCAGCCGTTCCGCGGCAAGCTGCTCGACGACCACGTCGCCGCGATGATCACCGTCGCCCTGCAGCCGCCGAACGTCAACGCGCGCGCGATCACCGAGCGCGGGCTGGACGAGCTGGGCTTCCGCCAGGGCCCGAACCCGCTCGCGGAGTTTGGCGTGAGCATCGGCACGGAGATGGCCGTCGTCCCCGGGCGCATCCTGCAGCCGCCGATGCTGCAGTACGGCCAAGGCGCGCCGCGCGTGGACGACCGCGCGAGCTGGAACCTGCGCGACGTCAAGTTCGCCGTGGGCGGGCGCCTCGAGAAGTGGGCGGTCCTCGTCATCCAGGACGGGAACCAGCGCGACGAGTTCGCGAACGAGCACGACCCGGAGCTGCGGAGCGTCGTCCAGGGGTTCATGGCGATGTGCCGCAAGTCGGGCATGCAGGTCGGGAGGGACGAGCCCGCCTATGCGGCGGTCCCGCTGCCACGCAAGGACCCCGCCGACCCGATCAGGAAGAAGGCGATTGGGGCGATCCGCACGAGGCTCATGTCCATCAGCCCGAAGCCGAGCATGGTCCTCGTCATCCTCTCCAACGGCGACAAGCACGTGTACTCCGGTATCAAGCATCTGTGCGACGTGTACCTGGACGTGCCGACGGTGTGGTGCACTCCGCGAAGATCCGGAAGGAGAAGGGGCAGGTTCAGTACTATGCGAACGTCGCGTTGAAGGTGAACATGAAGATGGGCGGCGTGAACCATTCCCTGGACCAGAGGAACATGACGTGGCTATGCAGAGCCCTACCATGCTTGTGGGCATGGACGTGACGCACCCCGGCTTCGGAACAGTCAAAGGGACGCCGTCGATCGCTGCCGTGGTCGGGAGTGTGGACAAGCAATATGGCCAGTTCCCTGCTACATTGCGGATACAAGAATCCAAGAAGGAGGTGGGTCTGCATCGCCGAGGCCTCCCCTTTTCTGTTAACTTTGTTGCAGATGATCACCGACCTTGCCGCTATGATGGAGGAACGTCTGAATGCGTTCAAGGCCAAGAACAGGATTCTGCCCGAGCGCATCCTCGTGTATCGCGACGGAGTCTCGGAGGTTCGTAGAGGCGCTCTCATGCTGACCAGACGCTGATTCCTGATTGCAGGGTCAATTCGCCATCGTCGTTGCTGAGGAGATGCCGGAGATCAAGAAATCGTTCCAGAAGTTCAGCACGCCGCAGAAGGCATACTCGCCCAAGCTCACCATCGTCATCTGCGGCAAGCGTCATCACACTCGGTTCTACCCCACCGAGGCGCAGCACGCCGATCAGCTGGGCAACCCGAAGGCGGGCACGGTCGTCGACCGTGGTGTCACCGCCGTGTACGACTTTGACTTCTTCCTGCAGGCGCACGGAGGTACGATCCCCTCCCCTCTGACGATGTGAACGGTGCTGATCGCTTCTGCTGCAGGACTGCAAGGCACGACGCGTCCGACGCATTACTACGTCGTGCACGATGAGATTGGCTTCTCGGCCGATGCGCTGCAACGCCTGACCAACGATGTCAGCTACATGTTCGCGCGTGCCACGAAGGCGGTCAGCCTCGTCTCGCCTGCCTACTACGCCGACTTGGCCTGCGAGCGTGGCCGCTGCTACCTGCACGCACTGCTCCAAGGCCACTCTGACAGCGGGACGACGGCGACAAGTACTTCGGGGGATGACGAGGTGTATCGCGAAGCCGAGAAGATGTGGCATGGCGGCGTGAAGGGTAAGTTGAAGGACACGATGTTCTATATTTGATCAAGTGCAGAGAAGTTGTAAAACCACGGTAAAGGTGTAGCCGTAGACAGTTGCGTCGTTGTACTGTATGTATTGTCGTGTGTTGTATGTATGCCAGGGTTGTATTGACATGCCTCTGAACGAGTGAAATTCACATTGAGTTCATATGATAATTGTCGATATGCTTTGCTCGGGTCGCCATTGAGATATTGACGAGGGACGCAATCTGGTTGAGCGATTGATTATGCACACATTCATTCCTCTGGCGTGGGGTGCAATGCAGCGAAAAGAATCCGATAATCCAAGCGACGCAAAAAGACTAAGGCTACAACAAGATACTATTAGGTCATGATAGATCTAACCCTTCCACTCTCCAAACTTTCATTGCTCCTGAACGATCCCCGCTCACAATACCTCCACGGAAAGGAGAGTCAATGCAAGCAAGAGCCGTGACAGTATCCTGATGCCCTCGGAGAAGACTGTGTTGATTGTGGCTGATCAACGAGAGTCGCTGCGGAGGACGATTGATGCTATGACTTGTCGACGGAGATGTCCACGTCTCAACTACGCGGGAAGGCGCAGAGCTGGAGGCCGAAGGCAGTACACTGGAACAAACCCACGTTAGATGAGTCAATGATGAGATGCCTGACGACTCACCTGTAGCTTGGTTTATCGTTGTCCGCATCCATATCAGTAAGCACCGCAGAACGTTCTACTCGGGCGAGATCCCAGTAGCGTATTCTGCGGTCCTCTGAGCCACTCAACATATACCCTCTCCCACCCGAGCGGCTTGCACGGCCATCCTGGTCCGCCATTGTTGAACGAACTGCGGCATGCCCGCCAAATTCAGTTCCCACTACAACTGTGCAAATATCCGGAGACACGGCGTCTGGGGAGTCGGACAGACCCGGTGCCCTCTGGGACCCTCGGTGTGCGAAAGACTCCAGTATGCCTCCATTCTCCTGGCGAGTACGCACCAGGGCAGCTATCGCTGCTGCTGGGCTTGCTTCAGCGTCTTCTCCAACGGCGTCATAAGGTTCTCGCAGTTCATCTGCCGCATTTGTGACTGTCCTGGTGACGAACACTTCCACTAGCGCAGACTTCTCGATGTCCCAGACCTCCAGGATGACATGAGACCCTGAAGAATCTCGCGCCTCTAATGTCACCATGACCCATTTTCCCTTGCCTTTCACCGGGTGAATGACACATTGGTACACTTTCGCTTGCCTGCCCTTCAGTGCAGCGCCCACCTTCCAACTCTTGATGAGGATGCCAAACCTGATGTCCCAAAGCGAGAGAACTCCAGTGGACGTGCCGCAGACTACCCAAGCATGCCTGCGATCCAGACACAGGCAAGTGATCGGGCCGTGATGTCGCGGATTCTCCATCTTCTGCAGCTGTCTCATGGTGCGGAGATCAAGTATAGAGATCGTACAATGCGTTGTCGCATAAATCAAGCTCGAAGACGTGTCTGTGAATGAAACATAAGACAGCTGCTAAGATCTAAGGACTGGATCGATACCACACACCTGTCATGAAGTGCGCCATGCAAGTGATATGGTCTCCGGGTTGGTCGAGCCTATGCTCGCGGATGAGCTGCAGTTTGTGGTACTTCGGCAAACTGCCACTCTGCGTGACGTGGACTCGTACAATATGTAAACTCCCATCATCGGCAGCGCTCGCAAAGCAGTGAAGCCCCTCGAGAATACATATGCACTTCACTTTTGCGTGGTGCTGTGCGTATGTCTGCCGGGGTTTGCTGGTGACATTCCTCTCCAAGCGCGCAGTATCCCATATTTTCAGTGTCTTGTCGTCCGACGCAGAGACAAAGAACATATGGTCCGGAGAGACGGCTATGCCGGTGACGGCATCGTTGTGAGAGCTCAAATGCGCGACGAGCGTCGTTTCCGGTCGACGAGGAGCCCCCTCTCTAGACATGAAGCTGTGCCTCGCTGCGTTACGGCGCCTCACTGCGCCTTCATGGACATGAGGCCCGAAGTCATTCTGAAGCTCTCGCGTGTTGTCCATATAGATATGCTCGAGCAGGTTACTCAGACCGTACTCCTGGCCATCTACAGATAATTCCAATCAGCATACGGACAAGAGATTGCCGAGGTGACTCACCATAAGTCGATATTGGTGTCAGCGATGGAGGTCGGAGCTTATCCTGAGGCCGTATCGTCAGGGCTGATGATAGAGGCGATGTCCTTCCAGATCGCTCCGGCGATGCATCCGACCGGGCATACGCATGCGCGTCCAGTAAACCAGTGGCATTGGCTCGAGACGATCCTATCGCAGGCGCTGCCTTTTGACCGTCAATGCTACCGATGCGCATGGGCCGTGATGCAGAGGGGTTGGTGATGGAAATGATGGATTCAGTCGGACTGCCTGGTCGTGCGGGAGAACGTGGCACGTCACCAGACGCGGAGGAAGGCAGGATAGCATGGTCAAGCGAAGGCATGGTCGGACTACGTGCCTCACGAGGGCTTGTCGCGTTGACAGAGGTAGCTGATCCATTGATGATAGCGAGTCGTCGTCGTAGGTCTTCGAAGGGTGCTCCTGCTGCTGTGGCCGTATAATCCATGCTGAAAGTCCGACCAGACCGTGGTGTCCCAAGGACGGGCGACCTCGCATGTAGGTCCGAGTACGAGCCGTGCTTCGAGACCGAGCGCGGTCCCCTCAGGAACACGGTCTGAGGAACGACTCCCAATTTCTGCAGTTCAATACCAACGATCGTCTTGAGTTGCTCGGCATCGCCCTCGTCGCTTACGCGTGAAGCATAGCTAGTGGCGATCAGACTCATCCGACGCAAATGGTGGCCTGTAGGACGTACCTCGCTATGTTGCGCGCAAGTTTGAGTACATAGTCACGCATTGATAGCAACTTTGTTTCTTCGCCAGGTGGCATACCCATATGCTGCAACTTAGAGATTTGCGCCTCATCTCTTTCAGATGTCAAGGAAGACATCAACACCTGGCGATGCGAGTAATGAGGAACACCCACTCTTCAGTCTTGCCTCGGGTTCCAACAGTGCCCGAACCCCGCACAGTAGCGAGGCTGTCCCTAGGAGATTCGGACTTCGACCCGCGATGAGTCCGCCAAAATAATGACTTCTCCGGTTTCATGGCCCATTGAACCCCTGCGTCGAACACTTGGCGGGACAGCTGTGTCAAATCAGTTTCAGGACGGGCATTACGCCGGAGAACATACTGGTGGCTTCATAGCAAGAAGTAAGCTGCGCTCGTCGACGTCTCGTATGTCCGAGCGCAGAAGATGCTTCAGCGATGGGTACAAGATACACCAGACGTCGCTGGGGGCAGGTGTTTCGCGGCAGAAGCGATAAAAGCGGCCGCTCCTGTTAGCATGTTTTGTAAATCGTTGCAGTGTCAGCTTCAACAGATCAAGTCGACGGACCTTGTCGAATCCAACTGTTGGGATGATACAGAAAACCGAGAGTTGCGCTCATGAGCTCCCAGATGCGCATTTTCTGGAAGAGGCCCAGTTCACATAGACTGGTCGATGCCGCAAGAACCTTCGCGACAACAGCACCCTCCACATCTGTTCGATACGTGAGTCGCGTTTTGCGCGTGAAACCAAGACTACGGCGCTTACCTGACAGCGACTGGATCATCAATGGCAGGATATACTCCTCTAGGCTCCTTCCTTCTCCGCACGCGGCCACGTCGACAATGCAATCGAAGAACGCATATCTCAGTAACCAATCACGATCATTCAAGTACGTGATCATATGGCTGAGTAGCACGTCGTTGGTCTTCTGTCGCCCGAGGAATATGCAAAGAGAGGATATGTTGTGCAGCACCGCACGCTTCACGATGCTAGAAGGGTCAACGAGGAGCGCAGAGAGATGCTCCTGGATGCTGTTCTGGAGCTCTTGCATGCTTGCGTCATACGACACCTACTCCGTCCACACCATCAATCATTGTTTGAACTTGCCGATGGAAGATCATTGCGAACCTCGAAATGCGCCTCGTCGTATTCTTGCGTGTCAGGCGAGAGCTTATATGAGCCATGCGCCTTCAACGCCTGTCCCATCTCGAGGTACCGAACGGCCGTATCGGCGAGAGACACGATGCATTGTGCGTACATGCACCGCACGGACACCTCCGGATCACGGACTAGGTGAGCGACGGCTGGGATGATGTACTCGGGGAAGATCGCCGCGTTGGAGGGCGTGATGACGGTGACGAGCATGAGCTGTTTCGCGTCAGCTAGCGGTAAGTGCAGAGTAGGATGAAACGTACGATTTGCATGAGCGTACGCATCGCGGCTGCGCGAACGATGGCCGCATCGTCGTGCAGTAGGTCAACCACGTAGGGGACCTTCCTGTCTAGCTTCGCCTCGTCGGTGAGGTACGGTGAGAGCGCCAGAAGAATGTCCAAGCCTCGTAGCTTCGAACTAGGGAGAGTGCAGTTGCGGATGTTTCCCGAGACGAGCGCGAGGACAATGAGGGCTGGACCATCTATTCACGGTATCATGAGAGGCGGCTTGACCACGAAGAATCACGCTTACCTTCTGCGGCGGCGGTACGTCTAGCCGCAGACAACGGATTGCCGGCCTTGCTCTCCCGATTGGGAATGTACAACTCCACTGGTAGTATGTCCTACACGTACAAATCACATCGCTGCCGCCAATGCAACTCCTGTGAACTTACCTGGAACGGCTTGGACGAACTCATTGACGGCATGTAGTCAACCTTGACATCCATGACAGTCTCCTCCGCTGCGTCTACGGCCAAGAACGGCTCGACGCTCTCGAAGTCGCTCCATATTTTCTCCATGCGGCGGTCCGAGTCGCTGGGGAGGGGCTCGTTCGATACGTCTCCAGCCGAGGCGCCGGGGATCGCCTGCGACGTGACGGCCTGGGGACTCTTGACGGTGGCGCTTGCTGGGGTGGGCGGCACCGTAGGGGCCGCGTTCGCTACGAACGGAGACGGGCCGGAGAGTTCGTTAATGGAGGAGACGTAGTTGTGAAAGAAAGAGTAGAAGGACTCGGGAAACACAGTTCCACGGGACGTGTGGAGGAGCGTGTCGAATGACGGCCTGACGGCGGGGTCGATAGCTATCATCTGTTTGATGAGGTTCTACGGTCGTGTGTGAGTGCGGACATCTCGCGGTTACTGAGCGTAGGCTCGCACCTTCACCGGCTCATCTATCGTGCTTAACTGGGACTCCACGCTCAATTCTCCCTCGCGATATTTGAACAGCTGGCTGAGCGTGAAGAGCGGCGAGCCTTCAAGGAAGAGTTCCGCGATAACGCATCCGGCGCTGAAGCAATCCATCGCCTCCGTGACTCTGCCATCCCTCCTGCCCTCGCCGTCCTCCATCGCCAGCCTGCTCTTCTTTGCGCTAATCTCCGGGTTCTCTGTCGCAGTGTAGAATCGTTCGGGGGCGACATAGCATGTTCTCCGGCCACTGGTGTCGAAGAAGAACGAGAAATCAGACGGGTCGTCCAAGGGTAAGTAAGTCGGCTTGTATGACGCGAAGTCGGTGAGATACACCCAGTTCCAAGAGGTCACGAGTATATTCTCAGACTTGATGTCGCCATGGGGGATCTTCCGGTTGCGCGCATCTCGGAGGGCGTGGAGTAGCTGAAACGCGATCCATTTCTTGTCGACCAGGCTGAGGAACGGGCGCGTGCTACAACAATGTCAGTGCATACACTTCGCCCACCCGCAACTCTGCGCACCTAATGCGATCGTAGAGGCTGCTCGCGATCCATTGCCGGATGATGTATCCAGCCTTGTCTGTCTCCACAAACGCCTGGTAGTTGTAGACATTGACAAGGTCGGCCAATGCTTCGCGCTCAACTGCAATGCATCAGTCAAACTCCAGCGCGAGCTCGTGTGACGCACCCTTCAGTCGCCGGTGGTACTTCCGCAGACTAAGTCCAGGATCCGGTTTCACGAAGATCTTGACTACCAGGTAGCCGTTCCTGTGTCGGCACTTTACTGTCTTGAGGAAGCGGGCAGAGCCCATACTGCGACAGACCATTCACTCACAATGTTCACACATTCATGCAAAGGGCACTACCTCCGCTCATACACCATGTCGCCTCCAAGCTCGGCCACAAATGAGTCCAGCGCGCCGGTTGTGCGCGTGAGGGACTGTACGTTGCCCATGTTGCTTGTTCGCTCGGGCCTTTCATACGCACAGGGGTACCGAGTTAACTCTGCTCTGTTTCTCAGTCCTTTGGAAGTTCACCGTTCCACGCGTTCCAGACTCAACGGCGGAGGGAGAGAGGAGCACGAGTGAGGACGAGGACAAGGTACAGGAGAAACGACTTTAACGAGTGGCTGAGGACATATCACGTGATTTCAATTGACCGAGACTTCATAGAGCAATTCAAACTTCGTGGCAGTGACCAGCAATATCTCAGTGTCTTTTCTAAGTCTCAACCTCTGACGGAAGCTCATATCTTTGGCATTCCATCGAACATACACCACTGGCAGTAGTGACCAACGTCCGACTGCAAAGGGTGGATAGCTAGTCGTCCCCCCAAGTCCTGCGGACTGAGTACTCAACCCTCAAGCTACGCAAATTCGGAGAGTTGAAGTGGTCTAAATAAGCATGAGTAAAGTCGTGTTCGGTGAGTTCCACGTCCGTTGGCAGTAGTCCTACGCGAAGCTCACCGCCACTGCCACAAAGTCGGCAACATTCCTTACACCATAGGAGAGGTGGGTCCTAGGAGGCCTTCACAACCGCTTCCTGCAACTCACCACCATGGAACTACAGGACCAACTCATTGACGTATTCAAAAAAGTTGGCCAAGTCGTCGGGTTCAGGTAGAATCAACTGGGTTCGTGACGATCTACGCATGCAAGCTCTCCGTGACGAGCAGTCCGCCCACACCTCGACTCGGCCTGAGGACCGTTTCTTGGTATGGCGGACTTCCTCTCATGGAGTAGTCTGTATGCCTGTAGTGTCGTACGCTCGCTTGAACAGCAACTCATCGCGTTATGTGCGCAGGTTGGTCTATGACAGAGATACAGGGAAACCAAGAGGCTATGGATTTTGCGAATTCTCGGGTACAGCATGATTTCCTGCATATCAATGTGTCGTTCTCATGTCTGACTTCAACTGGAACCTTATACACTCATATCCCGAATACTCAAACGTGCACGGCTCCCTCAAACGAACCACCGACCCGTGTGTCTAACTTGTGGCGTCGACGTCAAAATCGACTTATCCCTCTGTGTGCACCAATAACTGGCAACTCGCACCGACGCTACCGTCGTGTCATTTTCACCTCAACCTCGTCCCACTCTTGCCACCGCCCTGGGCGTGGCACGCGATCGTCCTTGTTCTATGCCTGCTCGTGAAATATCCGCGCATGCTTGACAACGTATACAATGAAATCTATCCCAACGCCTTTCCAATCACATCTCAACTGTGCAGACCACGAGACAGCCGAATCTGCTGTGCGCAATCTGAATGGGCATGATCTCGGCGGGCGGCCACTCCGTATCGACCTCGCAGACTCAGACCCTTTCCTCGAAGGCAAAACAACTGTGCGTGGTGAGCTGGTCGACGGCGGCGAGACTCGTGCCCAATGGCGGGAGCGCAACGACCGTGACCGCGGTGGCGCCAACCCGAGCGCGTTCCTTCAGAGTCTGCCTCAAGGCGTGCCAATCCCCCCGGGTCGACCTCCCTCGACACCATCAGCCAGATGCTCGCTACGGCAAACCCAGCACAGATATTGGAGGTGCTAGCGCAAATGAAGGTACGTGCTATTATCCCTCTCTTTCAGAACAAGTAACCTGATGGGGCGCTTCGTAGGCGTTCGTTATCACGCACCCAGAGCAGGCGCGGGCGCTCCTTGTGGCTCACCCGCAACTGGGCTACGCGCTGTTCCAGGCGCTGTTGCTGAACAACATCGTAGACCCTGCGATACTGCAGGTTAGTATCCATGTGCACCGTGTAGATCAGCTTCTGACCCACCCTCACAGCGCATGCTCCAAGCTACCAACGCCGCAACGCCCTCGCAACCCGCCAAGGCGCTTGCTCCCCCAGCGGCAGTCCCGCCACCGATGCACCAGTCCACGCCCCAGCACCAGCCCCAGCCCCAGCATCCTCCGCCGATGTCCGCGCCCTACTCGCAGGGTCCCCTCCAGCACCCACCGTTCCCACCGCACCTCCAATCGAACATCCCACAGACGCACACACCCGTGCATCACCCGACTCCGCCGGTCCCGCCGCCATCGATGTTCCCGCCTCCCAGCGCCCACCTCTCGCACACGCAGGCGCAGGCCCCGCCATACTACCGCCCGCCGCCCCCGCCGAGCATGCCCGTGCAGGTCGCCCCGGTCTCGCAACCACCACCCATTCAGCCTTCTGCCAACCCACCACCGGTTGCTCCTGCGCTCGACCCGGCTCAGAGGGTACGTCTTCGCTGCGACAATAGGGAATACTGTTTGGTAGATGTGATAACCTGACCTGATTGAATAGGACATGTTGATGCAAGTCTTGAATCTGACGCAGGACCAGATCAACTCGCTGCCGCCCGCGGAACGCGAACAGATTCAACAGCTAGTGCGTACTACTCTCATCGTCCATATCATGTTCAAAGTGAAACTTACCGTCCTACAGAGAAAGCAGTTCGGTATCGCCGTCTGAGCGACGCCACTAAAAGTACCCATCGAGTCAGCGTCGAGGTTTCATCGTACATGTTCTGTATCATAGCATTCTTCTTCTCTTTCTCTACCGTTAGTATGGACACAGCATCGTCTTCGTTCATAGCAGTAAACACGACGACTCTATCTGCGTTCCACCCTGCCTCATGCGAGCTTGTTCTCTAAGCTTCTGCTCGCTCTCAGCGCGACGAACTTTTGAATGATATCGTCTAGCGGGACCGTCTCGTCTCTGCCCTTGGTACCAACGTTGTCACGGTTGCGGACGTTCACAGAGCGCGTTTCGAGTTCAGCCTGCCCGACGACTGGAAAAGCACGGTCATCAGATCGATCGTGTTGTAACACGTTTGGGCAATCTCGCTCACCGAGGATGAAGTTGTATTGCGCGATTTCGCCGTTGCGGATCTTCTTGGGCAGGGTGTTATCGCCGTTGTCGACGTCAGCGAAGATGCCTAGGTCGTTCAGCTTCTGTGCGATCTCAGCCGCATAATCTTTCTGAGTGGAAGATGAGCAAAGACGTGGTGCAAACATTATCGTGCAAGCTCACGAATGGGTTGGCGACCGGGACCACCAACACTTGCCGCGGCGACAACCAGAACGGCCACTTCCCAGCAAAGTGTTCCGTGATGATAGCGATAAATCGTTCCAAACTTCCGAGGATCGCTCGGTGGATGATGACCGGCCGACTCGGAGGCTTGTCGCCCGTGGCGTCATCCGCGGAGCGGTACTTGAGGTTGAAACGCTCAGGGAGCTGGAAGTCGAGCTGGATCGTCGCGCACTGGAAGGACCGACGGAGCGCATCACGGATGGTGATGTCGATCTTGGGTCCGTAGAACGCGCCGTCTCCGGGGTTCAAATCCCACTTGCCAGGGTATTGCTTGTCGAGGGATCTCTTCAGTTGCTGCTCGGCAAATGATGATTAGGGCTGACGTGGAGAATAAGCAAGGTCAGAAGAACGCCACGTACCGCCTCAGCCTCGTTCCATGTTTCGATGGTGCCAAGGTAGTTATCGGGACGAGTAGATAGCTCAAGCTTGAAGTCGAAGCCAAACAAGCCGTAGATATGCTGAAGGAAGTCGAACAGCAGCGAGATCTCATCCTCAATCTGTTTACACATTCCAGTCAGCCACAGCACACAACGCAAACTAAGACTACACGAGACTTACCTGCGACGGCATGCAGAAAATATGCGTATCGTCTTGGACGAATCGCCGGACACGCGTCAGACCAGTGAGCGCGCCACTGGCCTCATTTCTGTGGAGGATACCAAACTCAGCCATACGGATCGGCAGCTCCTTGTAGCTCCGATCGCGGCTGTCGAAGATGAGACAGTGCCCGGGGCAGTTCATCGGCTTCAGCGCCCATTGCTCCTTTTCCACGGACAGCGTGAACATGTCGTCCTTGTAGTTCTGCCAGTGTCCGGACGTCTCCCATAGCTTAGAGTTGTACATGTTCGGCGAGATGACCTCTTGGTATCCTCGCTTGAAGTACTCCGACTGCATTGGTAAGTAAGCACAGAGAGTCTGTAGCTAGGGATGCAGCGACTTGCCCGCATGAGCTCTAAGAGTGTGTTGTAGATGCGCGTGCCGTGCGGGAGGAAGAAACAGCTTCCAGGGCTTAGGTCATTGAAGAAGAATAGCTCCTGCTCCTTGCCGATCTTCCGGTGGTCCCGCCGTGCCGCCTCAGCGAGGAATACCTTGTACTCGGACATCTGCTTCTTGTCGGGGAACGATATACCGTAGATGCGTTGCAGCGAGTCGTTGTTCGAGTCTCCGAGGAAATACGATGCCGAATTCTGTGTACGATGTCACCAATGGCCGAGCCTGCAGTCACCTGCGCGCCTACCTTGGTCACCATGAGCGCCTTGATCTTGCCAGTGTGTGGGATGTGCGGGCCCACGCAGAGATCGATCATCGGACCGCAGCGGTACACTGTCGTCTCCCCGCCGTCGGGAATCTTCGTCTCGATCAGGTACTTTTTGTACTTGTTATACTGCCCGGACCGTGAGCGCGCTGTACTTGGACGACTGAGGGAGATACACGCACCCCGAACATTTCCAGCAGCTTCTCTTTTGAAACCATAATCCGCTCGAACTTCTGCTTCTCCTTGACAGCCAAGTCCGTCAGCTTCTCCAGGGCAGGGTAATCCGAGTTTTGCACGACTCTGTAGCCGCTCTGTTAAGGACAGTTGTGCCATGCGAGTACTGGGACGCACCTCTCCTCCATCGCCATCTCGTAGAAGAAGCCGTCTTCTGTCGGGGGGCCAATGCACAGATGGCAGCCATAGTGACGTTCCGCGGCCTCGCCGAGGACGTGCGCAGACGAATGCCAGAAGACGCGCTTGCCTACGGGCCGTCGTTACTTGTGATCGCGCGAAGCCACCATGGTGGCGCTCACCTTCGGGGTGCTCGAAGTCAAGGAGTTCAAGAGTGCACGAGCCCTCGAGCGGCCGCTCCAGGTCCCACACGTCGCCGTTCACCTATCACAGTTCAGCACGAGCGACCCGAGGTGGACAAACGGTCGGAACCTTCGCAATCACGACGCGATCCGGGAGACCTTTGGAGATTTCCTTCGCGATGTCCAGTGGGCTCGTCTCCCAGCTCGTGCCCTTGCGTTTTGAGCCGTCGGGCATCGTGATCTCGACCTCTTGACGTGGTTGCGCTGTACCGAAGCATGAGACGAAGCCGTCCGACAAATCTTCAAGATGTGAACGCACATTTGACCCATTCATCGTACTGCGCCTTCAACTCATCGAACATCTTGATGCGATGGTCAAAGTACTCTGGCCGCGGGCTCAGCTGCGTAGGTTCGGTAAAGCATGCTCAGACAATACGTGAAGATGTCGTACCTCCAGTGATTGACCACTCGCTGCCACTGCTTTCTCCTTCTTCTCTTTAGGTTTCTTCCCTTCATTCTGGCCCAGATGAGGCCCTTCAAGCGCGGGCAGTTGCGCAGGCTGCGAAGATGACGCGACCGGCTGAGCCATAGTCGACTCTAGGCGAACTTTGGAGATCTGGCAAGTCGAGACTCGAAATGAAGGTAAAGTCCGAGGATGCAGGTGCTGGATCCGAGTCAGCACACGAAGCATACAAGCAATCTCTACAAATCGAGTCAGGCTTGATAGAAGAGTTGAGTATCGGTCGAGTACGTCTACTTTTGGCAATCTCGTAACGCCAACTAATCCAGATAGGAGAGTCGGTAAGAAACCCCGTTATTAATGCGGGCCTCTCAAATTGGAGTTCAGATCATTCTCATGACGATGCACACGCTGAGCGAGTCCGTCAGGGAGAGAATTACTCGCTGGAAACAAAGTAGAATATTGCAGACAGATACGCCTGAAAGTGCGTATGGAACGATGTCATTTCTTAATTTATTGTAATACTATTGGCACATAAGCATTTGTTAGTGAGTAATGTTGAAGTAATGGCACTTGATGTCATATTATTGCTAGCGCCCATAACCGCCCCGGCTTTGCAGAAACAACTGAAGTCGATCGAGTCGACGTCGATTGCCCTTCCCCAAGGTACTCCTTTTGAGAAACTACCTAAATGATCAGCACACAGTAACGTTACTGCTAGCGGATTGGTCGTCGGCGACAGAAGTCAAACGAAAATTAACCGTTTATCGACTCGGAGTCCCTTCTGTTGTTCGCCAGGGTGAGGTTTACACTGGCTGTTCTACTATTGCCAATCTCTGGAGAGCCCTTGGACATTGACACCTTCAGCGTGAATTAGAAGCCCCTGGCAGTTTGGCGGCCCGTCGAGATGTTTGTCGTGCCGCTTCGAACTAGTACTATACCACTGGCATGCGTCTATGACAACGCCACATATCTGTGGTGATCCGGCAACTGGCCAGGCAGTCAACGTTTCAACGACTTCTATCGCCCTGCTCCGCAGACGAGTACATAAGGCTGCCACCGCATGAAGAAGCTCAAGATCCGGCATCCGAATGGTGCCACACGAAGGGCATGTGGGCCACAGCGCCAGTGGTACGTGTCCGGCCCGCCATTAGTCGGTACGCAGGTGCCAGTGTGGCCCACGCAGCGTTGCAGTAGACGTTCATATTGCGCGTAAGTTGTAACTTTATCGTCCGTATATGTGTGCGCCCTCAGGGTTCATGCATCAGGGCTCAGGGATTTTGAGTTCCCAGCTTTATCCGGGGTTTTCCATCGGACTCCCGTGCGGCCACTGGCATTACCTGTCTGCTTCATGATATGAACTGCATGGTTCAATCGAAGCGAGCGACGCAGGATCGCAAGGCATTCAGATGCCCCCGACGTGGTCAGTGGTGAGTCGAATGTTCAATGGGGCTGGGCGCCAACTGATAGCAGTGTCTCGTTCGTGCAGGCGAATGCATGGGGCAGTCTTCGGAAATTCACTTCAGGGCTACTGTGGTTGATTCCAGCTATTTCCAGTGTGCCACGGATGTTTTTGACACCATCGCATCGTGTTAATTTCTGCACGGTCTTCAATTCAGGGTCACTACACGACGTACAGGACACAAAAATGCAGGTCCGTCCGACCGTTCTGCACCATATAAGGTGCAGTACCCGACTGCGACGCTACAGCGATATCTCTTCCGCATTCTCGCTCAGGCTAGTTGACTTCAACTTCATTTTCCTCTAATCGTCTCTTCAATTACCGCGAAAGCCTACTAGGTCTCATTACTGCCTGATCCCCGACCCAGCAGTCACGTATCGTTTCACGACGACATGAACAGCCATATGATACAGAATTTGACGCATCCTCACATTGGTGTAAGTCTTCGTAGTGAACTTGCTGTCAAGGATGGCAGCGATGATATATGATACCTCGCCCTAGGAGAAAATTCACGACACGATGCACCATTTGCAAGATGTCCTACATCATCACACTGTAAGTCCTCGTAGTGGACTTACTATCGAGACAGCAATGATAATGCGCTCTAGGGGAAACATCCCAAAGAGACCACGCATGAGAAAGCGCCAAAAGATGAACCTGTGGGACCCGACGAAGATTCGTGTCCGCTGGACGAGCTGAAGAAGTGCAAGGAACGCTTCGATGGCTGGAAATCTGAACTCGAGCATGCGGGGTGCGTAACACAGCCACAAGTCGAACGTACGTCGACGTGAACTGACTCCCGAAATCACAGACACAACAGTGATCAGGTGGAATTTGAAGACATTCTCGCGGCAATCCTGGAGGTGGGGAAGCATACGGATAAGACACTCGAGCTGTCCAAAACAGCTATCGAGGGCCACAGGAAGCTCTGCAAAAAGATGGCAACCCGGCTCGACGCGCCTCAAGAACCCGGAGACGATGTGGTCTGCACAGGGGAAGAAGTCCGGCGGTCGTTCGACGCCTTGTTTCCGCAGATCGACGTTCTGCAGGCAGCCTTGCACAACATTTCTACGAAGCTCGCATGCTTTCCGGTGAATAATGCGGAGAGTCCGGGGACGACACACCACTGGTGGCGTGACATGTGGTCGAAGCATCATGAGAAGTTCTTCCATGCACTCAAGATCGTCGTGATAATCATCGTCAAGGCCGTGCTGGTCGTTGTCACAATCCATCCTGCCGGTCACCTCGTTCACGGGCTCGTGACAGCCATCGCCCCCCATTTCGAGGAATGGGCCGAGAAGGAATTCAAGAAGGCTGGTGAGAGTGAGTCGTAACATCTTCCAACCATTTTACTCCCTATGCGTCGCCGGTCTCACATATCGCTGCACAGTCATGCGAGGCTGGTTCACCAAACATATGTTCCATCACCACTCCGCCGATGTCAAGCACATCGTGGACTTGATTCACAACGAACTCCCAAAACAGATCGAGGACGTCCGGAGGAAGGTGGGAGAGTCCCGCGATAGATTGAAACAAGAGGCGGAGAAAGTCGAGGAGCAGCTCATGCTGAAGACGTCACAAGAACACATGCACATGGAGCCGGATTCAGAGCGGGCGAAGGACGCGGCGGACAGGATGAGACGCATGAGCAATGGTGCCCACGTCAAGACTTTGGGCAAGGTGCACCCGGAGATGCATCATCTTTGGAACTTGCACTTCTACAGCAAGGAATCTGACGAGGGGCCGCTATTCATTGTACAGCTCACTGCACGTTCGTGAGCCTCATACTATATGCGCTGAGAAACGTCTGGTCGCTACATAATCGCTATCTCGTGTTGATATTTTCATTTTGCGTTCGCCCGACCGTGTAGGATACTAACCACAAGACGGCTTGGCGGATCGTTAGCGTATTGGTACTGTACACAGATACTTATACAAAGACGTCTCACAACTGAACCGGGATGATCACGCAACACACCGCGCGGTACTGTCCACCCTATGTGAGTCGCACCGACTCATCACCAGCACTGGCACTAGCACTCTTCAAGGAGGTTATCGCTTACGATATCAGCGCTTTCTTGCAGACAATCACGTCAGCTCGAGCAAAGCTCGAGTCTGTTGAGTCTCACCAACATGACAGCGAGTCATGGCGCGCCCAATGTCTCCTTCCGCGATGGTGCACTGGAACCTGTTTTAGCTGCGATGTTGCATTCAGCATGACTCGATTCAAGGCTCTACTCACCGTGACTACGACAGGCGTGCACCGTGCCAACATCTGTCAACTGCGCACGTACCGAAACACGCTAGCACGTCTTGCCTTACGGGGACAGTTGATTGAAGCTCTGTCCATAAGAGGCATTGCGGAGCAGTGCAACGGTATCTAGATTATTCGCAATCTGAGGGTAGGGTACATTTGGGTACGGGACAGCCGGAAGTGATACATACCAATAACTGAGAAACGCGGGAGTACGGTGACCAAGATCAGATATACATGGAGGCAGATAGAACGACGAAGGTCCGGCTGCGAGCGCAGCATGAGAGTCATGACGGAAACATAAACGAGAAAGAGACAGAGTGGGGGGTGCGTGGGCCACCGCACGGACGCGTCAGCCGTCCGGCCCAGTGCCCGGGCACGAAGTGAAGCCGTCGTGTATGCGTGTATGCGTGTATGCGTCCGGCACGGAGGCCCCGCCGGATGAGTCATACGGCGTTGCAGCTGCGGGGCTGGCAACAGGTATGCTCAAACGACGCGACACGTCTCAGCCGGATCGCCCGACGGATCCGGGCTGCTCTCTCGCCCTCGCACTGGCAGCGTCGTCCTGGCCGGCGGCGTGGACCGGCACCGCGTGCGGATTGCGCGGCCACGAGAGCGTGAGCATCCCCTCCGTGAGCGACGCGCGTACGTGCCCGACCTGCATGCGAGGAGAACACCAAGTCAGCCGCGGAGGAACCGAGGTGGGGCAGCACACGACGTACCTGCGTGCCCAGCGGGAGAGCGAGCGTCCGCTGGAACGTGCCGTACTTGATCTCCTGGGTCGTATACGCGTAGGGCAGGCCCTGCTGGGCATCCGGCCAGCCTGCGCGGGAGGCCGGCTCCGCCGACTGGGCGCGGGCGAGGGCACTCGTGGACGCCACCGGACCTTGTCCAGCATGGGCGGGGTCGGGGCTGGGGCTTGCGGCGAGGCTGCGACTCGGGGTGCGCGCGAGCGAGCGGAAGCGTCGCTCGCCTTGCACGACGAGCAGGCCGTTCTCTATCCGCACGGAGAGGTCTTCTTGCTTGAGTCCGGGCAGCTCGAGAGTGGCGACGATGTAAGCGCTCGCAGGCTCATCGCAGAGGTCCATCCTGGGATGCGAAGTTAGGAACAGGACGTATAGGTCAGCACAGAGCGACTCACCGAGGCCGTAGCAGTCTGTCCGTGGGCGGTCCGGAAGGCTGTCTGGCACGGTGGCGCAGGAGCTCCCGGACGAAGCTTCGGGCGAGGATGCGGTCAAGCTCCCGAAAGTTGCGCTCCTGATCATGCTCGTTCGACAACTGTTGCATTCTGGCCATCTTCGGAGAGGCAAGGCGGGTCATGGAGAGGAGGCTGGTCGTAAGTCGTAAGAGCGAGAACGGGAGAGGAGGAGTGTCAGAAAACAAAGGGGCGGATCGGTGTCGCCACTCGAACGAGCTCGGGGCCTTATATACGGCCGGTGACTCGGTGTCGGGGACCTAGCCGGGTGCATCGGCAAGTCAGGAAACAACAACATGCCATGAGTCAATACCGCGGTAGTCATGCTCCGAACACGAGAGAGCAGGCGGACAATGCAGTGCTTCGCAGCACGGACGAGAGCCTCGCGGCGAATGGGAGCGCCTCCACGTGCAGAGGGGGCGGGGCGGCGGTGGGATGCGCCGCGGACCACCGTAGGAGGCTGTGCGCCATTTTGACTGCCGCCCTGCTGCGCACGTCCCCGTTCGCGGTCCGCGGCATAGCTCAGTCAGCCAGCGGTGGACTCCCTTGGACTCCGAGTCCCCACGAATATCCTCGAGTGAGAGCGGTCCTTCCTGTCCGAGTCGCAATTGGTCTTTGGAGGGGCTTCGACATGGCTTCGACACCCGGGCTGTTGGCTGTTCTGATGACTCATCAACACACAGCTTACTAAGCTCGGAGAGTGCTATCGTTGCCATTTCGGAGCCCGAATATCACTTACGCTGTGCTGTCTGAGATCGAAATGAATTTGACGCGTAGATCCATCGGCTGGCGCAGTAGACCGACTGCTGTGCTCACTGCCCCTTCTTGCCTCCGTCGCATCGCGTCCCCGCCTCGGCCCACTGACACGAGGATTATCCTTGGAGATCACACCCGATGAGGAACGCGCATTACCACCTGTTTACTCCTGTGATCGCCGGCCTCTCGCTCCTTCATACGCCGAAGCCGCTCAAACGCCTCAAAGCGATGTTCCTGTCAGTTGCTCGACAGAGAATGCGTACAACTGTACATACTGCTGCGGACACGACTCATCGAGGACAGTGGGTAGCGGCGTAGGAGGCACTACCTAGGTTGGTTCGCGATGCGATCGTATCGTAGAGTCATGACTTGCCACTGCTGGGCAGCCTTCTGGGCATCCTGAGGGTTCGTCCGCATCCTTTTAGTACGAAGCGCGACTTGCGTCCGCAAAAGTTCTTGGTCGGATAGAGTGGAAGTCATGGACTTCTGTGCGCCAGGGACGCCTTGTACCACGCGGTGGCGAATGTTGTCCAACAAGTCTCGAATCTCGGCGTTCTTCGCGGCAGCGCCTGCGAAGGTTGACGTTAGGTTCTGTCCAGCGGCCCGTGTTCTCATGAGACCGTGCATGACCTACCTGCGCTATCACCGGCAGAGTGGTCTCTACGGAGATACACCGAGCCAATGACTAGTTAGACACAATCGCTTCGAACTTAGTAGTATAGTACATGTGTATAGTTAGAGTCTACATAGGGCTTCGCCCTCAAATGACCATAAACGGGATTACCAACCAACCAACCTGCGCTATCCGCAAATGACGCGAAGGCCGACGCAAAAGCGCCGTTGGGGGAAAACAGCCCAAGGCTTGCTAGTACCGCTCGGGCAATCGCCTCGACAGCACCCAGAAAGCGGTCCATGAGCCTACCAAACCACCCCTTCCTCTTCTTCTCTTCCTGCCCAAGCCTCTCCACCTGTTTCCTGAGATCCCCGAGAATCTCTTGCAACTCACGAATGAGTTCGCAGAGTTGTGCCGAAGAGGAGCGGGTATATTCCCCGGCGGTGAGGATGCGCTGATCGAATCTGAGCTCGCCGGAAGGGTCGTAACTCGCGTCCCGGAGATTCTCCTCGACGAGCGCGCAGAACTTGCGATAGTCATCGACGACGCGCAGTGCGGCGGTGAGCGCGGTGAGCGTAGTGCCCTGCGCGTTGTGTATCGCGGTCACCACCGCGGACGCCCCCGGCATCCGCTTCAGACTGTCCAAGTCATAACGCATGGAGGATCAGCGCAATTTAGCAGACAGGGAGAGATGATTACTCTAGGCTATCGATATCCTCGGCCCAGGCGTCGAACTCCGCCTTGCAGGCCTGAAGTTGGCTGACAGCTCGGCCGGCGATGTCTGGATCCAGGCCAGTGGGCATGACCTGGGACGCAGAAACAGTCAGTACACCCTTTGCAGACATCGGAGGTGTAGCGGCAGCCTGGTATCGAGGGACCTAGGAGTAGTCGACCCGCAGCGTGGGCAGGTGCGGAGGTGTGGAAGGGCAGCCGCACGAATGACTCGCGGACCCTGCATACTATATGCGCCCGCGTGCTAAGGCTCAGTCGATAAAGCTTGCGGCCATGTACACGAGGCTTGAAGTCCCTAAAGCTCGACGAGCAACGCACCGTTCAAACTCAATCATTAAAATGTGGTCATCGCGATACAGCGTGGCGCTTGCCATGTGTCATGGCAGCAACCTTGCATGGTACTGGTTGGGGAACACGATTGCAACGGTGGAAGCTACGCCTGGGAAGTGATTCATGTTTCCCCGTAGTGGGCTGAGTGTCAGTGTGAAGGAATTTTGAGTTTCATCGCTCACTGGCATGCACGTTGTACAATAGCTTAACCTATGTCGACCGCTCGTTGAATCCACAGGCCGACCTGTTTCTCATGCACAGTAGAGTGTGTAGTCGCCGAACTGTGTGTCCCGTGTATGTCGCCGAATGATAATTGTTCCCGCAATAGCTGCGACAAGACTGGAACACAGGTCGGTCACGACGGCAGCGAGAAACAACAGGTAAAGCATAATGCTCACCCGATCGCTCACCGGCTTCAGCTCTAAAGCTTATCCCCTTAGCACTCACAACGGCTTCGTCTCGCCATCTCGCCGCAACAATTGATTCTGCACGATCAAGAGGAGCGCATACAGCGTCTCGAGCCGCTACACTCGCGTAAGCTCTCGCCGAACAATTCAAGCGACACATCACACTCACAGGCATAGCCACGCCCTTCGCCCGGCCCATACGTACGAGCTCACCGAGGATGACCTCCACCTCTGTCGGGCGCCCGCTCTCCACGTCCACGAGCGTGCTCGCGCGGTGACTCGCGTCGGGGCTCGCGTGTATACGCGCCGTGTTGCGCAGCGTGTTCTCCACCACCTCCGGGTCCAGCCCCGGGCCGTCCACGCTGTCGGGGAAGAGCACCGTTCCGAGCGTGTAGACCTCCTGCATCGCCGCGCGGATAGCCGGGATGCTGTAGTCAGCGATCGCAGGTGACGCGCTCGAGATCTCGCCGGGTCGGAGAGTTGGTGTGGAAGAGGCGGACGGCGCTGCGCCGGGCTCGAGGTGGGGCGGGCGGAAGATGGCGGTGAGCGGGAAACGGGTGAGGGCGGCGGTGATGCCGAGGCAGGCGTTCCAGAAGTTCTTGCTGTACTTGACGCGTTGGATCTCGGGGACGATCGAGGGTTGGCTGCCGCCTGCAGCGAGGATGCGCTCGAAGTCGGAGAGGAGGGCGCTTTCCTCTGGCGTGTTCTTTGTGGCTGTCGGCGATGGGCGGTAGACACCCAGCGAGACGCGGTCCTAGATAGGATTGAGTCATAACTCAGTTGTGCAGCACGCGATAGGGCTGACGAAGTCATTGTGTTCCACGGGGGTGTGTTCCACGACGTTACCGCCCTTCATGCCCGCACCAATCCAAACTGCCGTGCTGATGATTCTCGGCTCCTCATTCGGCTTGAGCTTCTTGAGTGCCTCGTATAGGTCGACTTCGACGTTGAGTCCATTCTGCATCAACACGTATGTCGGTTGAGGATACTGATCCGAATATGGCGACGAAAGAAGGGGCGCGAGGAGGGCTGGAGTGCGGGTCAGCTCCGGGATTGCCTTGGTAGTGACTACCACGTAGTTATATGGGCGATCCGCTGCCTCTGCGACAGAGCGGCACACTGGCGGACGAGAGTTCAGAGCTATTTCTCAGGAGGGGAACGAGTGTACCCACGTCGGTCAGGCCTCCACCCTCGGTGCTCGCCGTACTTGCGGCTGAGGAAGTGTAGCCCATCATCTTCCGCCGAGGTCAGTATACGGCCGCTAGGCTAGGCGTATACACCACCTTTCACCGACTGGTAGTTGCTCCGTGCAACGACCGTTACATGCGCTTGGCCACTTCGCTTCAGGACCCACGAGTCTTCATGCGATCTTCCCTCTCAAAACAAACTCGAAGCGTGGATGATTCTGCGACTCACAGATGGCTCCTACTGCGCCGAGACCGACTACAAGTACTTCTCGCAGTTGCGATGACATGGTAGTAGCGGGTGTACTTTGCTTACGACTGCTACGCCGACGATGCCCCGTTCATCTGGCGATTGCATAACTTGAGCTTCGGGCTCTATGCGTTGGTAGCTTACGCTAGACTCACTCCTGAACATCGTACGCGAAACCTGTTGATGACCTCTGAAAGGCATAGAGCATATAGTCGGATTGGTCAACGACCGTGAAGGGGCGTAGGAAGGCAAGCGGCGCGCACCCGGGTCGCAGGCAAGGTCAGGGCGTATAGCGCGCGCTTGAACTTGGACCGTGACTGCCTCCAGCAGCACCGCGCGATCATAGCCTTTGCGTAACCTCCTCACAACGTCCTCAGCGCGCGTAAATCTCGACACCGTCAATCTCTGGTACCATGGCGGCAGTACCGGTGCTTTGTCCTCATCCTTGGCAAGGATTGCACGAGCAAGCCTGGTCAGTTGACCGGAGCCCAGTTTGACGCGGACACCTGGAAATCGCGAAAACGCAGTACTAAAGCATCTCGTTCTACGATTGCCTGTCCTTCCCCAGCATCAAGATGGACCGTGCGTCGTACAAGGAAATCACCACCAGGCGCAGCGTTAAGTACAGCTACTACTCCTCATCCGGCGACGCGTCCAAGCCGACCCTTCTGTTCGTGCATGGCTTCCCGTCGACGTCGTATGACTGGAGCAACCAAGTCGCGTTCTTCAAGGCGGAGGGCCACGCAATCATTGCGCCTGACATGCTGGGCTACGGTGGCACGGACAAGCCAGCAGATACAGCCCTGTACAAGCACAGCGCCGTGTGCGCAGATGTGATTGACATCCTGGACGCGGAGAACGTGAGCAAGGCGATTGTGATAGGACATGACTGGTGAGTCCTTCAGTTGGCAAGGACCTCGCTGCATGTCTTGTTGAGACGCGATATGGTCGCACTGCTGGGGAGACAGTACAGCGGGCTATATGCGTCCCAAGTTCAGCCAGAGCAATTGGCTCAGAGGATGCTCGCTATTGGTCTGTATATCCAGGCATACTGACCGAGTGCTTGGCTCGCAGGGGTGCACCTCTCGTAGCTCATCTGGCTGTACACTACCGAGAGCGCTTCCTCGCATTCGCATTCCTCGCGGTCGGCTACACACCGTCGTTCGCGAACTTCAACTACGAGACCGCCATGGCCACGGTCAAGCAATCCATCGGCTACGAGCCTAAGGGCTATTGGCGGTGAGTAGCTATGACTGGTCTCACGGCGGACCTCGTTCTGAAATGCGCCAGGTTCTTTGTCGAAGATGGCACTGACCAAGTCATGAAGGACCACGTCAGTGCTCCTGATCCCTATGTTCGCTGTCATCCCGCAACCGACTGACTGGATGCGCCACGTATGTAGCTGGAGTCGACAATCGGGCTCATACACCCTGCAGACCCTTCGACTTGGAAGGAAGATCTCTGCGTACCTGGGGCGGCGAAAGCGGCACTGCTTGCAGATAAGAAGATGCCGATAGCCACCTACGTGACTCCGGAGGTGAGTTTTCGTGCTGTAGCATCGTTCGCAACATCACTGTGCCCGCCCTGTTACCCTGAAACCACGCGGCTGCCCTGGACTCTTCACCGCCCAGTTCCTCTCTGCCCAATCCACCTCGATGCATCGCCGCCCTGTGATTCGTCTCCGGAGTATTCAGCATTTCTGAGGCCTCTATCGTGTTGGTCATCAATCAGAGGCTGGATTTGCACGCCGAACAAATCGGGCTGCTAAGTGCGTCTCAGAAGCGGTGGACTTGGTGGCTCCAAAGGGATGCGATCGACGCGCCTGTGGCAAGCCAGCCTGACCGTAAGTTGAACCGGGCAGCCACGTTCGGTAGAGTTCAATGATCTGGCAGGGGTGAACTTCATCTTGTATACCAATCAATCAGTACAGTACCACGAGCGTCTCCATCATACTCTGCATGTGTTTGGACGACCTTCCTGCCGAGCACCATTCTCCATGCTCCACCATCGCTTTGCCTCATCCATGATGGGCAACTGCCACCTGTACCTTGACCGCTATGCTCTCGTTTTCGGCGACCGAGGACTTACGCTGGCGTTTCACGCAGATGAAACAGCATCTGACAGACATGATCGTCAATGTTGGGCTCGGCGGCGCGCTGAATTGGTACAAGCTGATCCTCAGCGGTCTCGCCGCAGAGGACGACAAGGGCGAGATCCCAGCCGATTAACTGCTCGAATTCTCGCTCACACAGACGTAGTAGGCATCCCCCAGGAACGACTCACCCTTCCGCTCCCAGTGTTCTACGCTGGTGCGAAGCAGGACCCTGTGAATCCGCCTGCGCTTGCGCTACCGACGTTTACACAGCTGTGTTCAGATCTCACGGTGAAGGAGATAGATGCGGGCCATTGGCTCCAGCTAGAGGCCCCAGACGAGATCAACGAGGCGTTGAAGGAGTGGATCGAGACTGTCGAGAAGAAGGCGAAGCTGTAGGTTTTGGAAGGGGAGCGGCAATATTTGGGTGACATCTAGGTGCATGTACGATATCGGTGAGTGTCAAGCGTTATTGGGGTGTCAGTCGAACATGCTTAGCCTTGCTCCGGTGGGCGTAGGGAAGGATGATATGCAGCGCAAGGATACCAGGTAATTATGTACTCGACTTGTAACTTACACGAACGTAGTCCGTTGTCGTGATCCTCTTTGCTCGTGGGGACACCTCCGGAAAGGAAAAGAAACGAGCAACAAAGACCCCCCACCTTTTGGCGTGCGTTCGTGCAGGATGCATGGCGCGGCAGGCTGCTACGGGGGTTTCCTCGCACAGCATAGCTGTTAGCATCACTCCGCGAGGTATGGTCTCACCCATCAGCACACGCACGCTTCCCGAAGCCCGGGCCCGAGGCTATCAGTCCACGGACTCCGAGCTTTGCCCCGTCTGCTCGATAAGTTGCAGGGAACGCGCTCGATGAACAGACGCTCGAAAGGTCTGAATACGCGCCTTACAAAGCCTACATAAGCCTGTCCAATCGACCAAGCATCAGTGCATCGCACACCGCAGATATGGCTGCCGATATCCCACCGTTCAACAGCTCGTTCGCGTACCAGAGTACGCTTTCGCCGAACCCGCAGTGGACCTACGGTCAGAAGATCGCAGACACGCCGGCAGGTAAGGCATGGATAGAAGGAGAGAAGGCTGGCTGGAAGGTGGTGGACACCGCGAAGGAGGACAAGCTGTAGGTTTCTTTGTACTGTTCTTTCGATCCCGCGCTGTATCCTCACACTTCCTGGTGCGCAGGAAGCTGTATACGCTCATGATCAGCGGGATCGTCCCTCGCCCGATCGCATTCGTATCAACGTTGTCAGAGAGTGGGGCTGAGAATCTCGCACCGTTCAGGTGATTGCGAAATATTCCCGACAATGACATTGGCTAACCTAGGCACAACAGTTGGTTTAATATGGTGCGAATATATGATTCGAAGCGCAGATAAGCCTCTTCATTCAAACCCATAGGTCACATCCAGTCCACCCCTCGTCTCGATCTGCTGCAGCAACGGCCCGCAGCGCGTCAAGGACACAACGAGCAACATCAAGGCCACCAAGGGCTTCACTGTGAACATCATCAGCGAACCGTTCGTCGAGGCTGCGAACGTCGCATCCGTAGACGCGCCTGAGGGCGTGAGCGAATGGCCGATCAGCGGTCTCACCAAGGAAAAGAGTGTACGTGCCCCGGCACTTCGTCATGTTGCACTCCCCAGATATTCACAAAATATTCGCGCAGATTCACGTCAAGCCCGCACGCGTCAAGGAGAGCGCGTTCAGCATGGAATGCGAGGTACGTACAATCTCAACGCGTCAGAACAGGCCTAACAATGATGTCTTCACAGCTCTTCCAAGTTATCGACATCGTCGACCCGGAATCCGGCGCGAACACGACGACGATGATTCTCGGACATGTCAAATACATCCATGTGCGCAACAACGTGCTGGACGAGCGCGGGAACGTCGATCCAGCAAAATTCAAGCCCGTCGGGCGCCTGGGCGACATCTCGTACTCGCGCGTCGGTGATGGGTTCCGGATCGCGAGGCCGGTATGGGCTAATGAGCAGGGTGCGATCGAGAAAGCAATCGAGAAGCGCAATGAATGACTTGTAGAAGGTAGCAAATTGTAAGAGGTTGCACGTAGCGAACTATTGCACGATGCAAGCGGCCTCTTTGGGATTTATGCGTATACGCTGGACCATGTGAACGAGTAGCGTCATGCTGCTCCAAGTTGTCAGTAACTCTGGACTATCCACTCTGGGGAAGGGTCGCGGTACTCACTGAGTTTTGGTCATTGCGCCAGCCATCAGCCAGCATTTTGCGCGAAAGCGGGTATCGGCTAGAACGTACTCACTAACCTCTGCCAGTGGCCCATCGTGCGAAGGGAAAACTCGGCGCTTCCACCAGTATAACTCCAACTGCGGGAAGGAACGCTGAGGGATGCAGCGTAGCAAGGATGTTTGCAAGAACATAGTAGGTCGCTCTGATTCGGAGCTCATCGTGGCCGGATCCATGTGCCTATAATCATTGAGATCGGATCCTTCCTGGAGGAAAAATCATCATATATCCGCGGTCGTATGACGGGCTGCAGCAAGCGCGCCGCCGCTCAATAGTAGTTCAGCTCGAAGTCCTCCTGACCTGAATCTGCATCGACAACTCCGTCCCACTCTACACTCCCCACGAACTTCTCCAGCATCTTGACATCAGGCAGGTCCACGCACTTCGACCGCTTGATTACAAGTGTCGCCAGCGTCGAGGTCTCCTGCGCCCGAATCACGAGACTCTGCACCAGCTGCTCCGTGAAGTCTCCAGGCTCCCCGCGCCGAAACGTCTCCGTCACACCAAAGCTGACAGCCTCCACCTCCGCGCGCTGTAGCGTGCCCAAGCAAAGCCGGTCGCTGTCGTCCAACATCTTCGCCTTGAGCATGTCAGGGAGTCGGTAGGCCGCCAGTCCGGCCGTGCCGAGTGTCGTCAGACTGCTCAAGCCGCTGAACAGTTGCACCCACTCCTTCGTTTGGTCCTCGTCATATGTCGGCGGGATGATCCCGGCGACATGCAAGTTCCGCACGTGAGTCAGTGCAAGATGCTGGCAGAAGGCAATGGCGCATGGCGCAGACGGCTCCGCGGAAAAGAGGTTGGGGTCGCTTCTGAAAGTGACGATGAGTGGGAAGGAAACGCCGTCTGCGGGTAGTTCGTCATCCATAGAGATGCGCACGCGGAATGTAAGGGGTGTAGGTCTTCTCGGACGCCGTACTGAGCTAGCCAAAGCCTGTATATTGCAGGGGCGAGCGGTGTACAACGATGGGGAAAAGACGACGAGAGCAACGGGGCGCGTCAGCTATAAAACGGTCCTTCGGCGGACTCCGGGTCGCTGACTAAGGCGCTGACTAAACTACTTTACCATCGTCCTTACATCCTCCCCCTCCAGGAAAACGTCGTAGACGTCGACATAGGGCAGTGTACATAGAATATAGCATAATGTGCATAATGAAGACACCCGTCGCAGCTAAAGTCGACGGGGATTCGTAGATACATAATCATAATAAGTGGTGAACAAGCCACTCAGTGGTAGTAGGCATAAGCTCGTCGGTGCGAAGTGCGACGAACAACGGATACATAGGATCGCGAATACGGCAAACACAAACTTTTAGAAGGAGTATGGAGAGAGGACGAACCATCCCTCGGCATTACGCCGAGTCCCGACCAAGCGGCTCGACCGCCATTGCCTCTTCGCCGGCTGCGACGTTCGGAATGGGCTGCTCGCCGTGGCCAGTCGTGGGTTGTCCACCTGGTGCGACCTCGCCATCGATGTGCTCGGCCATCAGCGGGGCTCCAGTCGCGGTCGGACCCAGGTCTGCCGTTCGTAGTCCACTCGCTAGGTAGTCTCGGGCCCACAGGCAGAGGTGGTGAAGCACGAACTCCGGGGTGATGCCGCAGCGCGCCGCATGTACCGCGACAGTGGTCATCGTGACGTCAACCGTCACGACAGCCCCGTTCTGCGTCTCCGGCAACGGGGTGATATTGAGGGCCGGTTCGGGATTGACATTCGCAGCCTGGAGGTGTGCGACGTAGACCTGCGGGTCGGTGAACAGGGCGGCAAGCGTGTCGAAGATGGCCGACTTGTAGCGACGTCGGGTCGACGTGAGGGGAGAGGCGATGCGAATCATCATGCAATGAAGATTCGCGCGGTCGATGGGGACTTGACCGCTGTTGTCGCGCACGAGTCCGCGAGGAAGGCGGGCTCTTGGGTAGCGCGAGAAGTAAGATGCCCACTTCTCGGCTGGGTCGGTATAGCGCGGAGGAGTCTCGTGTTGCTCCTGGGACGGCGGGTTCGCCGTGCGATCGAGTCGGGGGGTGCGAGGGAAACGGTGGAGGTACCAGTCGGGTAGTCCAACCCAATGGTTTTGCAGGGCCTCTTGGGTCACTGAAAGGGGTTGTCCCACAGCGAGGGTGGCGAAGATCGCCCTGCGCCATTGCTGAAGCTGGCGCACGGCTGCGAGGCCTACAGCGTCGTCGATCTGCGCTCGACGCAGTGCGCCGTCGACTTCGTCGATGGTCAGAGGTACCTCCGACATGATGAGGGTCTGGTGGCGAGCGGGTCCACGGATACGCTCATTCGTGTTGAACCTGCGAGTGAGGCTATTGTCGAGGTAAGTATCGACAGAGGAATCAGTGTTGTAGGGGGCGAACCTATTGCGAATAGGTCCCAATCCTCCCCCTCCAGGAAATCGTCCACCGGTGTTTGCACGGGTGGCGAGTTGGCCTTCGAGCTCCGCGATGCGAGCTTGAAGTTGCTGGATCGTGGTTGCGAGCGTCGCACGGTCCTGTTGCGCATCCTCGTAGCCTCGTTCATAGGCTTCGCGTCGTGCAGAACGGGCGGCGGTGTCGTCCTGTTCAGTGCGTGCGACCTGGTAGTTGCGAGTACCGAGGGCGTCGGTTGCGTGGTGCAAAAAGGCGTCGCAGACGCCGCAGTTGCTGGCGTGCAAGACGGCGTTCACGCCTTCGTTGTGGCGCCACATCGCAGGCGCCTGTGCGATGTTCGCGACAGGGTTGGTGACAGGTCCATTGGCGACCTGCACAGTATGGATGTCGGCCATGGGGTGGTCGACGTCGGCAGTAAGGATAGCAGCAGACATAGTAAAAGAGGCGAGGGTAGAGCACGCACAGTTGAGCAATTAGATGGTTTGGTGAGCACGGCGTGATGGCGGCGTGCACTTTAATAGGCATCGCGTCGGCGTACAAGTTTCACGGCGGGATAGTCGCGAATGTTCGACGCGAGTTCAAAGAGTTTCTGGCGAATGTTGGTCGTCAGGTAATGGGGTGTTGGGCGGCGACTCCGGCGAGTCAGTCGCCGATCTAGATAGTGGAACTATCACCCGCCAGGGCGCATTGATCTTCGCGCGTGGCGGTCGGGTCCAGTATGTCGCGGCAGCTCTCGCCAGTCCGAGATACCTTGTAGCTCGAGATACCTGTCAAGAGCTTCAAGATCCTTGCAGTTATCATATGACTCCCAGAGGATGTCGCCATCGTCAAAACGTACCAGGAACTCAATACGTCGACTGACCCAGCGATGAGTGAGGATCTCATCGACTAGGTATTCCTGTTCACCGTCGAGTCCGAAGTCGTAAAATTTTGTTACGTCTCGGCCCGGGAACATGGTGTCGTCATTCGGCTGATGAGGCCGAAGGAGCGACGCATGGAAGGTCGGGTGAATGCGACGTTTCCGCAACACATCCGGCAGCTCCAGTGTGTAGTTTGACGTGTCGGGGTGTGCCCTGACAATCTGGTAGGGGCCTACATAGCGTGGGGCGAGCTTGTTAGCTCGTCCTTTCGGTAGGGATAGATTGTGAGTACTTAAGTAGACGAGTTTGCCAACCTCGTATCGAGGTTGGTCATCACCATTAGGGTTGTCGGCGCGTCGGCGACGGTTCGCATGCGTCGTCTGAGTGACGCGCGACTCGATGATTGCGTCATGGGCAATCAGCAGATTTTCGACTGCGCGGTCGGCAAATGCTCGTACTCCGGGCATCGCGGGCGTGTTTTCGAGCGTGCGCATGATCCGGGGCATGTATCCGTAGGTGAGCTCGAATGGTGCGAACCCGGTCGAGGCATTGACACTCGAGTTGATCGCAAACTCGACAAGGGGTAGGCGGTCGACCCAGTCGGTCTGATCAGGTCGAACAACGCTTCGCAGAATTTGCGAAATGGTCTGGATAGCACGTTCCGAGACGCCGTCAGTCTGTGGATGAAATGCAGTCGACATGAGTAACTTATTACCCATGAGTCGATGAAGTTCATTCCAGAACTTCGACGTGAATTTGGGGTCTCGGTCCGAAACTATGGACTCCGGAAGACCATGTAATCTGACTACTTCCTTGAAGTAGAGCCAGGCGAGCTCGGAAGCTCGTACTCGAGTCGTAACAGGAATCAGATGCAGGTGTGAAGTCAGTCGGCATATAATTACCCATAGGTAATCAAAGCCTCGTGACGAGGGGAATGGGCCGACGAAATCCATCCCAACAGACTGCCAAGGTCGCAATGGGATAGGCATGCTATGTAGCAGTCCAGTGGGCTTCTGGCGCGAAAATTTGGACATCTGACAGGTGCTACAGCTCGCGCAAAATGCGGCTATGTCCTTGCCAATGTTGGGCCACCAGTACCATCGCCGGACGTAGTCCGACGTCCGTCGGGTACCCAGATGCCCGAGCGCAGTATGCGCCTCGTCGAGGATAATTTCAGGTAGTAGTCGACGACGTACCTTGACTCGAGGTATGCATAATACCTCAGTTTCTGGGTGTGGCTTGTACCAAAGCAACTCGTCATGTACGAGGAACATACGGTGATCCTCGGGGTGGTCCATAATGGCCTTGAATAAACGATCATTGGCATAGCCAGATCGCACGGTATCTTGCAGGTCGAGGGTTTGCTGGACAACCGTGTCGAGCGGTGGTCCGGCAATTGCGGAATCAATTGCGGTTGGGTCGTCCTGAACGGATGATGAGTCTGCGTCCGAGTCGGACGCATCAGGGCCTTGCGGGTAGTGAGCCGCAAGCTCCTCGGCTTCGCGAACTCGAGGCTCGACGTGTTCAACAACACGCTGAGCTCGGATCTCTGCGAGTCGAGCATCAGAAAGTGTCTCACCGTAGGGATCGATCCTTATGTCCGCGGAGACATAGTCCTGTGGCTCGTGTAACACGTCGGCGCCCTCACTAGAGAAGTAGCGAGAGAATGAATCAGCGACAAGGTTCTTGGAGCCTTGGACGTACACAATCTCAAAGTCAAAACGACTGAGGTATTCCGTCCAACGCTCGAGTCGTGGCGCGAGCTTCCGCTTGTCTTGTATGAAGACGAGCGCGCGATGGTCAGTGACGATCTTGAAATGTCGTCCGATCAGTTTGTCTTCCCATTTAAGGAGTGCTTCGAGGACGCCTAGGGCCTCCATCTCGTAAGTGAAGTACGCGTGCTGCGCGGACGTGAACTTCTTCGACATGAAGCCAGCCGGGCGGCAGTTGTCCCACTGAGGGCCCTGGCCATATACAGCACCGACTCCTGATGTAGATGCATCAGTAATGACCCAAATGGGGTCGGAATTCCTAGGATCGATTGGTCGTAGGATGGGTGTCTTACACGCGAGTGCCTTGATTTCGTCAAAGCACTTTTGATGAATAGGTCGCCAGTCGAATGACTGGCCATTTCGTGTGATGCTCGAAATTGGACCTGTGTATGCTGCGAGGTTAGGCATGAAGTGAGCGAGATACTGCACAAGGCCGAGAAAGCGCTGTACTTCATGGTAGTTCCGAGGTACAGGCCAGTTGCGAACTCGGGCCATTTTGTCAGTATCTGCATGGAGTCCTTTCTCGTCAATGATGTGTCCGAGGCAGTCAACTCGTCTCGCAAATAATGCGCATTTGTTGACACTGAGGTACAGTCGATTTTCACGAAGCCTCTTGAAAACCCATTCAAGGTGTCTCTCGTGGTCTTCGAGAGTGTCTGAAAAGACAAAAATATCGTCCAGATAAACATGGACAAATATCCCTATGGCATCGCGGAAGATCGATGTCATGAGGCGTTGGAACGTAGACGGGGCGTTCGCATCCCCTTGTTGCATAACAAGGCTGTAGAACGTACCATAGATCGTCGCGAAGGCGGTCTTGTGGACGTCCTTCGGTTCTACTAACACCTGTTCATAGGCGTTTGACATGTCGATCTTCGAGCGGTATCGAGCGCGGGCAACGTCATTCCGGATCTGGTCTTGATCCGGAAAAGGCGTTACATCCTTGATGGTGTTCGCATTGCGCTGGCGAACGTCTGTGACGGTGCGTAGTCCGCCGTCTTTCTTCGCGAGGCAGAGCATTGGTGCTGCTTGCTCTGTCTGGCACTCTTTCCACCAGCCATTGGCGGTGTAGAGCTGTATCTTCTCGAGCAATTTGGGCTTGAGAGAGTCTGGGCACTTAGGTAGATAGTAAGTGTACCGTTTTCGGTCATCAACTAGGGGTATAGTGTGATTGACCTCTCGTACCGGGGGTAGTCCAGGTGGTACTGGACCGAAGAGTTCAGCGTATTTCGTCATGAATTGCTCGCGGATCTGTGTGATGCGCGCTTCGTCTGCAACTGGAGTTGACTCATTAGCAGTAATACGGTGGAACGAGACGGTTTGTAGTGGGTCGGGTGACGCACTACTGTCCATCTCGGCTAGTCAATATGAGGGATTAGGCGGGGGCGCAGACGGAGCAGGCGTCTGCTGCGATGTATTTGTGACACTCCGGCGAGAAGGGAAGGTACGTCGCCGTCTATTTGCGGCGTCCTCCTCCTCCCGCGGAAGCAATGCGGGTATCGCAATGTCTCCGATGCAGATTGCCGACTTCGCGAAGTCAAGGCATACACCGAACTTCCGCATGAACGGTGTGCCGAGCACTGCATCGTAGCGGTCAAGATTCACAACATCGAAGTAGACCTCACCTTTGAATTGACCCCAGATCACGGGTACGTTCGCGCCGTAGTTGATGCGTGAACGGCTTCCGACACAGCCAAGTTGAAGGATCGCCGGGTTTTCGAGTTCAAAAGCTTCGATACCAGCGACTCGCACGAAGTCGGGGCTTATGGAGTCAGTAGTACTTCCGGAGTCGAGGAGTACTAAGGCCTGCAATCCGTTGATTGTCAGGTAAGCGGTAAGGCATGTTTGGTCATACCGAGTTAAGTCGGGTCGACGACCTGTTACAGCGCGTCGCACGGTTGCACGTGTTGCGAGGGGCTGTACACTCGAGTTGGGCGCGTCGGGAATGCGTCCAGTACGAGCCAGCATTGCTCGTAATGCCGGGTATGGCGGAGGTGGGTCATGCATGTCTGCATCTTCTCTGAGCACTTGTTCGGCAAGTGCAATGGTCGTGGCAAACGAGGGCTCGTCTAGATAGTTGTAAGATAAATCTGGTATGTTCATGGAACCTACCAACCAGTTTTGGTTGTCCAGTCGATTGCGAATGCGCTCGCGATCTTCTGCGCTTGGCCGGTAGCGCTCGAGGCTGCGCAGCAGCTCGTATCGTGTCCAAAGGAGTTCGCGGCACAGCGTGCGCAAGCGGCCTGTAAGCGCGAGAGCATACGTCTCTTCGTCAGTGAAGTCCGGGACAACATGATCAGACTCGGGTATCTCTTCAAGAGATGGTATCGAGTCGTCAGAAGAGATCGACATGGCGTCGGGCTCGCCTAACCCAGTGGCAACTGCAGCGTCCACTGGTGCAGGTCCCACGAAGTCCTCGGCTATGTGTTCATAGCTTATACCACTGCGTTCAGAGACGGCTTCAATTGATGGGCCTCGACGCAGGATCTCGCGCACTGCAACGTTGTCTATCGACTCGAGGTCGATGTTGTCAGCACCATTACTAAGCGCGCGGCGCCACTCAAGCTCGAAGACACTGTCCTGCGTGCTAACATCGCGAGGAATGTGGAAGATACGAAGCCCATATGACGTATGGTCTCCGTGTGAGGTCTCGGTGTGCTCCACCAAGTCATTATCGACCTGCGAAACCTCGATGCGACGCATTGAGCCGTAGTATACGACATTGTCATCATCCTCGAGTGCATCCTCCATCATGATGTACTCATCAGGATCATACTGCGATCCATCCATGGCGAGGTACTCGTCCTCTAACTGGGCGAGTACTTCGTCCTGGTTATCGGCATTGGCTGCCTCGGCCGCAGATGAAGGAGCATCCGGCGTTGTATCCGGCGACACCTCGGGCGCCTCGACAGGATTGTCGGGCGGGAGGACCGACTCGTTTGCGTCGGGGTCGTCGCGATCATCGACGATACGCGCCGCACGGAAGTTTGTGCGAGGTGGATGAGGGCAGTCCTTCGAGAAGTGTCCCTCTTCTCCACAGTTGAAGCACTTGCGCGAGTGCTGCGAAGTGCCATGTGCGTGAGAATGAGACTGGTGCGACGCACCCTGCTGGCCTGACGAACGGTTGCCCGAAGCAGGTGCAACACCACCACGGATGTTTGAGGTCGGCTGAGACGATTGTTGCAGTCCCTTAGGACGAATCAGCGGCGCACCTCCGCCGCGAGCTGCAGCAGCCAAGAGGTCAGAGCGACGAACGAAACGAATGAACTTACGAGTGCCCTGTTGGCCACTACTTTGCCCTCGGCTATCGCGATGGTTCGACTCGACACGACGGTCAGTGCTTCGCGTCGAAGGGTTGCTTGCAGTATTGGGTATAGTTGTCGCAACCCGCGCAGCGTGTTTTGAACGGTAGGCCGCGACTTGCTTATTGTTGTGTTCTTGCTGCAGAGCAAGACGTCGGAGTCGCTGTAGAGGAGTCGACTCGACGGACACGTTTTTGGCCTGGAACAGCGGCACGCCGATGTCGCTGGGAAGCGCCTCCGTGAACACGCGTGCGAACGTGTAGTCGTCAGGTGGTATGGGCATACGGGCCGCATACTTCGTGAGATAGTCCCAGAGGCCGTTAATACCACCTTCTTTAGTGTATTTAGCAGCGTAGAACTTGTCGGCTGCTGTGCTGGCAGTCGCATGGTGTAAGAATCTATCGAATAGACCACAGAGTGCCTCAAGGAACGTCCAAGGCCTTCCGTTCGCGGTAGGTGCATCGATGGTATCGTTATACCAGTCGGCAGCCTTTCCCTTCAAGAACTGGCCAAGTATATACAAACGTTCTTTGTCGAGTGTCGGTCCACCTAGACGGAAGAGACTCATCCAGCGAAGTAAATTTTTGAGCCAGTTTTCGAACTGCTCGTAGTCGTCAGTACCATCGTACTGCGAGGGTGTGGGTATGTTCTTAATATTCTTGAGCGCATTGCTGTCAGGCATGCTTTCAGACAGTTTTTCGCGGACTAGCCTTCGTATCATACGAAGGCCTTCAGCTCTGAAAGTGTCATCGTAGTCCGGATCGTAGGGGTCACGGACTCGTCTATTGCCAGTGCGTGTATCGTACAAAGGTACACGTCGGTCAGCTAAGTATGTGGGACTACGGGTGAAGCGACGTTCATCTCGGCGCGGGGGCTCGCGCGCGTCCTGCTCGTCATCTTGAGGGTCTTGCTCGTCGTCGCGATCGTCCGACCCATTGCTTCCATCGTCGCCATCGGGTGGTCCGCCAGGTGGCGGAGGTGGCGGCGGAGCGGCTCCACCTCGTTGACCATCCGCATCTGGATGATCTCGGGGTGGCCTAGGGTCTCGCGGCGACGGTTGGCGCGGGTCACCGTCGTAGTCGTCCCCCGGGTCGTCATCGTCATCATGAGGACCCGGGTACGGCGCGTAGGCCTGCTGATTGGCGTACGGATCACCTCCGTGTCGTTCCGCAGCCTCGCGCCAGGTCTGCGCGATGCGAGCTTCACGTTCGCGTCGGCGTTGCTCCATTCCTTGGCGGTCCAGAAATTGATCCCGACGTCGGGCCCGGTTGGCGTATTGAGCGTCGGATTCATTCGGTCGCCTCGGCGCGAACATAGTGTCGAGGGACATGGTCTCGACGTAGTCGTCATCGCGGATATGCGGCGATGGTTGCCTGCTATCAACAGAATGCGGAGAGGCATGGCGTCCGTGATCATCGTCACGTACCTCGTCTTCCTCTTCGGCTGGTCCGTACCCAAGACGGTCCAGTTGTCTACGGATGTCCAGGAACATCGTCCGCGTGAGGTTGCGAGTCTCGGCCGCTCGTTGCTGAGCTGCCATGACGTCACGCAAGGCAGTGTTGGCGAAATTCGCCGCATTTCGGATGACCTCGTCCGAATCTTCGAGACGGTCGTTGATCATGTCGAAAAAGTCTTGGCACATGTCACGGATGCTGGTCTCCGACGTGCGCCGTGTTTCGGAGCGAGCTGAGGGCGCAGGAGATGGTGCGCCCGCGGGTAGTGTGCGCTCCAGGGATAGTGCGCGGGCGGGTGGTGTGCGCTCGTGCTCGAGCTCTTGCTCGACGTGCTGAGGCGAAGAGGTTCTGCGAACAGAACCGTCAGGGATAGGTGAGCGAGGTGGCATTTGCTCACCGGGGCCCTGGTCCTCGGGACGACGCTCGTCGACGTCCCGGATATTGCCCTGAGCATACGTCGTAGCTCGGCTCGATGCGCGGGTGACGGGTCGACTAGTAGTAGTCTGTTGAGTCCGTCTTTTGGTTTTGGTCTTTGTTGTTGTTGTCGACATAGATTGGGGGTAGATGGATGGCGCGAGAGTTGAGTGAAGCAGAAGGAAGCGAGAGAGTGAAGCGAGAGAGTAAGGGGGCTCCTCGATTTAACGAGGTCGGTAGCTCAAAAAGATGTAAGGGGTGTAGGTCTTCTCGGACGCCGTACTGAGCTAGCCAAAGCCTGTATATTGCAGGGGCGAGCGGTGTACAACGATGGGGAAAAGACGACGAGAGCAACGGGGCGCGTCAGCTATAAAACGGTCCTTCGGCGGACTCCGGGTCGCTGACTAAGGCGCTGACTAAACTACTTTACCATCGTCCTTACACGGAAGCTGGACTCAGCGAAGTCTTCGTCGAGCACTAAAGTGCGAGGTTGCCGGATCAGCGGCGTTTTGTCCTGGATGCAGGATACGAGATCGACCAGGCCCCTCTTCGACGTGCATTGCAGAGTGAGGCTGATCGATTCGGGGAACGTGAGGCACCTAAGGAAGTGGGCGCAGTCAATAGTTTCCCCTACCAACCGCAGATTTCTCAAGCGACGCATATCGACGGACATCGAGGATGCTGGCACTGAGGTGACGTCCTCCGGAAGGACAGGAAGTGTATCCTCGAGGTCGACGCACTCCAATAGTGGCAGATGCGCTAGGGTAGCCATGACATCAGACATCGGAGGTCGCTCAGCGCCTGTCCCGACTAGCCTGAGATGTGAGAGGGATGTGAAGGACACGGGGGTATTCCATGGGAAAGGGCAGCCAAAGAGAGTCAGCTGTTCCAAACGGTTGATGAAGGGGCGCGCCAAGACGTGCAGAGGAGGGATGGTCCGTTGTGCTCCAGGCGGCCTAAAAGTTCTGTGGTGTACCGCTTTCACGGTGAGAAACCGGAGAACTGGCGCGGGGGCGTCGAGGGCATCCAGGATTTCAAACGCCTCTGTCGAGACACCGACGACCGCCTCCTCGATGCGTGCAAGGTCCGCCAGAAACAATCGAGCCGCCTTGTCCATGCCATCGGCCATGTTGGTCATTGCGATTTGCACGCGGAGGGGCGCGTACTGAGACCGCGCAAGCACTTCTTTCGTCCAGTTTATCGACCGCGTCGCGGTAATGTCGCTCCAAAGCCTGGGGCTACTGAGAGCGACGGTGCGCCAGTGCGAGCAGACTTGACAGACATTGATCCACTCGTAGCGATGACTCAAGCGCCATTCTAGTTCGTCGCTGCGGTAGAGGAGGTTCAGCTGGAAGAACACTTCTCCGAGGACTTCGTCAGGAAGCCTGGATATCGTCGCAAGAGTGTTCCACCTTGATTTGAGGTCGCGGATGGCTTCACTGTGAACCAGCATCTCCGTCCATAACTCTTCGTGACGAGGAGACGCTTGGGTCGGCGGAGCAGGGATGGAAATCACGATACCATCTCCGTTGTCCTGCAGTCTGGAGAACTCAAACAATTAGTGAGGACCACTTGGACACCCCGGATGCCTTGTGAGCCTTACGGATAAGTTGTCTCCGATTGAGCAGGCATTGTGTTTGCCTCGTAGAATGAGTTCCGAAAACGAAACAGAAGGTGCACTTCTCGTCCAACAACCTCTCTGATCGCGCTGAACTTGAAGTCAATATAATACTCCGATGGCATGCATCATCGATCAGCTTACATGTCTTATCCTTGTGATAGCGACGCAAAGGTGTCGACTTGTCCCTGAGGAAATACGGCGCGCTTGCGTATTGAAACGTTGATGGGGGTCAGTGAGGAGCGGTGGTCAGTGAGGCCGAGTATTTCGGTAGATCGCACAAGCGCCGAGATCTGCGTTTAGTCCCCGTGACTGATTTTGTCAGTCCAGTATTTTGTTGCCGACAGGCTGGGCTTGGGCTGGGTTACACTCGTGGACTCGTCTGAGTCGACATTCTTCACAATCTACGTGGCCTCTGCGAACGAGCAGCACCAACTTCCGAGCGCAAGACACGATACAGGGTTATTGTGCGGCTGACCCGGTAATGCAAACACTGAGTCGCAGAGAGCAGATAGCTCGTAATGCGTCTGCGAGAATAGTAAGGCGACATATAGCAACATCATGCAATGTTTCCTGTGCGGAATGATCCTACGTGCAATAAGAAACCATCGCATTACTGTACCAAACTGTATGACTGGGTCAGCCACAGTGAGACAGCCGCCAAAGATGAACATACGATAACTATGCGTCCTGGGTGGATCGCGATACGATGGCTACCACACGCTCGAACCAAGGCTCGATCAGCGCACTGCTCGTACGGTTCATGTTGTACCTGAACTGCAAGTAAAGACGACCGTCGAACGTGAAGAGGTGGTAGACGAGGGAGAAGGGATCGATTCTGCCAGCGGTCCAGTTCTCTGTAATCCGGATTTCCGCACCGGTATCTCCCGCGTGACCGTTCGCAGTATTCGACGTCTGAACCGGGTAGCGCGCAGGCAGGACCGTCTTGAGGTCGCCCAAGCTGCTCATGAACGGCATCGCCGGTCTTCCAGCAAGCTTCGCGTTGTAGGACTCCGTGATCATCGGACGATACATCGGAAGGAAGTGCCAGAAGTAGGGCGACTTCACGAAGGCGTCATTTTGCTTTTTGAACTGCTTGGCGACCTCCCAAATGCTTTCCTGGCTCTCGTTGCCCGTCGCGACCGAACGAGGGACACGGAGCATGACGGGGTACAACTCAATCCGGACGGCAACTTCCAGATCGCTGCTCGTAATTCCGCCTGGGTGCTGCGGAATCTTAGCGGTGATATCCATAGGCTGGCTGAAGTCGAAGTAGAGCGCGTCGTCGTCGTCGTCGTTAACTGAGGAGCGTTCGTCGGACCACTCTTGTCGTGCACGGAGGACAGGGCGCCCGCGATATTGACGAGATGCGTGATAGTGACGCCGTGCGCTTTACAAGCACGGAGGATCCGCGCGGTTTCTTCGCTCGACCAGACTTTGCGCAGTATACGCGGAGTCAGCGCGGCTGCGGGCGTGCCATCAGCGACGATGCCCGACATTGGCTGTAGGCATGTCATGAGAAGGCTGCACCGGGCTGAACAGGTCTGACATACCTTCTTGGCGTACTGATTGACCAATTCGTCGAAGACGATCTTGGCTTGACGAGCCTCCTCAGCGTCGTCACCGAGTTGGGGTTTGAGGTGTTCCGTGGGTACAGGGATCGGCACAGGCGCAGCCTTCGCAGCAAAGTGGCATCCAACTCCGCTTGTGCGCGTCCTGGACTCGCGAGCAGCTCCAGGAAGCGGCGCATGAGGTTCAGGCGCCGGCGGTTGTCGGTGACGAAGTGCGTTGTGATGAGACCGAACACGTACTTGCCCGACTGCGGGTCGGCATCCCTGCCCCACCAGAGGGCGCACGTCCGCTCGCGGATGTCAAGCGCTTTGTCGGCGTCGAAGCAGCCACTCGTCGCGCAGGGCGATCACGCTGCTCCTGATCATGGAAGGTGTGGAACTCGACCTGAGCCTTAGCGCTCTGCAGCGCGCGCGCGAGCGTCGCGGGTGCGTTGACCAGGAAGTGGGGCCCGCTGAGGAATGTGACGTTGGATGCGAGGAGGGGGTACCGAGGCGCAATGCCGCGCAGGCGAGGATACTTCGTCGTTGGTGATGGTGTATCCTCCAGAGCACTCCAGCGAGACGATAGTGGAGGGATCGGTCATGCCGCCTCCGCGCCGGCTCGCGGCGTACATGAGTTCTCCTATGGAGAGAGGACGACTACTCGCGAGGGCAGCTTCGGGAATGTACGCTGGAGAGCCTGGACCATGGGATCCATAGTGGGTGTGATGTGCTGTTAGCCATGGGTAGAGTGTGAGTAGTGCAGCACGAGTAGCTGCAGACTCCTTGCGACGCTGTACCTTATACCCATTTACATCATCCTGAACCGCCCTGCTCCGGAGGAGCGGCAAAGCCGGTTGCAGATTTGGTAGCGAGACCCGATCAGTGTGCAACGGGCGCATCATAATTGGATGCAATCCCTGCTCGCTCGCGTATTATCGACCAGTTTCACCGGTGCGACGCACGACCGTCGTTCGATTAGGGAATGCATTGTGGCGGAGTGTACTTATGGTGTCATAACAGCGGAATGCATTAGACGCTGCGAACAATGACAGCTTGCCGAACACGGTATTGCAGCTGCCGGCACGTACCTGTAACTCTTATTCGGTACCGCGGTAAAACCCGTCGGTGCAGACCCGGCGCTCTGCACTTGACAGCCAGAAGCTGGCCATTTGATACTTTCCATTCCTGGAGCGTAAATACGCCCTGCAAGGAACCTCCCCCCAATGAAAGCAACCCACGTCATGCATGCTGCACTAACGCACGCGAAAAGTGGGAGGCTCTTTAATATGCATTTCCTTTCCTTTCCGGAGGTGTTTCCGTGAGCAAAGAGGATCACGACAACGGACTACGTTGGTGTACAAGTCGAGTACATGATTGCCTGATTGTTGTGCTGTACACGATCCGTCCCTGCAATGCACGTTAGCAGCTGACACCCCAGAAACACTTGACACTCACCAATATCGTACATGCACCTAGATGTCACCCAAATCTTGCCACTTCCCTTCCATAACTTACAACTTCGCCTTCTTCTCGACAGTCTCGACCCACTCCTTCAGCGTCTCGTTGACCTCGTCTGGGGCCTCCAGCTGGAGCCAATGGCCCGTGTCTAGCTCCTTCACCGTGAGGTCTGAACACAGCTGCGTCGACGTCCGCAGCGCAAGCGCAGACGGGTTCACACAGTCCTGCTTCCCACCGATATACAACACTGGAAGAGGAAGGGGGAGTCGTTCCTGGGGGATGCCTACGACGTCTGTGTGAGCGAGCACTCGGACTGTAAACCGGCCGGGATCCCACCCTTGTCGTCTTCTGCGGCGAGACCGCTGAGGATCACCTTGTACCAATTCAGTGCGCCGCCGAGCCCGTCTTTGACGATCATATCTGTCAGGTGCTGCTTCACCTGTGTGAAAAGCCAGCGTAAGTCCTCGTTCGTCGAACACGGGAGCATAGCAGTCAAGGTACAGATGACCATGCCCATCACGGATGGAGACAAAGCGGCAGTGGCAGCACTATATGGAGATCGACTCGAGTTCAATTTCATCCATGTCAGGCTTGTGTCAGGCTACCTAACTCTACCGATCATGGTCGCAATAGAACAGGGCGAACAGAGTAATGTTCCGTACAACCTGAATGCTACGGCATGAGAACTCACCTCCGGAGTTACGTAAGAGGCTATCGGAGTCCTCTTATCTGCAAGAAGTGCCGCTTTCGCCGCCCCAGGTACGCAGAGATCTTCCTTCCAAGTCGCAGGGTCTGCGGGGTGAATGATCCCGAGCGTCGACTCCAACTAGGCAACGCAGCAAGTCAGTCGATTGCAGGATGACAGCGAACGTGGGGGCGAGGAACACTGACGTGGTCCTTCATGACTTGGTCGGTACCCTCTTCAACGAAGAACCTGGCGCATCTCAGAACGAGGTCCACCGTAAGACCAGTTATGCTCACCGCCAATAGCCATAAGGCTCGTAGCCGATGGCTTGCTTGACCGTGGCCATGGCGGTCTCGTAGTTGAAGTTCGCGAACGATGGTGTGTAGCCGACCGCGAGGAATGCGAATGCGAGGAAGCGCTCTCGGTAGCGTACAGCCAAATGACCCACAAGAGGTGCACCCCTGCGAGCCAAGCACTCTGTCAGTATGCCTGGATAGGTGGGCATATGGAAAACATTCTATGTGCCGATTGGTCTGGCTAAACCTAGGACGCATATAGCCCCCGCAATGCACTCTCCCCAGCAGTGCGCCCATATCGCGCCTCAACCCAGCCACGCAGCGAGCTCCTTGCCAAACTGCACTCACCAGTCGTGTCCTATCACGATCGCCTTGCTCACGTTCTCCGCGTCCAGAATGTCAATCACATCCGCGCACATCGCGCTGTGCTTGTACAGAGCTGTCTCTGCTGGCTTGTCCGTTCCACCGTAGCCCAGCATGTCAGGCGCAATGATTGAGTGGCCCTTCGCCTTGAAGAACGCGACTTGGTTACGCCAGTCATACGAGGTTGACGGGAAACCATGCACGAACAGAAGGGTCGGTTTTGACGCGTCGCCAGACGAGGAGTAGTAGCTGTACTTGATGCTGCGCTTGGTGGTGATTTCCTTGTACGACGTACGGTCCATCTTGATTTCGGGGAAGGACAGGTAATCGTAGAACAAGATGCTTTAATACCTGGGTGGGTCGGACGCGCCTGCGCAATCTCCAGGCGTCCGCGTCAAACCGGGCTCCGGGCAACTGGCCCCTGCTCGTGAAATCCTTGCCAAGGACTCTGATTCAGCACCGGTACTGCCGCCATGGTACCAGGGATTGACGGTGTCAAGATTCACGCGCACTCTGAGGACGTGAGGATGTTATGCAAGGCTATGATCGCCCGGTGCTGCTGCCAGTGGAGGCAAGTTCAATCCAGGTTCAGATGTTCAAGCGCGCGCTATACACGCCTCCTCCTCGCCTGGGACTCGGATGCGCGCCGCTTCATTCCTACGCCCCTTCACGACCGCTCAGGCTGGCCAATCCACCTTATGCTCTATGTCGCTCAAAGGTCATCAACAGAATTCGCATGCGATGCAAAGGAGGGAGTCTAGCGTAAGCTACCAGCGCGTAGAGTCCGAAGCTGAAGTTACGCAATCGCCGGATGAACGGGCGACCGTCGGCGTAGCACTGGTAGTCGTAAGCAAAGTACACCCGCTACCACCATGTCGTCGCAACTGAGAGAGGTACTTCTAGTGGGTCTCGGCGCAGTAGGAGCCATCTGTGAGTCGCAGAATTATCCACGCTTCGAGTTTGTCTCTGAGAGGGAAGATCGCGGTACGAAGACTCGTTGATCCTGAAGCGAAGTGGTCAAGCGCATGTAACGGTCGTTGCACGGAGCAACTACCAGTCAGTGAAAGGTGGTGTATAGCCTACGCCTAGCTTAGCGACCGTACACTGACGTTGGCGGAAGATGAGGGGCTACACTTCCTCAGCCGCAAGTACGGCGAGCACCGAGGGTGGAGGCCTGACCGACGTGGGTACACTCGTTCCCCTCCTGCGAATTAGCTCTGAACTCTCGTCCGCCAGTGTGCCGCTCTGTCGCAGAGGCAGCGGATCGTCCATATAACTACGTGGTAGTCACGACCAAGGCAATTCCGGAGCTGACCCGCACTCCAGCCCTCCTCGCGCCCCTTCTTTCGTCGCCATATTCGGATCAGTATCCTCAGCCGACGTACGTGTTGATGCAGAATGGACTGAACGTCGAAGTCGACCTGTACGAGGCACTCAAGAAGCTACAGCCGAATGAGGAGCCGAAAATCATCAGCACGGCAGTCTGGATTGGTACGGGTATGAAGGGCAGTAATGTCGTGGAACACAACGACTTCGTGAGCACTATCGCGTGCTACACAAACGAGTTGAAACTTAATATTATCTAGGACCGCGTCTCGTTAGGTGTCTACCGCCCGTCGTCGACAACGACAAAGAACACGCCAGAGGAGAGCGCTCTCCTGTCCGACTTCGAGCGCATCCTCGCCGCAGGCGGCAGCCAAACCTCGATCGTCGCCGAGATCCAACGCGTCAAGTACAGCAAGAACTTCTGGAACGCCTGCCTCGGCATCACCGCCGCCCTCACCCGTTTCCCGCTCACCGCCATCTTCCGCCCGCCCCACCTCGAGCCCGGCGCAGCGCCGTCCGCCTCTTCCACACCAACTCTCCGACCCGGCGAGATCTCGAGCGCGTCGCCCGCGATCGCTGACTACAGCATCCCGGCTATCCGCGCGGCGATGCAGGAGGTCTACACGCTCGGGACGGTGCTCTTCCCCGACAGCGTGGACGGCCCGGGGCTGGACCCGGAGGTGGTGGAGAATACGCTGCGCAACACGGCGCGCATACATGCGAGCCCCGACGCGAGTCACCGCGCGAGCACGCTCGTGGACGTGGAGAGTGGGCGCCCGACAGAGGTGGAGGTCATCCTCGGTGAGCTCGTACGTATGGGCCGGGCGAGGGGCGTGGCTATGCCTGTGAGTGTGATCGCGTCGCTTGAATTGTTCGGCGAGAGCTTACGCGAGTGTAGCGGATCGAGACGCTGTATGCGCTCCTTCTGATCGTGCAGAATCAACTGTTGCGTCGTGATAGCGAGAAGAAGCCGTCGTTGTGAGTGCTGATGGGATAAGCTCTGGCGCGGAAGTTGGTGAGCGATCGGGTGAGTATTACCTCTTTGCTCGTCGCCGTCGTGATCGACACGCGTTCCGGTCTCATCGAAGCTTTTGCAAAAACAATGTAGGTTATATCGTTCGACAGCATACGCAAGCTACTGTACACGAGACGCAATTCGGCTACTACAAACTACTGTACATGAGAAACAACTCGTTCTGCGGATTCGGCGAGCGGTTGACATCGGTCAAACTATAGTACAACGTGCATAAGCGATGAAACTCGAAGTTCCTTCAACAGCCCATATGGATGAACGGAGCCCAAGCTAGGATGTCCTTGTCCTCGGTTCCAGGGTACTTCTTCCTGAGGTTCTGTACAGCCATGTGCAGGGCATCTGCAGCATCTTCGCTATCCTTGGTAGCCAACAGGTGAGCATAGACATCTCTAGCAACCTCAGGCCCGTCTTCGTCTCTGATGGACCACATAGTGGCTATGACAGACCTGAACCCAGCAAACAGCATGCCTGCAGCAAGGTGTACTGCCTGGTCAGAGAGCTTGATGTTACCTGTGGCAGTTTGGCATGCTGATAGGAAAGCAAAGTCTGCTTGGTCTAGGTCCTGCTGAACAATCCTAGAGAGCTTCAGAGCATCATTGTGGAGTATGAATGCACTCTCTATGGAGTTTTCAGAGTCTTGAATCCCATGACAAGCCAAGTGCACCCATTGGGCTGTCTGCATCTTGCTTAAGACATTCTCAAGTGTAGCAGCACTGTCATGCAGGCTATCTGTGCTGCTGTGTGTCTTGGCAGCTATGTCTTCTATGCCACTCCACTCTTGGGCAACTGCTGGTAGCACAGAATAGCCCAAAGCTTGAGTTTGGCAGATGCCCAATATGGCTGGACTAGGATTGGCAGCCTTCTGCCTAGCCTTGATTAATGCAGTGAGAGTTGGAGTGTATGAGGATACCATGTAGTCAGATATCTTATGGCCAGGCTCATCCATGCTATAGTCCCCTGCAGCATGTATTGGCAGGAAGGTAAGGGGACCTGTCATGCACCACCAAATGTGAGGGGGAGGGTGGTCTGTCACAATCTAGAACCAATATGTCAGCTTTAAAGGCTACTATGCATGAAAAGAATATCACATACTGGAAGTTCTAGAGCTTGAATGATTGGATTGACAATGTTGTTCCACAGTTGGCTGAGTATGTCATGCATATGCAAGACATTGGAACCACTTATGGAAACTAACTTTGCAGCATGTTCAGAAACATTCTGTGCACTGCGCACAGTTTGTCCACCCAAGTGTGTCTGCAAGGACTCATGCATACTCTGGATCTGTTTCTTAGACAAGCCCTTGAGGTGCAGATTGACCACAGAATTTTGGCCTGGCATCAATATAAGTGCATCTGCATGACATGAGGCATGATCATCCAGAACCAAGTAGATAACTGGTGAATCATTGGCAGCATCAAGGAGCTCAGAAAATGGCTTTGCCCTCAAAAAATCCTTGAATCCTGGTAGAGTTCTCACTTCCTGTACCAGCTCATCCCTTCTCATGGCAAGCCTTCTGCGAAACTGGCCAATCTGTTCCATTGTCATATGGTTGTGCACAGCAGACTTTTCTCTGTCATGACTCAGCATCTCAAGGTGTTGGAACACAGATTTGAGTTCATCAGAGAGAACTGGGTGGGCACTTTGTAATTCATCAAGAGGGGTGCGCAACTGGAGGAGCTGATTCCATGTGATAGATCTCCCTTGTTCAAGCCATTCCACAGCTCTTTGGTATTGTCCCAGATAAATTGCAATATTTGCTGCTTGAGTTGCAAGTGTGTTCCACCTAGCCAGATCAGCATACTGGTTTGCTACTGACTTCCCTAACCAAACAACTTCTGGTAGTAGTGTGAAAGCTCTCTCATATGCTGCTATACAATCATCTTGTCCATTTCCCAGCTTCTGTGCAGCATCCGCCCATCTACAGGCAGCTACCATTCTGGATAAAGCAGAGCCATAATCACAGCAAGCAGCTGATCTGTGGAACTTCATAGCATTTTTCATTTCTGGGACATATGCAAATTTGTCATTCAGGCTGGTGATCATGTATATAGCCTTCTCATAGTGACCTTCACCTAACTGCATCTGTGCCAAAAGTGCAGTAGAAGTGCCTGGTAGCGAATGCTCAACTGCTTGCTGCAACACACTGATTGTGTGGTCAATGTCTAAGACATTATGAAGATGCTTGAACTTCATCAAGTATGCACCTCCAAGATTGCATAGCTGATCAACTTTCATTGGGTGTTCATTAGGTAATAAATCCAAAGACTCCTGAAATGTCTGGATAGCTAGGTCCAGATATGCAGCATTTTCTGTTCTCTTAAAGTATGACAAGTAGCTTGAGCCAAGATGTAAGACGCCTTACTCGTCGTGCCTCGTATGCGCTGCACCCAGTCTCTATTCAAGAGGTACTGTCTACAGATTGCATACAAAGGCGGTGACGAGGTAAAGGCTGAGGACTTGTAGGTGCACTGGCGCGCCATACGAGTCCTCGAGCAAACAAAGACAAACATTTAATGTAAGACATACCGTAACGGGAATATCCGTTACACCCTCCCCCACTGGACACGACCACGGGTCCCAGCGATAACCAGAGAAACAGATAGAAAAAGGAAAATGAAAGGAGACATATGCAACAACCCACCGGTGGTAGCAGTTGGCAAACAAAGATGATGTTGAACTGTAGACAACAACATGTTAGATTGCGTCAGTGAGCAGACACAACCATTCATCATTGTCGTACATAACTCGACAAAGTTATGCAGGCCATAAGGTAAACTACTACTCGGACTCGGAGTAGTAGTCAGCATCTTCAGAGTTACCCTCATCGTCGGCAGATAGTGCAGAAGAGCTAAGGGTATCCTCCATCTCAGACTGCTCGTAGTAGTCAGAGACTACTACCGAGTTAGTCTCCTCAGACCCAGATCTTCGTGAGTCCCACGAGCTAAGATGCTCGGACTCGGAGGGATACTCCGACTCAACATGGTCAGGGTACTCCTCACGAGTCATGGTACGAGGCTCCTCATCAGAGGAGTTGTACCAGTCGGACTCATCCACTGGTTGTTGACGAGGTGGTACAACAAGCCATCCCAGCTTGTTGTAGGCCCAATGTCGTACCATCTCCATAGGAAGTGGTGCAACGAGCCGAGGATCAAACTCGAGTGGAACCACTTCCAACTCCCTCTGGAAGTGGTCCCATGCTCGACAAGCTGCACGAGAGTATGTCCCTGGTCGTGGGGACATATCCTCGATGGCCTGCCCACAGCTAAGGGCTGACCTCTTGCAGTGAGCCCAGATGTCCCACTCGCCAGTACTTGCCGCGACATCAGCCTCGTCGAAGTCATGGTCAAGCTGGTCTGCAAGGAGGGTGAAGCACTCCTCACGCGACACCTTATCCGTGGGCCATCGACTCACGTCGACAGTCACTGGGTGACCCAGTGCAGTCGGTACTCGGTTTAATCCCAGTACTTCGTGGCGCGAGGTACTGGTTTCCGAAGTGATGTCGCGGCTGCGACGATCACGAGTATCCTGCACCTCGATTCGATCACTCGACGCATGCAGTACAGGTGGTACCTGCCTCAATGTTCGACGTGAAGCCCGTACGTCGACATTGGACGTACGGCCTGTGACTACATCCAGTTCCAGTACATCACTATGTGATGTACTGGCCACTCGCACGGTATCCTGCACGTCGAACCCCTGGCTCACTGTGCGACTGCCTGATCTTCGCGTCGAGTTCCCATGGGTGGCCCGTAAGTCGAGCTCACGGCTTGACATCCGTGTCACTAGGGGATCCGGGACCAGTACATCTTCGCGTGGTGTACTGGCCATGGTGTGGATCAAGCGGTGGCTGCTCGAGGCCCCGCTCCCTTCCCCTCTCAAGAGAGTAACCCCCCTCGTAGAGGAGGTAGCTCCTCCTTGCGCTCGCGCCGGCTCGGTCTTGGTACCATCAGTTGTAGATGAACGTCGCCGTTCGCCTGAATCCAATGGTTCCGGCCTTCGCATCGACTGAGCTTTGAGTCCCTCGAGATAGATCTGGAAACCTTTCAATGGATCCCGGGAACGCATCTCCGTTTGGGCACGCGGCGACACTCTAGTAGTCGCACGAGTCGACGCACTGGGCATTTGCATCCGCAAGAACGAAGGTTCGTTCTCGCCAGGTGTCCCTGATCCTGGAGCCACGGATGTGGATCCGCCAGTTCGCGTCGATCCATTCGACTGTGCTGGGTCCAGGGAAGATAACAGCACATCCATCTTGGATGTGCTCGGCGGTAGCTCCCGGTCTCGTTCGCTAGACGCAACAAGTACTTCGCAGTATTTGGGCTGGTGCTCGCCGTCGAAGTACACGTCCAGATCGCGTCGGTCTTGCTGAACGCGACGTGCCGGCAGCACGTAGCGTCCCGACGGTCGCCATTCAGGTCCGGGTGCAGTCCGTCGTACGTCTACATTTGTAGACGTACCGGCTGACTGGCCACGATTCGCGGGATTGAGCTCGCCTGTATCTTCGTCGAGGTCTGTTGCAGTGTGACACGGCGGTGACACTGCAACTATAGTAGGTGAGCTGGCGAGTACCGTGAGGTACTTGCCTTTGACAGGAGAAATGTCGTGTCCTTGTGCGGCACCCACTGCACTTGACGCAGGCAGAGACTTGAGTACCTTATGGTACTCGCACTGCTCATGAGGGTGCTCATCGGCACCTACCTCAAGCTTGATGCTTGATGTCGGTACTACACCTGTATCGGAGAGGTGGGACGCGCCGGTAGTGCCTGTGTGCACCCCGGGCGCGCCGCCGTGCGTGCCAGCGGATGCGATTGCGATGTCGCTCCGTGGTGTGGATGGACCAGTGTCGATTGCGACGACCTTCGGGGTGGTCGCGATCGGTGGTGGTATCGGAACAGGGGGTGGTGACGGCAGGGCGAGTACCGTGAGGTACTCGCTTTTCGAGTCACTGTCGGGTTCCTCGAAACAGGCGTCGAACGAAGAGTCCGACGTCTGCGTGTGAGTCGCAGGGACTTTGGGTACGCCGGTCGAGCGCACTCGCCCACCGATCGTCCCGCACGGCCTGTCCGTGCTGGGCTCGACCTGTAGGTCGCCCCATGGGTCGATCATACCGTCGACATGCGTGGTGGCTGCCACGATAACCGCATTGGTTGTCGTGGTCGTCACGGGTGGTGGTGGCGGTGTAGGAGGAGGTGGTAGAGGCGGGGGAGGTACCTCCGACATGGACGTACCTCTGTCTTTCGAGCTCGCAGGTTCGTCTCCTTCGCCTACACCGCACCCTTCCTCCCCTCCTCCTTCTGCCAGACCCTCCTCATCTGACTCCTCTGTCTCTGCACTCTCATCCACGTCCCCCTCGTCCCCGGCCTGATCCGCCATCCGTCCTGCACTCGATCTCCGGAGTGCGCGCGCGACCTCCGACTCGTGGTGCCTCTCGTAGTCGCCACCGATGTCGGGAGCCGCGAAGGAGTCGATGGGGAGTTGGGTAGGGGTCCCTAGGAGCGAGCCCTCGACGAGAACTGTGAAGTTCTCGTCGGGTTGACGGTCGGGATGCCGTTCTGGTCTGTCGGGGTCCGTAAGCGCCGGCTGCTGCACTGGCAGTAGTGCAGCAGTCGAGTCGCGATCTCGAGCTAGCGCGTTCATTGTGAATACGCAAGCGTCGGACTGCGCGTTCGCAGGAGCACTGGGGTCGCAGAGAGATTGGTGGCTGCTGACAGTGCCGAGGTCTAGCAGCTGAACCGCGTGCGGTTCGGCTGCGCATGGACGGTCGCTCTGACGCACGGCCGTTGGGGCGATACGTGCGTCCTGGGTCGCATGCGTGACGGTTCGGCAGCCGTCTGCGTCGACGTCGTGGCAAGACGACTGTCGGTCATAAGTGGGGTCGTCCGGGGAATCTGCCAGTTGAACCGTGGATGGTTCAGCTGCGCATACCCGAAGGAGTTGTGTTTGCACGTCCGTTAGGGCGGTACAAGCTTCTCGCGGAGAGGTCATACGCTGAGGGTCGCTCGCCATAACCCTTGCGGGATCGAGCGCGTTGCGGGAGAGATCGTCGGGGTCGTCCAATGGCTCGGCCAGCTGAACCAAATGAGGTTCAGCTGTGCTGAAGCAGTCGGACGCCTGTACTTCCGTGAGGATGTGCAAGGTGTCTTGAGGCGCAGTTGAGTGCGCGATGCGACTGGCCGACGAGGAGTCAGCGAACACCGCGTCACATCCAGTCGAGGTTGAATGGGGCACATCGGACCTGCATCGCTGCTGGTCCGTTGTGCCGCCTTGCGAAATGAATAGTACGACCTCGCGGTCGTCCTCTAACACCGGCGCTCCGTCTTGCAGAGTGGGGGGTACGATCCTTGGGTCGCCCCGCGGCGCGATCGTACCCTCTCCATCGCTAGCAATGCGCGCGGCGAACTTCACGTTCGTCGCTACGATTGCCTGTGCGGGCACCGTCAAGGAGGGAGATATCGAGGCGGATACGTCCGTCTGGGGCGTATCCGCTACTCGATATCCGGTCGAGAAATTATGGGGCACGTCGGACGTGCAGTACTGCGCGTCCGTCGTATTGCCTTGCAAAGTGGAGGGTCCGGGTACGACCTCAGGGTCGTACCGCAGCTCCCGTGGGACATCCGGTACGACTTCGCAGTTGTACCTGTGGGCGGAAGTGCCATATTCGTGGCCAGTAGTGCGCACGACGAGCCTTACGTTCGTCGAGACGCCTACTGGCGCGGATACAGGGGGCATGGAGGGTACGACCTGGAGGTCGTCCCGCAGCACCTTGGGCGTGCTACCACCCGGAACATCAGGTACGACTTCGCAGTCGTGCCTGGGGACGTAGTTGCCATCTTCGTGGCTAGCAGTGCGCACGACGAGCTTCTTGTTCGTCGCTACGCCTGCTAGCACGGGCACGGGAAGCGGGGGCTGCGATGCAGGAACGTACAGTGAGTACGTACCTGTGGTGGTCGAGCCTTCGGGCTCATGCTTCCTGCTCGCCCAGCACCCTTCCTCCCTCTGTCCCTGCGTTCCCTCCTCATCCTCGCTACTCCTCTGCCCCCTGTCCTTCTTCCGTTCTCCTCGATCTGCGTTGTCCATGGTCCGCTCAGTCTCGCTACTCGGCGTTGGACTTGAACGCGCGTCGTTCAAGTCCTGGGTCGCGTGGCTGGGTTGCGTGTCGCCAGAGCCGCGGTATCGGTCGCCAGAGTTATCGGACTCGAGGAGGGGACCACCCAAGTCGAGGCGAGAGGCAAGAGGGGAGAGGTGAAGAGCCGGGGATGGAGGAAGTGGCGATCTGGTACCGGGAGGTACCAGGTCGGTCGCCACTGACTGGACTGGCGGTAAGTCAGCCAGCCAGTCGCAAACACGAGTTCGCACTCGCGTTGGGACGGCGCGCGCGTCTGGTTCGCCAGACGGGCGCTCGAGGTGGCTGCCCAGAGAGTGGAGGTGGTCGAGAACGGCGGGTCGGTGGTGGCGGTCGAGCGTAGTGCGGTAGGCGCTAGCACGCGGGGCGCTCGCCACGGACTCGTGACGCTCAACGCTCGTAGCGTTGAGCGCGTCGCGCGTCGCGTCGAGCCGGCTGCTCGTCGTGGCGCGCACGTCGTTCGACAGTGGCAATATATTTTTTGTATCGCGGCTCATTTCTGAGCGCGCGACGAGGGTATCTAGGGGCGTGGGCTCGCTTCCACTGTACATAGTACTACTACTGTAGTACTGTGTGCCTATACCCTCCCGAACCTGGAGATGCGTCGACTCGACGCACCGCTCGCTCAGTTCGGGTTCGAGCTCGGCGCCAGGCCTGTCGTCGAACTCGGCGCGTGCACCATCCTTCGGGAGGGTGCCCGGCTTCGCTGCTTGGGCTGGAGCTGCCCGGGATAGTGTTTCCGGGTGGCTCTGAGCAGACCCAACGGTGGGCTCGGGCTGCTCTGTGCCCAGTGCGTGTTCGACCTCACGGTCGGACGGCGCCTGCTCCGTGGGTGCTCCGGCTGAGTTCTCCTGGTCGGAGGACTCAGTCCGAGCGGTCTGCGCGCGCGATGAACGGCCGCTACTGCTGCTGCTCGCCGCCGACAGTGCCTCGTCGACGGCGTCCATCAGATCCTTGCGGGTCTGCTTGGACTCTTCGAGCGCGGCATTAATCCGCTGCTGACTCGCCGCGGCTTCGGCGAGTGTATGCTCGAGCCGCTCTTGGCTCGCGGCGAGCTTGGACTTGATCTCCGCTCGCAACGCCTTGAGCTTGCTGCGGGTTCCACTACGGGTTCCGCGGTTGCTCCGGGTTGCTTCGGAGGGGTTGGTTGTCGATCCAGACATCCTGTCGAGGTCTTCCTGGGCCGACTAGAGGGTTTGATAGAGCATAGAGTTCGAGTTTCGAGATGTTGTTGCCTAGAGTAGAAAATCCCCAGAATAGAAGCTTTTCTGGAGCGCAAAAAAGTGTAAGACGCCTTACTCGTCGTGCCTCGTATGCGCTGCACCCAGTCTCTATTCAAGAGGTACTGCATCAGGAAACCCGCCCCATGCAAATGTGGCGCAAATCCGCGCCAAACCCGCGTCGCGCCACTTCGGGCGCCAGTACCTTGCAAAGGGGTGTAAATCCGTGTAAATCCGTGTAAATCCGTGTAAATGACCTGCTTCCGTAAATATATTCGTTGTTCGATTAATTACTCGTAGTGCTGCCACGGCGGCAACGTTCATCTCCTTCTGTGCCACCTGCTCCCGCCCTGAACCTTCCGCATCGCCCCCACGCCCAGCACACGCCCAGTCATTGCAGCCCAGTCATTGCCGACGCCATTGCCTCGACCGTTATCATACCCAACGCTACCTCTGCCTTCTTGCGGAGTGACTGAAGCCTCGTGATGGAGGCTGCAGCCCCCGTAGCCGTCCGAGTAGGGAATGTGCGCAGGCTTGCGTCGTAGGAAACACATAAGGACTGCAGTGTAATGGTCAAAGGCATGACACTACGCGTTGTCGTCCCATGGGGCGACGACCGCGAGGGGCACACCCAGGACGTCAGGGATAGAGGTACGGGAACAGTACTGGCTGTGGCCGCGAGGAGAGGTGCTTGATAGTCCAGGGAGGGTCGCTGACTCGAAGGCTATCAGTGCGACGAAGCCCGACTCACTCATGTGGCAAGGCTGCGGGGCGAGCACAGCCCCGGCCCGCTTTGGCGGGAGACGACGCGGCCTGCACGAAGTTTGGGCGTGGCTGCCTCGCATGAGGCCCACGGTTGGGATCGGGGAGACCTGAGGAGACTAGCGGGTTGGCGAGGTGACGAACGGCTTGCGCGAGCCGCCGCACTTTAGTGACGACCGGCTCGAGCAGCACGCTCCACGCGGTCAAGGTGGTCTTGTAGTTCGCCGAGATTTCCGCGATGCTCGAGGTCGGAGGAGTATGCAGCTCAGCCAGTCGTGCGCTCGCCCGCAACGGGCAAGGCCGAAGGCGGGGGACGAATGAGGTGAGGAGCAGGCTAAGAACACGCCACGTCGCCCGCGGTCTACTCGCTGGCTGTGTTTTCACGCAAGGCGTTCGCTCGTGTTCGCCCTCGCTACTATGCTCGCCCGCCATCCGCCGCTTACCCACCGTCCACTGCTTGCCCTGACATGCCGTTACGCGCGAGCGGACCGCTCGCCGATCGTAACTGCGCCTGCGTGCTCGCCGTTGTCATCTACAATGTGCAGCAGTGTGGTGCTGCACGTCGCAGCGCCCTGTGCTCGCTGTCAGTTACCAGTTCACGCGCGTCTGCACTCACCTCGGCTGCCCTTCGTTCGTTGGCTGGCTATGCCGGCGCACAGGGTGTTGGCTCTGCGGTCGTGATCGCCATGTGTATCGTCTTGCGTCTCGGGCCTTTGGTGAGCTTGCCAGAGAGGTGTCGCCGCATTTGTGGTTAGTGGTCGCTGTAGTTGCACAATGGGTGGTGGTATATAGTGTACAGCGGCCCCTCATTGGTACAGCACTAATCACTCGGCCTCCCGGAGGGGCCAAAGCAACCGGCATGCACCATACGATGGGATGGGGGATGACGAGCTGGCCTATGGTGTAGGGGCTGATTGCGAAGGTTAGGTACTAGTAGGCGTTGGTGGTGCGTCTTGTAGGGCGAGAACTTGAACGTTCGCAGTAGGGAGTCGGCACAGGCTCTTCAAACGGTGTTGAGCCACTGTCGGCTGAGGTCGTCCCGAAAGCGCCACAAGAGCAGCGCGGAGTGTGAGATTTGAGTGACGATGTAGCCAGGGTGTGTTGTAGTCAGGAGTCAAGGGGTTGCAGCAGAGCGTCAAAGTGGCAATTGCCTCTCGTCTTGCAAAGTGCGAGAAATAGGCGCTGGTATCTCTGGCTCTGTCTGGGCTGTTCGAGCTACGGCATCGAGGTACGTTTTTTATATCTCATTGATCATTCTGTTATTGTGTCTTCCTGTACATGCCTCCACGAGCTTTTATTCTAAATGGGAAGTGTTAAATAAAGCGCTTTGTTGTTGGCGGCGGTCGGGCGCTTGCGCGCGCTACGGCGGGGTACTCGCAAGCTAAGTACGATGCGCGTGAGGTTTACGACTACACGTGTAATATATGCATGCCTATCCACACACGACTTAACAGGTAAAGCGTCACAAAGTCCGAATAAATTGTCGCCCGTCCATTCGGCTGAATGCGCTTGCGAGCATCGAGAAGATGCCGAGCTTGAGGTACGGCGAGCGCGGCTCGACGCGCAGTGTGGTCGAGGCGGTGCGCGGCGTCGCGTAGGGACTCGTGAATGAACAAGGCTAATGTCAGGATGAAGGAGGCTGCGCGCACGAAGTGCAGTGGCGAGTTGCCCGCCGTAGTCTTCTCATTCAGACCCGAGTCTACATCGGCGGCGGCACGTACATCGTCACCGTCGGGTTCGATGATTCCGTCGTGGAGGCTGTTCGTGAGCGAGAGCTCCTCCTTGGATCCGTCACTGGGCTAGAGCACGAGCGTGGGATCTACCAGGCGCGAACAACTCGAGCGCGACGCGGTCCTGAGGGCGGACCTTCTCGTAGTCCTCGGAGTCGGCGAACGTGAGCGCGAGCATGCCCTGCTTCTTCAGGTTCGTGTCGTGGATACGGGCGAACGAGCAGGTGATGGCAGCCATACTGCCGAGGAAGCGGGGCTCGACAGCGGCATACTCACGCGATTAACCCTCAAGGTAGTTGTGGTCACCGATGACGACCCACTTGATGCTGTGGTCGCGGTAGTAAGCATCGGTCTGGGGAACGGCGCCGTACTCGCCACTGATCTGGTTCTTCACCTTGTTAGCCTCGCCGTTTTGAGTCGATCGTATAGTTTTCTATGCAGAACCGTCAGAAGAAGGTACAAGGCAGAAAAGAAAGACTACGCACAGTAAGATGCCCTCGAGGCGACCGCGGGACTTAGCCAGGAGACGCAAGCGCAAATTTGATCCGCCAATTCCAATCGATGGCGCAGGCATGAGTAAGGGCGAGGGCGTGGCCGAGCGCAAGACGGGCGCCGCGAGTGCGAGGTGGAGGGTGTGAGCGCGAGAAGAAGACGCCAGCGCGAGAAGGCCCTGGAGGGCGCGAGGGAGGGCAGGCACTGGCGAGAGCAGATGCGCGAAGATGAGGGCACGAGCAAGATCAGCGGGAGTGGATGCACCAGGAGAGCGGGGTGAGTGTAAAGGCAAGTGTTCAAGCCGGGCGCCGTGCGTCTCAGCCAGGCTCCCTGCTGCTGCGCTCTGCAGGAATGCGAGGAATGGGTGAAGGGTGGCGATGAAAGCATTCGGCGGGCAGTGGCAAATGGCGACTGACGAGTCTGGTGCGAGGAATGCGCGGTGGCTTTCAAGCTGCTCGCCTCCCACTGGAATGCGGAGGCCGACGTGAGTGCTAACAACGGAGTAATGGTCGGCAATGCCAGGCGATTATCCTCAGCTGCGCTGCTGCACGATGGCGGATCCGGCGCCCAGAGAGAGGGGAGTTGGCCGCCACGGCAATCGAGGCTGGGGCTGCCCGCGCACACCAAGCTTGGCCGATAATGGGGGAGTCCGGATGGAGGGACCAGCTGCGGGGCGGGGACTGGCGTGGTCAGGGCAGTGCACCTCGGTTGGAAGTGAGCTTGAAAGGGGGTCAAAGGGGGTCAAAGGCAGCCTGAGCGGCCGGGTTGCGGAGTAGTACGACCTCGAGAGCATGGCGTAGGTAGGGCGCGCCGAGACGCGTGGGACGAGCAAGCAGAGGTAAGCGCGAAGGACGGCCTTGCAAGGCAGCGAAGGGGCGGGCTCCAGAGTCGTGGAAGGCGGGGGTGCATTGAGAGTGTCACTAGCGCCGAGTGTGCGTTCGGCGCGCCTGAAGACCAGAAGCGCCGGTCGCGGTGGCGCATTTGCTCTGCCATACTATTGAACTGGCGTGAGCATCTGCGTTTCCCGACGTTAATTTTGCGCGCGATTCTCAAGAGTACACGAGATACTGTCTAGAACTCAAAGCTGGAGTCTTAATCTTCCACGCTGCAACGAGGAGGGGTGTTAAGCCGGGCGCTTAGCTGCGCCCCGGGCCAGCGCCTAGGGCTCGCGGGGGACGTTTGCTTGCCTCGCAGCTGAAATGAATAAAAGAGTGGAGACTCTCATTGCATTAACGATCTCTACACAACAGTAATATATGTGTGTCTATCTGTGAATGAGTTAGCGTAGAACACGTCGCACAGCTCGAGCACATTGCTGCTCGTCCACTCCAATGGTTTCACTGGGCCAAACTTGGGGTGTAGATGCGCACTCCGATGCAGATTCTTCAAGGGAACGATTGCTGCTATGCGCTGCTGGTCTGCGTCGCGTGAGCGTTTCACCGTATAGAACAGGTGGTTCGCTTCGGGGCGCGATTTGAACCTGCTGAACCATTCGAGGTACACGAAGTGCGAGGGCGCGTCGGGTTCATTCTTGAAGACAATCTCGTGGGCCTTCTTCGAGAGCGAGAAGATGACGCGCACTTGGGCTACACGATAACCTATGTCTTCACTCAGCAAGAAGCATTGGTGATGGCATGGTAAGCCTTACCTGAGACCCCAACAAACCCGCCGTCTCCCTTCTCGTTGACCAGGGCGGTATCGAATCGCCCGGCGACTATGCGACCTTGAGTATCCCGATATGCTGAACGCGCGTGAATCACGTCCAAGGTCTCGGGCGCATCCCTTCGCTGGAAGGGGTCTTGATTCCAGAACTTGACTTTGTGCCATACAGAGACTGACCGGAATGGCAGATCGTACACCGATACGAAGGTCGCGAGTTGACGTCCAGACAAATGGGGATGTTTGAAGTGCGCGATGAATTCCTTGAGTACTGTTTGAAAGCGATGGGCGCCATAGCGCGATTCCACGGTGGAAAACGAGAGTGATCTGTGAGTGGGGTAGCGAGTGAGATGCTGATGGAGTTTGTGTGGAATAACAGCAGGTGTCGTCGGCAGATCAGGCCGCCCAGCGAGCCGCCAGTCGATGTAGAGAGCGTGCGCATGGATCTGCTCAAGCCGGACAACTGAGGTGGTCATCTGCGGGTACTCATCTTTCCTGTTCGATTTTCGCCACGGGTCCTTGGCGAGCGAGATGTGCAGATGCTCGGACTGGGCAGTGTTAGTCCCATCTGCGGTGCCGAACATCTTGATCCCGCTGACATAGTGCTGGAGCGAGTGCAGTTTAGGGAAGTTGAAATGATCGCGAATGCCTAGATCCACGAAAACACCCTTGTTCGCATGGAACCGAGCCAGGGAGTCCTCGAGTTGGGAGAGCGTGTTGGAAGTGTGGGCCGGGAGTTGTGCGAGATACACAAAGTCGAGAAGGGCACGTACGGCTCGCACCAGTCGCACGGGACTTTGCCCACCAGGTAAACGGAGGTCGATGATCGTGCCGAGGAGAACGCGACATATGTCTTGATGTTCAGTCCCGGAAACACGGGAGAGGTGTGAGATACCCTTCGAGAAGTGACGGAGGTTATGATTCGGAGGCAGGGATTGAAAACGAGCATCAATGATGCGTGCGCCGTACGCTGACTTCGTCCAGCCTATGACATGCTTAACCATTCCCTGGTAAAGCTGATGTAGGATATCCGGGGGAAAGACACGTAGACGTTCACGTAAGGCAGGTCCTTCCAGAATGGGTCCGCAATCGGCTTGATCCCTGCAGCCTGGCAGGCGTGCACATGAGCGACCGGGTCCCCCGTCCGCTCGAGCGTAGTGAGGGCGTGCAGGATTGCATTCAGGTCGCGCTGCGTGCACGGCACAGCCTCACCCATAGACTTGGGATCTACCACTCCCGCGGGACATTCGCCATTCTTCACACCAGCAACGCAAACAATCTCGGGATAATCTCCAATATATGCCGCGAAGACAGGGTGACAGCGGCGAGTAGAGCCATCGCCTGACGACATCTTCTCTCCACGACGGGCAGCCTTGCGAGTCGGAGCGAGGGCCTGCTTCAGGCATGCGTGGAAGAGGTTAGAAATAGCGCGGCGGCGAGTCTCTTCGTTCTTGATGTGTGAGATCCGTGTGACAGGAAGATACCCAATGAGAAGTTGCGCCTGTCGACTGGATTTTCGACGTATTGCCTTAGGGATGTTGCCGATTGTTAGATAGAGTGGGTAGCACGAGCGATTGCGAAACATTGTCAATTGAGTTTTGTCGGACGAAATGATGAGTGGTACGATGGTGGCGCCCGGTTGCTTGGCCTCAATTTTGTGCTATCATATAGGCATAGCGTGAATATGAGGTAGAGAGCGGGGGGAAATATCATGGTCACCTGCAATCGCCACCACCATTCGCCAGTATTCATGTCGCCGTATACCCGCATTGACTTGGTCTCGTCTGTATAGTGTCGTTCGGGCACGAGAAGGATATCTGCAGCCCAATCTGGTGAGCCGAATAGAACGCGGATGCACTGCATAATGTCTCGCAGCCAAAGGTCGTATGTCTCTCCATCGACCTCAAGTACATGCCGTACGAATCTGGGGCGGCTCGGAAGGCAGGAATCAACTATCTTGTTCAGCTCTTTCGTGTTTTTGAACGAAAGCTGCAGGGCATCACGGACCTGGCCCATACCATGATCAGCATTCCAGTTGATGGCATTTATGAGAGCTATCATACGCACCCCATCGATTGCAAGGAACTCGTTGAAAGCGCTCGCACTTGGGCCGCGCTTTTTTGCCCACTGAGCAATGTGCCACTCCCTCTCTGAAGCGAAGGGTGCGAAGATGTTATCCTCAGAGATCGTTTCAGCCATTCCGACCTCGTAGAGAGAAAACGGCCCTTCCTTTGGCCGATCAATATCGGCTGCCAGTGGCTCATTGACGAGAGCACCTGCTTGACCACCAAAGCGGACACGATGAGGATCATGGAAGAGGAACTCTTCTTCCGGTCCGCGAAGGCCGGGTAGCTCTTCCTGCTCGAGGAGCATACCATCTTCCTCACCAGATCCTGAGCTGTCCGCAGGTGATGCAGACCTCCGATGTTGACCCGAGGGTATGAGCAGTGGCGACGAAGGAGGAACATCGTAGTCCCGCTCTTCCTCACTGGAACTTGAAGATGAAGAGCTCCTCGATGATGGCCGCGGAGATCGCGCACCAGCCTGAGGATTATCACCATGTCCGAGGTCGTCATCCTGCCGAATTTCGTCATCAATATCCTGGGCTCCTGCGGGCTCATGGTTGTCGGCGCTGGCGTTCGACGGCATGCCATGAGAAGATCCTTCCGCAGTGCAATGTCCGTGGCGAACACTCGTCTGCGGCTGCGTCAAACAAGCGAGTGCCTCCTGGCGGGCCAGATCAGTGGCATTAGTGATGCTAGCTGCGCACCGTGGATCTGCTGACCGAGCAACATGGCGGGACAAGGCAGTCGCATTCTCAAAGCCCATAGTTCCACAGCCCATACATGTGAATGGACGATTTGCAGATTGACTCCCACCTTGAAGCTCTCGTCAGCACGATAATATTGCTGTTATCAGAAAGGACACTGTCACGCACCTGGCAGGAAGACATTCATCATGAAGTGGGAAAGGGGGCCAGCTCCGACGTCTTGCATGCTCCGATCATCCGATAAAACTTCACGTGTCTTCATCCCGCATATGCGCACTGAGTGAGCGAGCGATGATTGAACGCCCTTCGTGACCAATAAGCGCCGCACATCTCGGATCGTTGTTGCAGCAGACACAACTGTACAGGTACTTGAATTGTCAGCTCACAGACGACTCGGAGACCATCAGCAATGAGATAATGACCTATTGGGATGCTTCTGCCACTCAGAGGCTGGACAAATATGGTGTACATTGATTCACCCGCCAGCAGCCGCCTCCGTCGATCCAGTCGGACGTTTGAGAAATGGTGACGACTGTACCGCCTTGCCATGAACATAGACTTCGTGATCCTCTCCGCAGGCAGTAAGTCTGGCCACGCCAAGCACGCTGCATCATGGCGGCATAAATACCAGTATGCCCCGAACGAAGGCCACACGTAGTACGCACCGACAATGGCTGACCATATGAAGGAATAGCCATACACGTAGACTGCGTTCAATGCGAGTGTGGAGGTCGTGCAGTTTAGCCGCAGGCCGACCCTGAGCAGAGTCTGCGAGACCACCGTTTGTTCGCCCAGCGTTGCAGGCACCGAGAAAGATGGCGAAGTCGCAAGACCATAGAGATAAATACCAGTGAGGCACGTGTTCGTTATTGCAGGGACCAGAAGGATGGCGAGAAGGATGAGCAAGAATTGGGACACATGCGATATGACGGCCAAATTTGAGTCGGGTGGGCGCAGCCTTGCCAGGATTCTCTGGCGCCATCCGCGAAATGGCAAGTTCGTGGCTTCCATCCTCTCGGCGAGTCCTCTCTTCTGGGACAGCTTCATCAATGAGGCCGAAAGATCGACAGAGGGAAATAACAAAGCACAATATGGCAGGCGAGCAAGCGAGCGGTGCGGAGAGAGCGAGTGAGCGAGTAGGTGGCTGGCGAATGTATGAGCTGGTGGGAGGTGATAGGACACGAGAAGGCAGTGCCGCAGCGGGCTAGCTAGCAAGAGGAGCACAAGAGGGCGGGCGGGCGGCCTAGTCTTGCGAGGGGATAACGTGGAGTAGAACTTCCTAAGATGACCCAAGGATAATCAGCGCGACTGTAAGAGATAATATTGGAGCTGCGAGGGTAACTGCGTACTCACTGTGCTTCTCACCTGGATGTTAGACGGCCCTTGCTGACTCGGGATACCACTGAGCCTCGGGGCTCTGAGTCTGCGTTCCAATGATGACTGGCAGATGACGATCTGGACACCAGAGCGACTGAGATCGCGCCACTCCAAGGCCAGGGCAGTAGTGGCTGACTCTGCCCCCAAGGCGGGCAAGCCCGGCATGTGAGCCTCCGCCCCCCGGGCCTGTGAAAAGCCCTGCTTGAATTTGTCAGCCAGTGTCGTCCCTCCCTCCCGACGGTACCACCACCACTCAACGCCGCTACATCACAGCCGCTGCAGGACGCCTGCTCGAGAGTCGACAGTGAAGCCAATGCCACCCCGGCGTGCACCAGCCTCGCGTGGCAAGAAGAAAACGCTCCCGGCGGGGGGAGTCATCAACCGGGAGGCACCCAGTGCTGGCGAAAGCAATGTCAGCCAGCTTGAAGGTAGGCTATGAAGCTCGACTTACCTTGATTTAACATGGGTCCCAGTCTGACTCCTTGATCTAGACCTGGGCCCCGAAGGAGAAGGCGATTCAAACGTTGCTACAGACCGATTGGCTAACTTGGAGAGAGAGCTGAGGACCTTGAAGCGTGCCGAGAGAGACGCATATGAGCGCGCACGAGAGCAGGAAGTCTCGAACCCAACAAGTTATCTTCGTAGTATTGCTTGCCATCTAAACCCTTGTCACTAACTCGCTCTATAGTCACCGGACCTCGTGCTGCGAAAACACAGGCATACAAGGACCGAGGTGTGCTTGATTCCCAGCCCCGTGTTCAGCCCATATCGAGGCTAATTCCTCTCCAGTTTGGCAGCCGAAGCCTCGCCAGAAACACCAACCCGAAGAATCAGCCGCCGACACTATGACAATGCAAGTCAAGGCTGCACGAATGAGAATGGGCCAAGGCCAACGTACGTACATGCCTTCAATCAACAAATCATGTAGTATAATTTAGATGACTGCGAACGCACCTCCACCACTAGTGCCCGCCAATGTGCCATCGAAGTCCTCGCTGACGCAGGCCTCTCATTCGAAGGCATCTGCATCTAGAACAGTCAATCAAGAGCCTGAGATAGGTCGTGGTACGTACAATGATCTTCACTGGCAGACTGATATGCTCATTGAGAACGGCTCAACATTGACATAGATCCTCGCATGGACGACACCGAGCTAAGTGCACGCACCGATTTCGATCATGATCAGCACCGTGAGAGACTAGCAGCAGCCGATCCCAGTGATGATGGCGGTGGAGGCTCTGAGGCCGAGTCCAGGTCGGACGATGAAGAATACAAATCGGGTGCCGAGCCTGAAAGCGAAGAGGACTTTGGTGTGCAAGATGTGCACGCACCATCCAGCCGTAAGTCCGTTAAAGTTGCGGAGCAATTGGCGCAAGGTGTGAGTACCGTGATCGTGTTTTGACCGCTGAGCATGTTGAATTACATTTCTCTCACGCCTACGATCCCCATTTTCTAGTCAGTCAAGGTCGTCTCGAAAGGCCGGCACAACCGCCGCGTACTCTCAGACTCAGAGGCCGGAGGGTCCGATTATGCGCCTGACTTCCTAGACCCTGGATACGAGTCTCCTCCCACCCGCAATCCCGATGCCAATGACTCCGCAGATGAAGCTGAATGTCCGGTAGCTGAAGACGAAGATGACCCCATGAACCTTAGGGAGGCACGGGTTCATCGCGAATGGAACGTGCGTTCATACCGCATACCGCCAGGTCCTTGGCACTGCTTATAGTCTACTAAGTCCGTCGCGCAGGAGATGATCATCCGTCGGGCACAGCGCCCTAAGCTGCCAGCCAGTCGTCACTACGGTCAACAAGATGATAAGAAAAACACACCGAGTGTGGAGGAGCACCGTAATGAGTCATCATCGCACCCTCAGCCGGCCGCGTCTTCCAACCAACGCAGTTCCACCACGCAGGTAAGTGCTCCCATCCTAGATCTATCTTGTGGCCGCTGCGCCGAAGTAACCAAGCGGCTGTTGCAGCAGCGATCTAACCAGGCTGGCATGGTGGTTGCCGAGAAAGGTGTCACTGTGACGAAGACCAAGCGGCAGGGAGGCTTCCGCGAGACCGACAGCCAGGTACGCACACAGTACTCACCATGTCCCACAACGCTGACTCTAGCTCTGCTCGTGTCGACCTCTGATTGCCTCGATTGTACCAGCGCCTGAAAAGGGCAAGTAACTTCACTGTTATGGCGTGAACACCGCTCTAAATCATCTGACAGTTGCGGCGTTCAACGTCTATGGACAAAATGTTTCCTCGGGTGCGTTCTAGCTATCATGCCTTCAACGAACTGTGGTGTCGGGCTGCTGACTGAGACTATCATGTGAATGACAGCCACCCCCCGAGTCCATCAGCAGTGGCGAAGACTCGGGACTTGACCTATTCCCTGAAAAGTCCCGCACTGGACGCCCTAAGCCACGACGTAAGGTATGTCTGTTAGCTGACTATGTAGTCCCAAGCCATCGGACTCACTACCAAACTGCTGTAGCTGACCGCACCGGCTCCTTCCGACGTACGTACTGCTGTCCAAGTCGTGCATATTAGAGCTGAGCTAATCACCTCGACATTGTCAGCAATCGATTCCCGGGCCTGCCACCAATGTGAAGGGACATCAGGTAAGCTTGTACTTCTATGGATTCGGATTCGAGTAGTCACGAGGATGATGCATTTTTTGCGACACCAGGCAACTCGCAATGGTACTATCTCAGGCGACGACGACGACGACGACGATGAATCAGCAACAGATGCCCGAGGCCTGTTGCGTGCCAGCCATGTGAACGTCTGGCCCGAGGATACGGAAGTCACATTTAAGGACGGGAATAAGGTAGCTGGTCTCAACTCGCAGAAATCAAACAAGGTCCGCACTCTGTTGAAGTCGACCATCGCCCAAGAGTTGCCGCAAGCTCTGGCACTTGTCAATGCCTTTCCGAACATCGGCGAGCGGCCCAAAATGTTCCTCGACATATTCATCACTGGTGCGCGGCGCCTCGGCCCCAACTACAGTACAATCGCCCAGCGCCTGTTGCAAGACTCAGCGTATGTCCTCAGCTTACTGACATTGGTAAGTCCATTGACTCGCTGATTGATCTTGCTGCACGCGCGGAGTACTAACTGCACCCATGTAACATCGCCAGCCCGCCAAGAGAATGTGTTCGATCCGTGGACCCTGGTATAGCGCCTGTCGTGATCCTGTATGGGAGGGCTATGGCCTCAAGGCCATCGAGAATGACCCGGAGGCCCTCCAGACGGCTGTCCAGGAGCTGCTCCTCAATGACCAGTTCATATTCCCCGGTAAACTCGTGGTATGGATCATGACCTCATTGACCATTTGGACTCGGATGCTCACTTGGACGACACAGAACGGCAGCTATACCGAGCTCAAGCGCAACATACCATTCTGCGCAGAGCCAATCATCAATCTCGCCAACATCCTGTTCCTCGGACCCAAAGCACTCTGCCCCATCGAAGACTCGGCGTTCATCTCGTCCATCAATACTGGCCCTGGCGCGATGGAGCGAGAAATCCCGCAGACAATGGCTGCGCTCCTCGCAACCTTCGTGCGCACTATGCCCCGATTTCTGCCCTAGACAATACCCACTGACTCCACCTCGATCCTGTAGGCTGGCGCAGCAATTGGAGAGGGCCTGCATGGCACCCGCGAGCCCCTCAAAGAAAACGAAGGTTTCAATTCGACTAAACAGGAGGCGCCTTACCGGGACCATCTCGCCGCCCTCTCGCCAATCAATCTGATTGGCCGTCATAAGATCCTTAACCTTATATTCAATGAAGCGAAGTTCGTTGGACTACGAGGCTATGTGCGTCCGAAATGAGGTGACTGATATCATCATTTGCAGGACTATTCATATGAAGAAGAGTGCCACTCGCACTCGTAAGGCCACAGCCAATTCCCTCATTGACCCCCTGACTGCGGGGATGGACCTCTAGTGTTGCGCGATGCGCCATGCCTCACCTCTCCTCTCCGTATACCCGAGCAAGTCTATGCATTCCTCTCCTTTTGGGTCTCCTGCACACATCTTAATTGAATAGTGCATTGCTAATCTCGACGAGCAGTAGGTACTTCCGAGGTGTCTGCTAGCTCGTTGTGCACGATCCTATGTATACCTGATGTGGTGTAGTCTGATAAATACAGGGGTATAGTCGTATAAAAGCTGGTCACAAATGAGTAAATATACTTGATTGTCGATTTGCTTCGATTTGGCAGAAATTGGTGCAACATTTATGAGGGGGTTAAGAAAATGGGGTGTCCAGGACATTTACACAAAATTGCGCAAAATTACCTCAATTTGCACAGGGTGGGTTTCCTGATGTGTCTACAGATTGCATACAAAGGCGGTGACGAGGTAAAGGCTGAGGACTTGTAGGTGCACTGGCGCGCCATACGAGTCCTCGAGCAAACAAAGACAAACATTTAATGTAAGACATACCGTAACGGGAATATCCGTTACACAAGATGATTTAACCCAGCTGTCTTGTCTTCATGCAAGTGCCCCCCAACAGAAGTAAAGACAGATTCCTTAAATAGCTCTATGGCTCTTTGGAGACTGACCAAGTCCTGTGTATTAATGAAGAGGGTATGATAGAGAGCTCCCAAGCTCATGAGCATTCCAGGTCTCTCATCATCTTCTGAACAAACAGCAGCAGCTTTCTCCAATGCTTCAGCTGCACAATGCAGATCAGAGATTTCCCCTAGGTGCTCAAAACGGTGCCTGTACGCATCTCCCAGATGGCTGACATTATGTGATGCATGTCCAAACATCTTCTCAAGTTCAACACTCTCCTGAAAGTAGGTGATACTTTGCTCAATATTGAGTAAATCTCCATTGTGTTCATAGTAGTTGTGATGAGCATGTGCTAGCATATGGACACACTTATATCTCTCAGAATCACCAGATGGTGTCAATTCTACTGCTCTGGTCAACAGCTGAATGGTTTTCTCCATATCAGCATCATTACCTGTCTGATGGAACCTATGCTGTACAGCTGAGGCAAAGGACCTAAGAGTTGTAGCTCTTTCCTTATGCCCTGCAGGGAGTATCTTCTGTGCTTTTTCAAAAGCCATCACTGCTGCATCTATATCAGACAAACTCATTGTAGTATGATGCAATTCTTTATATGCACTGCCCAAGGAACAGAGCCTTTCATACTTCAATCTGTCATCACCAACTGTAAGATCAACAGCCTGCTGAAGCACAGCAACAGCATCCTTTGCATCATCAAGTTTTTTCAAGGCATTCCATCTCAATTGATATGCCAGACTGAGGCCATGAAGCAATTCAGCCTTCTTGTTGCTCTCTAGGGCCCCTTCAGGCAAATGCTGGAGTGCATGTTTCTTGTAGTCAATGCATGTATCAATGTCAACAGCCTTTCTCAA